CCAGTTCGAGAGACATGCAAGCCAAGGCAAGGAATACATGTGCGCAACTTGTCCACGATCTTGTCTAGATGTCTAGAGCCTCGGCACATCACACGTGCGCGCGTCCCATCTCCCTGCGGCCGGCGGCGCACGACGCACGAGGAATCTCGCCCCGTGCCCGCCCAAGGGCTCGCTCACACTGGTATACCGGCGAGTTAACTACTTACCAGAGCGGTTGTCTGCGATGTACAGTACTGCACCGTAGCGTCATGTGAGCCAGTGGATTTGGCGGCAATCCATGTACTGTACTGCCAAGCGTGCGGTTCTAGATATTCATTCACCTTCGCAGCCCTCTCGGACCTTCAATGGCATGGCCCCCCGTCTCTCACGTATACCTACTGTGCCGTTCATTCCCTTGCAGCCAACGCCCGCGGGTCTCTGCTGCAAACACAAGTCTCGAATCTTACCTACTTCACTCTCATCAGTCTCCGTCCGAGCAGCTTTCGTAGTGTTGAGTCGTCGACAGCCCCGCTCGAGTGCCAAGCCGGGCCATAGACAACTCCGACGGCCCAACCTTTACCCAAGCTTTACGTCCATGCACGGGGGAGCCAACGCCTCGGCAACGGGCGCCGTCGCCAATACGAGCTCTGTTAGTAGATCAGGAGTAGGGCGTCCAGGAAAGGGTTAAGACATTGCCCCCCCCACCCATGTAAGCGTTCAAGGAAGGCATACAACAACACACACACTCTACTACTGCACTGTATGGCTCGTTGGCCCTAGCATGTTGTCGGCCTTTGCCGGGAGGGCCACCGGCAAAGCGCTCTGGCCATCTCTTGTCAGGGCAAAAGAAGCACGTCAGCAAAAGGTGGGAGCCGGCGGCAGGCAAGCGGCAGGCGTCGTGGATGGATAGCTAATACGGTGGGGGAGGGGGGGCTTTGTTGGTTGTTGTAGCTTGTTGGCATGCACACATGAGCCATTTGCAAATGGATGGAGGTGGGGGCAAGGATATCGTAATCTGCCTCTGCTCTCTCCAGACGACGTGGAAGGAGGAGGAGGAGCATGGGAAAAAGGGGAGCCCATGTCGACGTTTAGGTCGCGCGGCCGGTTTACCGCCTTGGGGGCGGCTAACGGGAAGCCTATTCGGACGTACATAGTCCGTACATACAGGGTGCATTGCCGCGACTCGATAGAATTCGGAACACGAGTTACTGCATGGCAAAGGGGGAAGCAAGAGGCGAATGGCAAAGAACACACTGCCCGTGCGAGCAAAGGAGGGTGAGGTGCCTCGATGGGTGGTGGTGAAGAGTGCGGTACAGTGCCCAGGGTTGCGCTGCTCTGCTCATCTAACACTGTGTTAGCTGCCGGGGCGGCGCACCCGTCGGAGCCAATCGACGCTTGCTTGCGCCGGACAGCAGCACTATTGGCGAACAAGGGGGGGGCGGCGACGTGTTGGATGCTCGTCGCTCTGATGCTGTTGTCAACAAAGTACGGATGCCAACAGCCTCTTCTCGCAATGCATGTCGGGCACATGTGGACACGGCCAGGCTGGTGCCCGTGCGGTTGAGTCGTGCAGCGGAAATTTTGCAGCGGAAAGAGGAGAGAAAACAAGAGGATGGCGATGGGAGCAGCACAGTGAGCTTACCGCCCTGAGACACTGTACCCGACAGAGGGATCCAGTGACGCGGCTCGGTTCAGATCGCTGCACAAGACGCCGATGGAGTACTGTAGGCTGGGCGCGCAACCACACCGAGACCGCAGGGGTACTTATTCACTAAGTATCTTGTCTCCGGCGGGGATTGGGGGAGGTTACTTGGCTCTGGGAGCCATCGGTCCGCGCCAGTGCACGTACCGTACTGGGCCGCGCTGGCACGGGGGGGTACGTGAAGCCCGGGTACCCCCAAGTGCGCTCATCTAGGCGAGGCAGTCGCCGAATCTCGAGATCGCATGTCTTCGTCGCCTGCAGTGCGAGCTCACCGAGACAATCTACCAAGCCTGCCTGCATGCGGCTTGCTTACGTCGTGTCCCCCTCCTTGAGATTGCATTTCATCAGTTATTGATTCCCGCCCGCCCATCCCACCGAGCTCGCGAAGACGACGAGGCGATCCAAATGTAAGCCCTGTCCGCGTCACTCCCTCTCCATCTCGGATCAAGGGGGGGATGTATGCCCACGCATCAACCTCGACCGGCGTTGGCTGCGCGCGGGACCGAGCCCTGGCAGTGCAGGCAGCAAGGCAGAGCTAATATCTGTAGCGGACATGGGGGGGGGGGGGGGTCCCACATGGTGCCAAGAGAAGCCGACGCCTCTCGGGCCATGGGGCCATGATGTCGGGGGCCCGGCGGAAAAGAAAAAGGCTGTCCTCGAGAACGTGCCGACGCCTGGTCCCGGCTTGAGCGATCAGCAATCACCATGATGAGCTATTACAGTTGTCCCCAAGGGGCACTGCGAGCCAAGGTACCCCATGCCAAATCTTCACCGTCCGGTACGAAATGCGGATTATCATCCAAGTAGCTGAGATGGGCTAGGGCGGAGAAGGCCGGGGAGAACAAGCTAGCGGGGTCCGCGTGTACTGGCGGTGCCGGCCCGGCGGCATACATGATACCGGTACACGCACACGGGCAGTTCTGTCATGAGGACCAGGCCGTCTTCTTTGTCTGCACAGCGAGAAGGGAAAGACCCGGAGACCCGGCAGAAGAGGCGGATACGCCCCCTCCCTCCCTTTTTGCTCGTGGCCCGTGACATGTCAGTGGCTGGCAGGACTCTCGACTCCGAGATTGCCATGGGCGGCGTGGCCATCGAGAGCGAAAAAGCAACCACGTGAATCAAGTCGACGGCTGCCCACAATACAGTACTGCACGGATACCTGGTACTGTACCACATGCGCCCATGCTTCGTCATTGGTATCGTCTGCTGCTGCGTGTCTGAGACCGGCATGCACCCACCTGGTACCTAAGCCAGGTCCGGCCTGTGGGAGCAAAAGTGGGGCCCCGGTCGCCCTCTGGCCACTCTCACGCTCTGCTCCTCTGCTCAACCTCGCTGACCCGTTCGGGCTTAGCAGCTCCGATACCCAAGCCCGGTACGTACCGCGCTCTGCCCTGCCCAGACGGAGATGTAGGTACCTGCCCACCACTGGCCGTGCTGGGTGTACTTTCCAGTTGCTTGCTTCTTTCTCCACGGCGGCACCTATTCCTAGCGGGCGGCCGTGTGAAGCTCGCGGGCCTTCTCTCGCGTGCAAGTACCTCTTCCGGTGCTGCAAGTCGCGGCATGTGCCCTGCTTGGGGGGGGGGGGGGTTAGGGGGCCTCTTCTCTCCCGGTCTCCCCCCCCCGTCGTCCATATCGCCGCCGCCTTGGGGGCATGGCGGCGGGAAACGGGCGCTCGCCGCCGTTTCCGCCGTTCCTTGCCTTTGAGACCGGCCATGCTACTTTGCTCTGCTCTGTGCCGTGACGTGTTTGCCAAGAGAGCCGGCAGGTTGTGGGCAAGTATCCGGAATGTCCTCGTGGCCTGCAAGGGGCCTGCTCCTCGATACAGTTACGGATACTCGCGATATAATTACTCGCGATACAGCGCTCGCGGGCCCGCCATGATGCAGCGCCTAGCCCCCTCGACGGCCTCCGCCGTCCCCGCGCGCCCTCCCTCTCCAGCGCTTCGGCCAGGCCTGTCGACCAAGGCATCTAGCCGCTAGCCGGTCCCACGCTTGTCCGCCATCTCTCCGGCCCTCTCGTAGGTACCGAGTACGGAGAGCACTCGACTCGCTGTTCTCCTTCTCCCATACGCCTTGGAGGGCGATTTGTTTGTTGGTGCGCCTGGCCCCATGGGTTCGGAGACGACTGCATCCACTCCCCCCACCCATTGTCGCCATCGTCATCGACTTCACCGCGCCCAAATCAATCACCGAATCCTCGCCAACAACGCCCACGCCCGGCAGTGCTGTTGCATGCTTACAGTCCCCCTTTCTCGGGCGCATCTCGACCCTCCATGTCGGCCGTGAGTGTCCATGCAGCAGGCGTGTACGTATCCTTGACCTCTGCCACTACCCCCCTCCCCCCCCTTCCTGTTCCCCTGCTCCCACGACACCCCCTCCCCCCCCTTTCTGGCCTGCTCACACACCTCCGTCAAGGCGTCCCCGGCCCGCAGGCTTTCACGAATACCGAATGAGTCGCCCGTCGAGCTTCTCGTTGGACGAACATGGCCCTTGGTGGACGCCTTGTCCTTCCCGCACGCCCCCTCCCTCTCACGCCCATCAGAGTCCCCGGATGAGCCTGGTCAACCCCCCCCCTTTCTGCCCTATGTCCGGAGGACGTGCTTTGTGCGATACACGGGTATGAATGTACACAAATGCTAGCAGTATCTATGTTTGGACGAATGTGTGCCAATTAGCCCAGTACGTAGCATCTCGACTCTCAAGGTCGATCCCGTTCTGCTGGGACCCAGTCTCGTCCGGGACGCCCAGATGCATGAGGGTCTATATCTACGTCTAGGCCCCCAACGATCCATTGCCTCATGACCGCCTTTTCCCTTCCAGCACCGCTTTCTCCTTGTCCTCCCCGCATATAACACTGATCCTGAGCACCACCCACCATCCCTTGGTCCTGAAGAGTCAACTGCGAGAAACACACTACGTCGTCCCTCGCTCATCGACCGCGCCCACGCCCACGCCCACGCCCATCCCGCCTTGGGCCTCAAGAGTTGCGCACCACGCCGCCACCACGAGGCTTCCCCGTCCTCCTCGGCACCGCTTCGTCTGCTGCAAAGGACCATTGGAACGCCGTCGACGTCGTCTGCGCTTCACCTTGATCCTCTCGCGGCTCCGCCTCGTACCGCCACAGTGCCTCGGCGGCTCCGTGAGACATTGTCGCCGCGGCCCATCTCATCTGTGGAATGAGAAGTTTTGCTTCAGGTAGGAAACTGCTCACGTTGACGTCTCTTGCCCTCTGCCCCGCCCGCCCCCCCTCTCTGGCCGCCTAGGAGATTCGAGGCCCTGACGTGCATTTGTGAGCAGAAGGCCGACAGACGACCCTCTGAATGCGACACATGATGGCCACCATGGCTGAGCAGTCTTTTCATGTATTCCAGCAGCACCAGCAGCACCACGACAACGACGGCTTCGTCCGCTACCCCGAGCCCCCGCGAAACGCCTTTGCGTCGCCCCCGCTGGACATGAGCATGGCGCCGGACTCGACGTTTGTGGGACGAGGACGAGGACGAGGAAGCTTTGCGCGCCCTGCCGGCTACCCCACCAGCACCGCCGCCGCCACCACGTCGGCCGGGACGACCGCCATGGGCTTCGAGACGTCGCTGTACGGCGACGCGGCAAGCTACGTGCTCAACGGGCGGGCATCGCCAGGCTCGTATCCGGACGAAGGCGACATGAGGCTCCCCTCGTCGGGCCTGTCGTCTGCAGCCTCGGCGCCCTCGTCGGCCATGGGATCGCCGCAGTCCAACCACGGCCAGCTCGGCGCGGCGCACGAATGGGGCGCGCATGGCCTCGCCGTGCAGCCGGGCATCGTGGGCAACGACTACATGGAGTACTTTTCCGGCCCCGGCATGGAGGAGCTGGGCGGCTACGTCGACTTTGGAGCGGCGCAGACGAATAAGGCGTTTGTCGGTATGTCTCGTTCCCTCTCTTCGACTTTGCCCGCCTTGGCTTTCTCTCTGTTTCGTCTCCTCGCTCCGGACTCGATCCTTTGGCCCTCAGTTTTTAGAGACGTCGACTTGCTTGGATCCAGGCGCCTAGCGGCCGTCTGGTTCAATGCTCCATGTGCTAGTGCGTGTGTCTCCCCCTGCGCGTACCCGCACCACCTCGTCCCAACTCTCGCTCAACCATCGTCACATATCATATTTGGTTGCCTCGCCCTTTCAATCCTCTCTATTCCGAATCGAGCCAACGTTGGGTCTGCATACGCCTCCTTTCTTTTGCTCTCCCGTCGCTGTCATTTCGGCGTTGTTTTTGTCTCCCCCTCCTTCGGGTCCCCCGCCTCGCTATTTTGCGCTGGTGGTGACGACGTGCGGCATGGATACCTCGGGCTCCGCTCCTCAGCTGGCACTGAACGCTGCGCCTGAGTCGTTTGGGGAGTCGCTGTGGCGCGGAAGCCTGCCGCGCTCCGCCACGGAGCCGCCAGCGGGCAGCGGAATAGGTAGCGGGCACCCACCCTCCAGCGCACCTTGGAGGCCCCCAATGCCCTGTATTCGTTCCCCTGCACCCTCTACCTGTCCCTATATCCCTCTCCCCTGTTGCTTGAATCCATCTTCAACGTTGGCCTCTTTTTTTTTCTTCACCATCACCACTTTTCTCCGTCTCTTGACCACTGCGACCCAGAGGTTGCGCTTGCACGCATCCTCAACCCCGCCGCCGTCGATGGCGTCTGCCGTGATTCTGGCTGACTCTCTCTCGCTCCCGCCAGACCCTTCCCTCATCCATCCAGATATTCCGCGGCCGCCAATGGCTCTCTCGCCCTATGATGGCCACTATCAACAGGCTGCCCATCCCTTCAGCGCCTCGTCGGTCTCGTCTTCTCCTCAACCCAACCTCCTTCGAACCAGCAGCTCCTCGCCCTACCTCCACAGCGGCTCGTTCCCCCCGGCTTTCGCCGGCAGTCCGTACGGAGCGCCCATGGACCCCAGCGGTCGGCGCGTGAGCATGAGCAACTTCATCTCGCCCTCGTCGGCCGAGTACCAGAGCGGTGACGAGGCAAAGGAGAAGCAGCGCTGCACCTACCCCGACTGCGGCAAGGTCTTCAAGGACCTCAAGGCCCACATGCTCACCCACCAGAACGAGCGTCCGGAGAAGTGCCCGATCCAGACGTGCGAGTACCACGTCAAGGGCTTCGCTCGCAAGTACGACAAGAACCGCCACACTCTCACTCACTACAAGGGCACCATGGTCTGTGGCTTCTGCCCGGGCTCCGGATCCCCCGCCGAGAAGTCGTTTAACCGAGCCGATGTCTTCAAGAGGCATCTGACGGCCGTTCACGGTGTCGAGCAGACGCCGCCCAACAGCCGCAAGAAGACGCCGACGGGCATGGGCATTGGTGCTGGCAAGAAGCTTACCGGCTACGCCCCCGACGCCACGGGCAAGTGCAGCACTTGCTCGCAGACGTTTGCCAACGCCCAGGACTTTTACGAGCATCTCGACGACTGCGTGCTTCGCATCGTGCAACAGGAGGATCCCGCAGAGGCCATCAACGCGCAGCGCCTGGCCGAGGTTGAAAACGACAAGAGTGTGCACCAGACGCTGGAGAAGAACAACCTGCCGACGGCGACGCTGGCTGCCGCCGCCGACGAGGATGAGGAGGATTACGACATGGGGGATGACGACGAGGCCGACGACTCGTCCTCCAAGGCCAACTCGTCCCCTTCGTCCACTAAGAAGAGGACCAACCCGCCCAACGGCGTGCAGAAGTCTCGCGGCATGACCCACTCGCGCGGCGGTGTTCCGCTGCCAACCAAAGCGCGCGGCCGCAAGAACCGGCGCGACTACCCCTCATCGTGGGGTTTCGACAAGGGTCAGATGACGATGAAGAAGCGCGTCATGTCCGTGTTTGACGGGGCCCGCCGGCTGGCCAAGGACGACATGATGCTTTCTACCGACCATGAGGTCCGCCTCAAGCTGTCGGACGGAAAGTCTTACATCACCGACCTCGACGTACAGACGCTAAAACGGGCCGAGGGCTTTCTGGGCGCCACGGACGAGGAGAAAGGCCCTTGGATATCAGATGACCCGACCGAGGAGCAGCTCAAGGAGATGCTGGAGACGAGCGCCGTCGCTCTTCACTGAAGCGAGCGCGTACATGACCAATGTCGTCACCTGCCTTCAGCGCACACGACTGGGAGCTTGGGCTTGACCGGACCGCTAGAAAAAGGGGTTAATTAGAGGGCAAAGCATGGCGGGCGGCGCACAGGGACTACTGTAACGGATGGCTAGGTTGGGTGCGATGACGGCAAGGAAGGTGTTTTGAATCTCGGGGGTTTATGTCTTTTTTCTTCTTTTCTGACGCCGGTCTATTTTTTTTGGTTGCTTTGGCTTTCCATGACGACTTGGACGGCTCTCGTCGGCCATGTCGCAAGGAAGTGGATGTATTTGATACCCTGATTTGGTTGTTCTTGTGGAACTGGCCTGGGACAAAAAGGAGCGCGTGGGAGCGGCGCCGAGAAGCGCGTCAATAAATTCGTCACTACTTGGCCCGTCTTGGCTGTCGGGGTTTGGGCCGTGACGATGGTTGAGCGCATGTACTGCAGGTGCAAGACGCGTAGGTTGACGAACCGTGACACCCGAGATGGGTCGAGACCGTTCGGGTCCCCTTTTTTTGGCTGGGGCCCTTGCGTTTCATCCCTCTGCCGAAGGGACTTGGCAGTCAGGGCACTGGCCGAGTTGCGGGCGAGATATGCCAAGGGGGGGCGTGCGAGTTGCCGATGTTTCCTCGGCGTTTCTGCAGAGTGTCGGTTCAAACCTCGCGCCATGTGTCCTGCGCCGGCCAAGGGCCAAGGGCCCCACGAGTACCTCGGTGTAGGTATTTATGTCCGCTTGAGTGTTTGGGCTCGCGACTTCCCGCCCGACCAGGACAACGACCTACCTTTTTTTCGACTATGCGTCTTCTTCTCACGCCTTGAGTTGAAACAACAGTCTCCGACACGGGTGTGAGTGTGTGTGTGTGGTGCAAAAGCGGCTGGCCAGACGACGGGCTGACTCGTCGAGCACCAGAGAGAGTGCGGATTCTCCCGTCCGAGCAGCAGCAGCAAAAAGCCATCGCAGCATCCCCCCCCCGTCCACCCCATCCGCGGATCCCGGAAAGGGGGAGGGTGAAGATGTCGCTCACGGCGCGCATCTCGCTCAGGGGCAAAAGCGGCGGCGACAGCGGCGAGGGAGACACCGCCCCCGGGCCAGAAGACTACCTGTCGGGCTGGCGGGCCGTCATCTTCCCCGACGACGTGACCGACGTGCACGGCGACGCCGACCACGGGCTCGTCTACACGTCGCCGCACCTGCCGCGCCCGCTGGAGCTCGACCTGGCCGACCCGCGCGGCGAGGACGACCGCCGCCTGTTCGGCCACTACCTGTGGAACGCGAGCCTGCTGCTGGCGGAGCTGGTGGAGCGTGATTCGCTGGGCGTTGGTGGCGGTGGCGGTGGTGGTGATGGCGGTGATGATGTTGCTGATGATGGCGCCGATGAAGGCGCCGGCCATAGCTTCGACGTCAGGGACAAGGCCGTCCTCGAGCTCGGCGCCGGCACCGCCCTGCCCAGCATCATGGCCGGCCTCGTCGGCGGCGCCCAGCGCATCACCGTGACCGACTACCCATCCCCCGCCATCCTCGACACGCTCAGGGCCAACATGGCCCGCAACCTGCCCCCCTCGTCCACCACCACCGCCCCGGTCCTCGTCCACGGCCACGCCTGGGGCCGCCTGGACGACGCCTTCAGCCGCGCCCACCGCCACGCCTACGACCGCGTCCTCGCCTGCGACACCCTGTGGATGCCCGGGCAGCACGCAAACCTGCACCGCTCCATCGCCCACTTCCTGCGCCCCGCCGCCGCCGGAGCCCGCTGCTACGTCGTCGCCGGCTTCCACACCGGCCGCGACCCCGTGCGCGCCTTCTTCGCCCCCGCCGCCCTCGCCGCCGCCCGCCTCGCCCTCGACGCCATCTGGGAGCGCGACTGCGTCGGCCGCTCGCGTCCCTGGGACGGGCACCGCGACGAGGACGTCGGCGTGCGCAAGAGGTGGCTCGTCGTCGCCGTCCTGAAGCGCGTCGCGAGCTGAAGGATCCCCGACGTTGGCTTTACGTGCCCCCCCTAAAAACAACCAAGAGGCCGGAATTTAAAAGAAAAAGGCACGCCTGCCCCCCCACCCCCCCACCTCAAAGTCGCGTATGATGCCCCGACCCGGCTGCCGACTCTGCTACGATCTAGGCTCGAGACGCCAAGTGCGTGCCGGGCCGAGTAGCTGGAGCTTGGAGCAGCAGCAAATGCTCTCGGGAGATGGCACATGTCGCCTCGCCTCGTCAAGGGGCGTGCAGGACGAGACCGCGCGCGCACTCACAGGCAACTGGAAGGGGAACGGCAGACAGGCCAGTATGGCGGCATGTCGATTCCCGGCGGCGGAAATTTGGGCTGAAACTCCCGGGCCCTTACGGCCAGTGCGGCCGGTGTAGTGTCAAGTCGTAGCTCAAGTGCTCTCACCGAGGCCGGAACTGTTTTGCAGAGATGACAAGTGCGACGACTATAGGATCATTGACTACTGAACTCCTCATCCACCCTTCAAGTCCCAAGTCGTTCATGTATCGTGCCGCCATTGCCCCGAATACAAGCCATCTTGTCATCATGTCTACCACTATGCCCTCAACTGGCAGCCTCGATACTCGGGCCCTTCTCCTCTATCCCCACAACCAAGTCATAGTTGATTCTCACATTCTCCGCCCCGCTAAGAGCTCTCGTCATGATGCTCTCGTGCTTGTCGCGCACCAGCCTCTTGAGCGCGCCGACCAGGAACCCAGCCACCACGTCCACGGGCCACGAGTCCGGCACCAGGCCCAGCACCTCATCGGCGTCGAACCACCCCCCGAAATGCTCCAGCAGCGCGCCCGTCTGCTCGACGCGGTCGCTCGGGTCGGCAATGGCCAAGAACTCGTGCAGCACCACCCGGAACAGGCGCCGCTGCTGCTCAATTTCTGGCACGCTGGCCCCGTGGCGGCGGCCCTCGGGCGGGACGTAGACGCTGGTGCCGCCGCGGAGGCAGTACGACACGGCCGTGTCGTAGTCGCCGAGGTTGTGGACCAGCAACCGTAGCGCGTCGTCGTGATGTTGCTCTCGTCCCGCGAGGATAATCGTCTCCGGCACGAGGAGCTCGCCGGACAAGCGGGCAATGCGGGCCCTGATGGCGGCCGAGTCGTAGTCGTGAGGACCGCCGAGTAGTTGCAAAAGCCGGAGGCGGCTCCGCCAAGTCTCGTCGCCCTCGGGGGCATTCGCAGTGAGGAAGTGGTGATACGTCGGCTTGGGGGCGTGTAGCGCTCGGTACGCGTCATAGGCCGCCATGACGGCTTCTCTGCTCGCAGCAGACGACTCGAGCTCGTCGAGAACCACGTCAAGGTAGTAGGCGACGAGCTCGTTCACGTAAGCTGTGTTCCCCTTGCCAAAGACGAGATACTCCAAGTAGTACTTGACGGCGTCTGGGGCCTCTTCCCTCAGGAGCTCGACAACACGGGCCGGCTCAAACGTAGATGTCCGCGACTTGTCCTCGGCAAAGACCTGCACCCCGAGTCTGGGGTTCCGATTGGCGAGCCAGACGCCATACTCCTGAACGAGAGCCTGACTGCTAATCTTTGCAAGGTACTCTCGCACCCGCTGCTCTCCGTCGCGAAGTTCCTGCCCTTCGTCTCGCTCGCCTTCAATGATTCGCTTCCACGTGGCCAAGACGTCGCCGGCCATCTTGCGGCTTTGGTATAGCCGGCTCAGGACGAAGAGCCTGTGGTATGACTCGAGCAGGTCGACTGCCCTTTCGAAACAGTCCACGCCTCGGTCGACTAGGTCGTTTAGCTCGGACCTCACGGCACCGCCTTTGCCCAATCCTTTGGGTGCATGTCGGTCCAGCTCGAGCAGGACAGTCAGCAGGGCAGCGTCCACGGTCCGAAACACCTCGCTCTCGTCCGCAACGCTGGCAAAGCCCTTCATTCTCCTCCACGACGAGAGAAATCGACGCAAGAAGTGCATGGCTCTCGAGCCAAGGCTGCCCAGCCCAGCCTTCAAGAGACCATCAAAGGCCGTGCTGCGCAGGAAAGCGTCCGCCACCTTTCTGACACCGCCGTAGATCCAGATCCCACGGCGTCCCTCGATGATTTCGTTCCTGAGGCCGGGAACCAACGACAAAACGACTCTGGCATCGAGCTTACTCTCTATCAAAACTTCTTCCAAGGCCTTCAGCTCGCCCTCAAACAGCTGCTCAGTCCCTGACGTCAACAATTCGACCAGGAGTAGAAGCCCTGCCTTTTGTCGCAGATAACCAAAGGTCAGGAATTGCAGTTCAGTTCTCGCCTCTCGGCCGCGTATGGCCTTGAGGGCAGAGTAAATGCTTTGCTTGTCCATGTCCTTGACAATGGCGACCCCATTCGGACATGCAGCATCCAGGGCCGTGTCGAGTTGCAGGATCAGGGGATTCCGGGCAGCCCACCATATGCGATCGCCCGCCCAAACTGCCAATCGTGCATCAGTCTTTGCCAGTCGTCGAGCAAACTCCTCGCCCTCTGCATTTCGAGTGGCCTCCCACCCCTCTGGCAACGAATCGTCATCCGGTGAGTCATCTCGTTCAAACAAGTCTTTCTCCTTGGAAAGTCTCTCGAGTGAAGCGGCCGTCCGGGAGTCCTGACTCCTGATGGATGGCGTCGACGCTTCTATCGGGCTAGGGAAGGGAATGAATCGCCCATGGCTTAGTTTTCCGACAATCTCTTCGAATTGGATCTCGCCATGCCCAACCAGCGAACGAATTCCGTATGGGCTGGGGGTTTCGACATCTTCAGCCGCCAGCCAGTGCTTTTCAGGAATACTTTCGTTGCCAGCACTCCAGCGCTGGATCTCAAGACCGTAATGAACCTTGTCGCTGCTCTTTCTAGCCATTGAGGCCAGAACGTAGCCGTCGTCATCGTCCGGCACCCTAGACCGTGGCGAGGATGGATCAGTCGGAGTGCCGTCAGTGACAACCTGCGTTGGATACTCTTCGAATTCAATGGTGGCGCGCGTGGCATCGCCGTCGAGATTGACAAACATGCCAATGCCAGGCTCCGACGGGCTGGTGCCTATGACGACAAGGAATTCTTCAGGAGACGGAGATGCAATGTGTGGTTTTAAGCTAACCGGTTGCTGGCCCGCTTGTGGCTCTGGAACTTGGTTTGCAGCCGGAGCCTCCGAGGGCGCAGCTGGCAGTGGCTTATCCGCTGACGGAGCAGTGGTGCTCGACTCGGGCGCGGGTGGCGGTGGTCGCGGACTCGTTGACGGAGTAGGGGGCGAGGCTTGACGGGGAGTTGAGTTTCCTCCCTCGAATGGGCGAGGCTCCTGACGTCGAATGTTTCCGAGAATTGCTCCGCCCAGGCTCGTGCTACGACTGTGGCTCTGTGCGACAGCGTGTGGTCGGTTCTCGGCGGACGAGGCGCTGCGGATGATGCCCCCTCCGGCGTCGGCAGCGATGCTTTGGATTTGTCCGACTTCCCCAGGTGGAGGAGGCTCATCCAAGGAGGATATGCTCATCAAGGGAATCTTCAGCTGCCTCTCGATGTCGAGGAGCGCGTACGACTTGGTGTCGGCGACGCATGCTATGGAGTCTCGGCGGATAGACAAAGTGCTGCCTGCGTAGTCGATGTTCTGGGAGGAGGTTAGGGCACCGTCATGGAAAGCCAGGGAACCAAATCGTACTTTGAAAGCGCGAGCGCTCTCACCAACCCGCACGACCTGGATTCGTCGCTTAAGCGAGAGGAGAATCGTGACGTCGGTGGCCGTCTCGCTGGTCTCGTTGAAGTCGGTCCCGCCTATCCAATTGCAGTTCTTGACCTGGCCCGTGGCGGACACGGGACTCAGCTCCGGCAACGAATAAAAGGTCACGGTCCAGTTGCAAAGGACGCATGCTTTGCCGACTCTGGGTAGAAGGAGGATCTGCTGGACGCCGGGCTGAGGAGGGCTCGTAGCGGCTCCGGTCGGCGCGGAGAAGGCGGGCTCCAGCCTGGAAGCGAGGATGAAGACGGGCTTTCTGGACGTATCGGCGGGATCGGGGGGTATCTGGACAAAGTGAAGGAGTTCCGAGGCCGAGGTGCCGACGTAGAGGTTGCCATCTGCCCGTGTGTTAGCGGACGGAGCCCACAACGCTGCGAGCCTCGTCCCGTCTCACCGAGGTACTCGACGCAGTTTATGCCGACAGGGTCTTGCGAGCCGTCTGCCGCCAGAGGCACATTGTCCAGCAGAGACCGCAGCACATAGGGGCCGTCTTCCAATGGCGCGCGGTTCGTGCTTGCCGACGACGGCCCATGGGCGCGGTCAAGAGTCGTCGACATGGTGGCAGCGCACTGATTCGGACATTATCGAGGCAGTGTGCTCATTCTGCTTGCTGCGAGTCAGGCAAACCATGGGCCGGCCTTGTGGGAGCGCCTCGCTGCTTCACGGGCTCGCAGGTGGAGGATGGGGCGATGTTGCGAGGGGTGAGCGGCCTGCTGGCGATTTGCATCTTAGGAGGTAGGTATGTCTGTACGTACCTGCGTCGGTACTCGCTCGGTATCCCCACTGTGGCTCAACCGCCGCCTCAGCCTCGCCGCGACACATGCACCACTGCATGTACTGTACTTGCTCCATGGGACACGTTCGCACGACGACGATTCCATCTTGCGTGCAAACCCACGGCGGCGCAACGGCTCGCGTCCTCACCATCAGCGACCTTGCAAGCACTCGTTACGCACAATGGCCGAAGCCACGGACCCATCGGCGACGGCGGCAGCTCCCGCCGCACCACCCAACCCAGGCACCAACCGGGAAGGGGACAACAAGTTCCAACATGCCATTTCGGCATGGAGAAGTATGCACTCGATGGATCCTCATCATACAACAATGCCGGCCCCTGCTGACACGAGACGGCAGACGTCGACCTCACCACTCTGACGGCAAGCCTCGACAACACAGCCTCGGAGATTGTCGCCTACCAGCGAGACTCGACCGTCCAGCGCAAGGATTTGGCGCAGAAGACAAAGGACTTTAGAAAACTCGAGGACCCATCCAAGCTGTCCGAGATCAAGGGCCTGCTGAAAGGTTAGATCGTTTCTGCTCTTTCGCAGCCGACAAATCGTTAACCATGCGCTTAGCATACCAAACATTCATCGACCTCCTCACCACCCACTCCAAGTCCGTCAACTCTGCCTTTCTACAGGCCTATACTTCGATATCCGATGTCCCGGATCCGTATCCCCTGCTCGAGGCCGCCGTCGACTCCATGCTTGTGTCCGAGGACACGCTGCCCAAGCTTATTGAGGAGAACCAGCGCCTGCAAGGAAGCGTGTCGAACCTGACTTCTCAGCTCGACGAAGCAGATTCCAAGCTCCAGACCGAGCGAGCAGCGCGCAAGGACCTCGAGGACACTCTCGAGACCCGAGTCAAGGAAGTAGAATCGTCATGGACGGCCGTGTTGGATGAGAAGCGGGATAACTGGGAAGCCAAAGAGAGGAGCTTGGAAGAAAAGGTGGAAAATCAAGAGCGCCTGCTGAATGAGATGCGCGCCAGCTATGAGGTGAGCCAGCGACTCGGCAAGCACGGCGATGACCAAGATGCGCAGCGCGGCAACGCCTCGACCGCAGAGCTCGAGATGCTCCACTCGGAGCTTGAGCGAACGAGCTCCAGACTCGCCGAGATCGAGGCACGAAACGAGCAGATGAGGCTGGAGCTGGCCCAAGCCAAATCGACCCTCTCGTCCCAGCCCGAAAAGTCGCTCGAGGATGACCCCAACTTTATGCGGATGCGATCGGAAAATTCGTCCCTGATTCGGAAGCTCGAAACTGCTAGGATGGAGAAGGAGAGCACTAGGCGAGACCTGGACGCGCGGTTGCGGTTGATGGAGCGGGAAATAGCGTTGCTCAAGGACGAGAGAGAGTCGCTCAAGGTCAAGGTGCAACGATGGAACGACTACGACGACATTAAGCAGGAGCTCGAGGTCCTCAAGAGCATCGAGTTCTCTACTGGGGATGACGAGATTGGCGACAAGGCCGAGGGTGGCGCAGGCGCAGGCGAGACGCTGGAAAAGCTCTTGCTGTCACGAAACAAAAAGCTCGGCGACGAGCTCACGATACTCCGCTTGTCTCATCAAGACCTTCAGACGAGGCTCGAGGATATCCAAGAAGAGCTCTCGAGGACGAATGCGGAGCTGGAGAAATCACAGAACCTCAACGAGAAGCTCGAAAGCGACCTAGAGAACATGCAGGCAGAAGGGGCCAACGTCTTCCCATCTGGGGCATCAGTCGCCGGCACCTACGTCACTCGCGCGCCGACTCGAAAGGGCAAGTCCTCGCCCACGTCGTCCATCATCAGCGGCATAGATCCGCGGATGGGACAGGGTGATCGGGAGCCCGTGGGGGGCGGCTCCGGCATCCTGCCCATGGTCACGGCCCAGCGCGACCGGTTCAAGAAGAAGAACGCGCAGCTGGAGCATGAGCTTTCGGAGACGCACCGGACGGCGCAGCAGCTGCGCCAGGAGGTCGCAGCTTTGCAAAAAGATAACCTGAACCTGTACGAGAAGACAAGATACGTGTCGACGTATAGCCGAGGGGGGGCGACGGCGTCATCCTCATCAGCGTACGCGTCGAATCCGAATCACTCGACGGTCTCGATTGGCGGGACCGGGAACCCGGGTATCTCGCTGGACAGGTACCGCCAGGCCTACGAATCCAACATATCACCCTTTGCGGCCTTCAGGGGCAGGGAGTCGGCGAGGGCATATCGACGAATGAGCTTTCCCGAGAGGGTAGTCTACTCCATCACGCGCATGGTCCTGGCGTCTCGGACGAGCAGAAATTTGTTCGCGGCGTACTGCGTGGCGCTGCACGTCGTTGTATTCTTCTCGCTGTACTGGCTCGGAAGCGCAGACTTTGAGAAACACGCCAGCAACTTTGGGTCGGCGGCGGCGGCGGCAGGCCAAGGCGGCTCGTTGACGAATGGAGGCACAGACCACGGACGCTGGAAAGAAGATGGCTTCAGAGAGGGCTGACGGCATATTGCAACGGGCCGCGGTTTGAGCCCTCCTTAGCGTTCTCGGCGGTTGACGCAACCATGTCGTCTGCTTTTGTACGTCGTGTACTTATAAATAGCGTTAACATTACTAGAGGATGTGTGCTGTTTCAACTCGCATTGTTCGATAGGAGATTCAAAGAGGTTATAGCGAGTATGCCATCCCGTGCCTTGACCGAGAGGATGCGGAATGCGAGCAGCGGGCTGGATAGACACAGGTGCTTGAATTTCTCGCGGGTCAATCCACACTGAGAGATGGCAGCCCGTGAATGCACCATGATGCGCTCCAAACCTTGGCTGGCAGGTCATCAGTCCGATGGCCGTTTCGTGTCCCCATCACGGAAGGGCGCAGGAAGGGGATTATGTCGTCATTTCCGAACTGATGAACAATGACATTGTTGAGAGCGCATATCTTCTTGGAATAATTCGTTTACTCGTGCGCCACAGGTTTGCTCGGTGTGGTTGGGACATTCAATCGCAGACATTGTGCCCGCAAGCCGAAACGAAGTGAGTGCCGCTGTGACATGTCGAGGACAGGTTGTAAAAGGGCTGCATCGGCAATTAGGCATTGGCGAGTCCGGTTGCAGAGAACGCCAACGTCGAGATTCGGCAGATTGGAGGGATGAGGTTCAGAACGAACGAGGATTGATGCCGCCATTGCTTGACCTCTGCAATACAAAAGTCGAGCGGCAGTGGCCAATGTCCAGTCCCGCACGGTAGCGAGGCCGGCTCTTGCTCAAAATAAACGCCTATTAATAGGCATGGTCGATCCAGCTGACGCACACAATCTGGATCTATTCCAGGATCTCGGGTCGCAACGGCGCCATTGGATGCCACCATCCGTAAGCGCCCTGGCCGCCGGCGGTGATGGCCTCTCGGCCGACCTGCCTAGCCACGCACGGCGCGAGGCCTTCATTGGACCAGGCGGCTGCGTACATGACGAGGCCCTACTCGGCCCATCAGCGGCTTGGCCAGCCGACCAATGATGAGGGAGCTCCTCGACCTCGCTCCAAGTACGCCCGACGCTGGGCGGCTGGGGCGGCTGGTTGCCGGGCATTCGCAGCCATCGAGCATGGGATGAGGCGCATCATATTAGACGCGATGCGTCCGCTCTCTCATGTGCAACTTCTGCGAACAGGCAACGGTTCTGCTCAACTCGGCCGGCACGTGCGCCATATTGCGGCCGATGTCTCCCTGATATTCGTTTCCCTGCTGTGGAAGAACACAAGGCGTGAATTGGGCGTCCATTTTCTTCGAGCTGTGCAATTGTCTCAAATCAGCTCAAGCAGCGCCAAATCTCGGCACTCGAGCTTGCTCGCGCCCCAGAATGCATCCATCGACGATTCTTGCGTCTACTTTGGCCGTGGTGGCTCGGGCGGCGCCGACATTTCCCGGGCTGGGTCTGACGCACCAGGCCAATGGCGTCGGCTCGCTGTCGGCATACTTTGATATCATCGCCGCCAAAGTCGAGGCAACCGAGCTCCTATCTGCTCCCTCGGGATGTGATTTGTCAAAGGCACAGATGCCGTCAGGTGAGTGCAAACAGTCGATTTTGGCATCTCCCTTTGCGATCCCTCCGACTTACGCAGATGTACAGTAGGCGTCGACGGACTGCCCGCGCCGGCAGAGGGACTGACGGTTCGACACGTGGCCGTCGGGCGTGGAACGCAAAACTACACGTGCGATGCTGGCAAGGCGGACGCGGTGCCGAAAGCGGGCGGCGCAGTGGCGACGCTCTTCAACGCCAGCTGCGTGGCCGCCCTGAGCCCCGAACTCCTGGAGCGGGTACCGAGCACGGCAGTCCGGCTGGAGGAGGGCAGCGGGGCGGCGCGGGACGGCGCCAGGGTTCTGGCCAGGTCGGGTGTCCACTATTTCACCGACAGCTCGACGGCATTCTTCAACTTGGACACGCCGTCGCTGGACATTGGCGAGGCGCGGTGCACCAAGGACAGCTCCGTCAATGCGCCCCCAACGGCGGCGACGGGCCAATTGGGCGAAAAGGCCGTGACGTGGCTGCGGCTGAGGACCAAGGAAGGGGGGACCACGGGCGGCATCAAGGAGGTCTACCGGGTGACGACAGCAGGAGGCAGCCCTCCGGCAACTTGCGAGGGCATGCCGGCGACGTTTGAAGTGCCGTACGCTGCAGTGTGAGTTTTCCCTGCCGAGTATGGCTTCGTCGTTGCTTGGCTCTGGGCGCTGACGAATTGGTGTGCAGATACTGGTTCTGGCAGGGTGAAGTCGGCGACCAGCAAGGGGGAGACGATGGGAGCGAGCCGAAGAACGCAAGCGAATGGGAGAACGCGAGCGAGTGGGAGAACGAGAGCGAATGGGACGATGAGAGCGAGCCGAACAACGGGAGCGAATGGGAGGACGGGAGCGATGACGAAGACGAGGGGGAGTGGCGATTTGATTGAGAGAGAAATGCAGCCCGCTTGTCTGCCGGCCGAATTGGTTGTCGTCGTTTAATCCGTCCCCTCCCCCCTTTTTTCGCCTTTTTTTGTACATATGATTTGGTCTCGACTCTTGGAGTCTGTATGTGGACCTATTTCTAGTAGATTAGAGCATTTCGATGATCAGTCTCGAGAGAAAACGGAGTGGCTTTCGTCATTGAAGGTGCGGGAAGGGTCAAAAATGATGATTGATGAAGGGCTGATGGGCGAAGAAGCGATGGAGTACTCGCGAGGTACTTCGTACTCGGTATCCGTACAAGACACCACTTTCGGTGAGACGCAACGCCGGAGCACGACGAAGCACACCGCCCACCATTCGGCATCGGGTGACTGCCAACCGGAGAAAGCGACTGGCTGCACGTGCACTCAATGACTTGGACGGACAATATGAGTGTCACTGCGCCTGCCGTCTCGATCCAAAAAGGGGCAGTAGGCCTGGGGTAGCACCTATCCAGGGACGCCTATAGGAATCCAAGGCGAATCGACTACCCCGCCGGGCAGCTGTTTGCTCGTTTACATATAGGCCCTACCGGCCAGCCTGAGCAGCAAAGCCAGTTCCTTCTCGCACACATGACCACACCCTCTTCCTCGCACAGCACATCTACGCACGAGCGTGCTGGGAAAAAGGAGTCCTCGGATGAACTGAAGAGGCGGGGGAGCCACTAACCCATCCTCTATAAAGTGGAGGCCTCGCCCGCTCCGTCGCCAAGGCCTAGCAATGCTTCCGCTACCAGCAACCCGCGCCGGTCTCGCTCGGCTGCAGCGCTGGCAGCTCATTCACCGAACCATGCCGGACCCATCCTCGCATCGACGCCGTGCCAGCAGCGGCAGTATCGGCGTCGAAGAGGCAGCGGCCGAACCCGAGCACCATGGAGCCACGGCCGAGACGGAGCAGCAGCAGCAGCAGCAGCAGCAGCAGGGGGGCGAGATGCCGGCATGTTCCGCAGAGAAAACGACTCCTCCTCCTCCTCCTCCTCAAGGTGAGTGAGCGACTCGTGGCTTCGAGCCGAGAGACAAGACCCTCCCGGACCCTTGCATTCCAACCCCCCTCTCTCCCCGCCGATGCCATCAGTCGCTAAAAATACAATCAATTGCCCACCCGGCCATCCTCTCCATCCTCTCTTCTCCATCGTATCATCATCATCCAGATCTCTCTGCCGGCATTGCAAGTGCAGCCAGCTGTCGCCCAAACTCGTCGTCACGGACCCCAACTGACCTGAACCCCCCAATGCAGCCTCTCCTCCCGACTGGCCCATGGGACGAATCCCCGTCGAGATCTTCGAGCTCATCACCTCGTACCTCTCGCGGGCCGAGGTCAAGTCCCTGCGCCTAGTCTGCCGCGAGTTCGAAATCAGTGTGTCGGCCCAATACTTTCGCAACGTCGTCGTTCCCTTCAAGGCCGAGCTCTACTCCTACCCCAACCATAGAAACGGTGGCCCCGCCGCCAGCAAGCCCAAGCTCCTCTTGGACGGCATGCGCATCTTTCACTCCTTTGGCCCCCACATTCTTCGCTTCGCCCTCTCCCTCGAAGTCGACGAGGACTTGCTCGCCTATCCGCCCATCAAGACGGTCCAAAGGGCCGTCCCGTCCTTCTGGGGCATCTACCGCTGGCCTCACGATGACTATCGCCGCTATCACGACCTCGAGGACATCGAACGCACCGCCGATGAGACCGGCTGCATGAGGGAGGCTCTCCGTTGCCTCACAAAGGTCAGGAACCTCGGACTCTGCTGTGACGCCGGCCTCGGCTTTCTCTTCGGCCCCGACTGCGTCGCCCGGAGCGCCGCCGTCCGGCACCCGGTCTTTGCCACTCGGGACTGGCGCTCCGAGCCCGCCCTGTCTGGCGCTGCCAACAGGTCCCTAGTCGCCCTCGGCAACCCGAGCCACTCTGGATTGGATCCCGCATACTCTGTCCAGGGCCCCTTCACCACGGTTAAGCGCCTGACCCTACTCAAGATGCTCATCGACGCCGGCTATGTCGGCGATGAGCAGGTTCAAAACGCCCTTCGCCTCATGCTCAACACCGAAGGCACCACAGTGGAAACGATTGACCTTGACGGCAGATCGACCCCCGTCCGCAAGCTGGAACAAATTTACACTCGCCTTCTCGGCACACCGGACCGCCCTTCCACCCGTCCCCTCATCCCGGCCGACCTCACCATGGCTCAGAGGGAGATGCTTCTCGAGCTCGAGTGGGCACATCGCGCCATGATTCAGTCCTACGTCATCGGCCTGATTGACAATGCCGCGCTTGGGTGCTTCACAAACGTCACCACCCTGACCATTGCCAAGATCCCAAGCAGCCATCTCCACATCTTGTGCCGCGATGACCTCTGGGGCAGTATCCCGAGCCTCAAGAACGTGTTTCTGGGCGTCATCGCCGATTGGAGGTCAGTTGCCGTGTCGACCCCGGGGTTTGTCCAAGACAGGCCCGTGTCTCCCGTCCACGCGGTTGGCAAGGCCTTCAGACTGCTCAACGACTACATCGGCAAGCAACCAAACATTGAGAGCATCCATTTCGAGTGGATCTGCGGCGGCGAGCTGGCACCTGGCTTCCGCTACCGCAATATGCACATCCTGCCTGCCCCCTTCTTCGAAACCACCGACTTCATGACAGCTACCACGGGGCTCACGGACCACCTGGACCAGCTTCTTTGTCTCCCCCACGCCTTGCACCTGTCGCTCAAGAACTGCTGGGCCCCACCCCACGTCCTGCTGCAGACAGTCCGGCAAATGGCGCTCTCGTCGTTGGAGAAGCTCGAGTTGGAGTCGGTCTCGCTCTCAGGCCCTCCCACCGCTGTCCGGCAGGCTTCGATCGCGCAGTTCCTGCGCCACTCCACCCTTGTCTACTATGGGCCCGGGCATGTTAGTTTCAGCGACCTGGTGCACAATGGGATGCCTGGTGGCACAGGCCTAGTCCCGGCTCCCTTGCCAGTGGCCCCTGGCGCCAACGACAATCAGGCCTTCGACCCGGCTCAGGCCCTTGACCCGGCTCAGAATGCCCAGCCGACAACTGAACAACCGGGATTGATGTCATGGCCTGGACTCATGGAGCACTTCTCGCCAAGCTTCAAGCCTCAGCAGCAGCAGGTCCCGGAAAGCAACAACGGCCAGGCCTCCTGGGCACATCTCGAGGCCTTGTCCAAGTATCTGCCCAATACCCATCGACTGACTTCTGACCAGAGCCGTTACCGGCTGAAGTCATTATCGTTCAAGTCGTGCGGCTACGCGGCCGTCGACCTTGCTTACATCAAGTCGCGATCCCTCATACCGCCAAACGCGTCAATCTTGCCAAATATGAACATCATTGACGGCGAAGAGTTGATCTATCAGATGCAGCGGTGCGGGGATAAGAGACTGGGACTGATTATTCCTTACATTCATCCGCACGAACTGGTGACTCTGGAGTCTACGTTCGGCATGGTCATGGGCTGGGAAAATGTTTACGACGAGCGAACCATTGAGGATGCCCTCGCCGATGGCATAGAGCATCCTGGCTTGGGTCGCTTTTCCGGTGTTATCGAGCTTGATCCTGGACGCTGATTTCGGCTTACATGCCCTCGCTATTTTGCTGAGCCTCCAGAAACAGGATCTGCAGACTTCTGGTCTCGGGAGCGACGCTTTCATTCTCCTGGCTCTACGATGGTAAAGACTTCGACTCTAGGGAAACCCGCGCGGGAAGACAAGACTTTCCTTGTGCGCCTAGTGCCGCAGTGCGGTTTACCAGCGTAATCATCTGGAAGGGGGTGTGAAAGAATTAGGATCTTGAGGAATAGGAAGGGGAAAAGCCCCTAGATTATGACACCCTAGCTTGACGTCAAGAGATACCCTTTGTTACTGTATAATGCTCGGCGAGAGATGGATAGATGGGTAGGAAAACCGAGGTCAAGGCAATGGGTGACCACAGAGCTGGTGTGATGTTTCTATTTGAGCAGATGAAGTCTGTAGCACAATATGATGCGCCAGGCAGTGATAGATATACTACGATGCAGTACGGTAGTAGCTCGAGGTCAGAAGAACAGCTTCCCAAAAAGAACTGTCTGTCAGACTGGGCAGTTCACGTCTGTTGGCCTGTGCGCCGAGCATCACATCGGTTGCCGTACTCCCGCCCAGGACAGCTTGGCCCATGAGCAGCATCGAGGAAAGCTTGCTCAGGATGAATGACGGCTTCGGTGGCCCCGCCGCATGGCCATTATCGCAGAGCCGAGCTTTGAAGTCGACGTGCAGTTCCACATTGGACTTATGCCGCAGACAGAGATGTCTGGTTGGTTGCACCGGCTGCGTGGGGTTCTTTGTTTGTTCCTTTTTGAAATTTCGTCAAGAATCCTCGCAAGGAAAAGAGAAAACTTGCACGCCAACTTTCCCTTGTAATGCCATGCTCCCGCCGTAGCCTGCCATACACCACGAGATGAAAAGCGACCCATCACCCCGAAAACATGTCGACGTCCAGAAAACCATTCCTCCCTACCCCCTGCAACGCCCCTTTTCGTCTATGCGGCGGTGATGGCCTGGCGGACACGGGCGCCGCGCTGCCTCGAGTTGAGTCGCAGCTGCTCGCGGCCGACGACCTGGTCCGACTTCTGCACCACCTCGTCGCCCTCGGTCAGGATCAGCTCGATGTGGCAGGGGTTCGACATGTAGGGGTTGATCTGTCAAAGCCCAGTTAGCCAAGAATCCTTCCACGTCCTCCAAGCAGGGATTGGATGGATTCGACGTACGCGACCGTGGGCACGGTATGTTCGGCGGCGCTGCTTGGGGGCCTGGTTGACCTGGATGTGCTTGACAATCAGGGCACCGGTGTCGAGGCCTTTGGCATCCGCGTTGGCCTCGGCGTTCTTCAGGAGGTCCAGCAGGAACTGGGCCGACTTGAGGGGCCACCGGGCCTTGGAAACACCGAACTGCTTGCCTGCGTATCATGATCCCGTCAGCCGCTGCCCGTCGCCCACTTTGACGAAAACATGGTGCATCGCGCGATGAGCCAATATTGACGATTCGCTCTCGAGAAAACGCATGTGCTTCCGGTGTTGCCAATGTTCCCTCGTACCTTGGGCGCAGCGTCCGGTGCTGCCAGCATATCGTCGCATGGGGACGGCCTCCTTGTGCTCCTTGACATTCTCGAGGAAGGCAACGGCGCGCTGGAGTTTCCAGCCGTTGATGGCCTGGGCGGTCTCGCGGGTGTTCTTGAAGGAGACTCGCAGGTAGGAGCCGCGGGCGCGGGCCGACTTGGAGGGCTGGATCTCGGTCGCGGCGTATCGGACCTGGTGCAAAATAGGCAGAAGTCAGTTTCCGTTTGTTGGAGCGCTTCGGGAGCATTCGAAACCGTGCAGCAGCCGTCGATCGAGTCTCTCCTCCTTGAAATCTGCAATGCGGCGGGGCACAACTCACCATCTTGACGGTTTGGTGGTGGGTGACTGGTTCGACGACACAAGTTCGCAGACTGGAGTTGAGGAAATTCAGAACTCCCACTCCAGGGCGCTGGGGCCGGGCCTCGCTTACCGCTACGGGGAGTGACTAGGGCTTGACTGCCCTGGCCAGTCAGCGCACAGCAAACTCAGACAGTCGCCCGACGAGAAAAAGCCGTCACAGAGCCCAACACCCACGTACACGAACCGATATGATTTGAGTAGAAAAAAATCCTTTGTAAGACACACGCTCAATGTCTTTCCATGCTGTCTCTGTCATATTCAAGAGCCCAATTCAAACTGCGCAGCGCAGTGGTTCGTGTGGCCTCGCAGAGTCTCGTGACTTGGCATAAGTCACGTGACCGTTGAGGAGTGGATGTCAGACGCTTATTAATGAATGTGCAATTGCGGAAAAACAGTCGGTCCACATCAGGGTCTTCTCAAGCATTAGCCAATAATGGTGAAGTGGGGCCGGCAGAAAAAGGTCCCCAGGGCAAAAAAGCTTTAAAATTTTCTTTTCGTCTTCTAAGGGCGGCGGTCATCATCCATCACCGATCAGGTCAACAACAGGCCAGCTCTCCCCCTCTCATACCGTACAGCGGTCGAGGACCTCTTCTCTACCCGGCTTTAAGAGATCCCGAAGCGGTTGCGGAACCTTTTCCATTCTTGACTCCTCTCCGAAGCACGCAGCGTCATGGCATTTGGTCCCCCCCGAGGAGCCCCCCGCGGCGGCGGCATGCGAGGTGGTGCTCGCGGTGGTCGTGGTGGCTTTGGTGATCGTGGTGGCTTTGGCGATCGTGGTGGCTTTGGAGGTCGCGGCGGTCGCGGTGGTTTTGGCGGTGATCGCGGAGGTCGTGGCGGTCGAGGTACGAGTCCACGTTGGTTGCTGTCGAGTATCGGATGCGCTGACTTGAACACCAGGAGGACGAGGCGGCGGGTTTCGAGGTGGCCGCGGCGCCCCTCGAGGCGGCCGCGGCGCTCCCCGAGGAGGTGGCGCGCCTGGACAGAGGGGAGGATCCAAGGTCATCGTCGTACGTCCCTCGTCCCCTGCCTTGTCGCAGATCTCGGGACTCTGCGCTTCTTGCCATTCTAACCAGGCCCCAACTCTAGGAACCCCATCGGCATCCGGGTGTCTTTGTCGTCCGTGGCGGCAAGGAGGACGGCATCGCCACGCGCAACATGGCTCTGAACGAGTCTGTCTACGGCGAGAAGCGTATCCAGCATGACGAGGTTGTCAAGAACGACGACGGCACTACCACCACCACCAAGGTCGAGTACCGGATGTGGAATCCCTTCCGCAGCAAGCTGTGTGCTGCCATTGCCGGTGGCGCCGACGAGATCTACATGCGGCCCGGCTCCCGTGTGCTCTACCTGGGCGCTGCTTCGGGCACCTCCGTCTCCCATGTTGCCGACGTCGTCGGCCCCACTGGCTATGTCTACGCTGTCGAGTTCTCGTCTCGATCCGGACGAGATCTCATCGCCATGGCTTCGAAGCGGCCCAACGTCGTGCCTATTGTCGAGGACGCCCGCCAGCCTGCCCGCTACCGCATGATTGTGCCCATGGTCGACGTCATCTTTGCCGACGTTGCGCAGCCCGACCAGGCCCGCATCGTCGCCATGAACGCCAACTGGTTCCTCAAGACTGGCGGCGGTGTGCTCATCTCCATCAAGGCCAACTGCATTGACTCTACCGCCCCTCCGGCCGAGGTCTTTGCTAACGAGGTCAACAAGATGAGGGCAGAACACATTAAGCCCAAGTTCCAGCTGACGCTCGGTGAGCCCGCCCCTCGCGCCTCCCAATCCGCACATCGTGTCAGGGGTCAAATTCTAACCAGATGTCTCTAGAACCCTTTGAGCGTGACCACTGCTTGGTTGCCGGTGAATATCAACGTCACCAATCATGATACGTGGTTTGTCCTTTGTCAACACGGCACCACCATACTCTTGATGATGGCTTCATAGGTCTCACTTGATTTCCCGGCACATTTGACGACTCACGTCTTCTGTGCACAACAGAGTCATATAGCACGCCTTGATGACTTCACTTGCTATTTCTTCCCCTTACCTTGCTTTGGTTTTCTAGGACGGGCTGCTTCACCGGGGCGAGAGGGCGTTTACGGGCATGGCTGGATTTTGTGTAGGCTGTCTACTGGCGTCACGGCCAAATGGAAAATTAGGCGCGACTCGCGATCCTGCAGTCGGGAATGTGCCGGTACCATGTGAAGACTCGTAGCGGCGTGTCTCCCGCCATCCTTGTTCACGCTCGTCAGCTCCCTCATTCATCGTGAGGTACGGTAATTATATAGATGCGAGTTCTATTTACAACGAGATGAACTCCGGTATGCGGAGGGTGCATGAATAGTTGCTCAACAACTTTCGCCACTGGCAAAAAGGGGACGTCCCCTCGGGGCGGAGCATTGAGTCTTGGTCATTATCATCATTTGGGCACTTGGCGCCTCTCAAACATGTAGCGATGTATGGCTCCGCATTCTACGGCTGTCGCCGCCGAAACTCCAGCACCGCATCGGGGCTGGGCGACTTGGTCATGACAATGGACATGGGCTTGGGCCTCTGGTCACCCGGCCGGAGCCGGATGTCGTAGCCCAGGACGAAGCGGGCGAGCATCAGCTTGATCTCGTTGCCGGCGAAGAAGCGGCCGGGACAAGCGTGGCGGCCGGCCCCAAAGTTGACGTACGTGTCGCCGATGGACGTGAACTGCAGGCGGTTGTTGGCCTCGGCAGACTGTTGGCGTAGGTGGTAGAAGCGTAGGGGATCGAACTGATCGGCGTTGGGGAAGAAGCGCTCGTCGTGGGCGATGCCGGCCAGGGGCGCAACGACGCGGGTGCCGACGGGCAGCTGAGTGCCGTCGGAGAGAGCGATGGGCTTCATAACCTTGCGGAGGAAGGAGACTTGAAGGCTGTCAGCAGATGGGCGGCGGCCGCTGCGGATGGAGAGACTCACCGATGTTTCCGCGTAGTCGCTGCACCTCCCTCATGAAGCTGTCCATCTTCTTCAGCTTTGCCATGCTATCCTTTCTCATCCAGCCCTCGTCCGCCTCGAGGACCTGATGAGCCTCCTTGCGCAACTCGTCCTGAATCTCGGGATGGGCCGCCAAGTCGTATATGCACTCGCAGAGAAGGCCGTGCGTCGTGTGGATCGAGGCCGCCGCAGTCACGAGCTGCAGTTCTGCCTGCGTCTGCACGTCTGCCTTTTCATTGTCGGGCAAGGCCTCGATGAGCCACTGCATCATGTCGTTGGGGGGCTTCTCACAGCTCGGGGAGTCCAGGTCACGGATCCTCTCCTCCAGGATTGGCCTAATCATGTTTTTGGCGTTTTCAATGTCGCGGCGAATCTTGCCCAGGTCCGACACGAAATATTGGGTAAAGGGCCGCGCCCACTCGGGGAAGAATTGGAGCTTGGCGCCAGCCATGAAGACGTGGATGGCAAAGTTGATGCTCGTGTCCATCCACCGCTCCTGGCGGTTTATGTCAGGGCCGACAAACGCCCTGCCACTGAGGCGAGTCACGGCCCTCAGAGCAAAGGGGTGCCATTTCACCGGGGTCCAGTCGTCGCAGGCAGGGAACTCTGTGGCGACAATGTACTCGAGCTCTTCCTTGAGCTGGGGAGCGAGCTTGACGAGATTTTGCGTCAGACGGGTCCGCAAGAGCAGTGTCAAGAGCTCATCGTTGTGGCCGGGCGAGAACTTTGTGTACTTGCTTTGGAGGGCCTAAGGAAGTATGTGTTTAGAACATGGGCTATTATGACACAGGCTTGCGGGCGCGCGAATTACTCACATCGGCAATGGCCTCCTTGGCACTTAGGACGTCTTCGGGCAGAGTCTTGAGCTCGCCGACATAGTTGGAGGGCAGAACGAGTTGAGGCCCCTCGGTGCCACTAATCTGGTACACCTTGTCTTGGAACTGTGGTGTTGTTAGCTCCGGTAGTCGGAGGGCTGGAGAAGCAGACGAACCTTGCGGTAGCTATCCTTGACGAGAGTCTCTGCCGAAAAGATCCACTTGGTCTTGGAGGCCTTGTAAAGAGGAACGGGGAGGGTACAGTGCCGCTTCCTGGACTGTATTAACCAGGCAACGAGCAAGGCCGCGGCGACGGCGACGTAGTATGTCGAGGGGAAGCGCCAAGTAGCCGGGACGGGGATGGGCACGCTGAGGGCAGACTGCCAAGGTGTGTCGGAGGAGCTATTTTCCATGGTGAGGTGGTGAGGAAGTCAATCGAGGGATTTGGTCCGGGCGCAGGCGGCATTCGCGGTCTCGGGCGGCGTTCCGGACACCGGGGATGAGGAAGAGCAGACGAGAGCCCAGGCATGTGGCTGCTGAGAGGTCGGCGGGCGGCACGACGCTTTGGTGGCGAGGAGCGGCAGCGAGGGCGTCTCTTCTATGATCAGGAAGGCAAGCCTTTGGTTGTTGAAATAACCCGAGCAAACAAGACAATAATAACCCTGGATGTAAGTGGAACCGAGAGCGAGCAGGCGGGCGGGCGGACGAGAGGCGAACCGAGCGCCACGAACGGGACTGAACTATGTCAATACCATTGTAAAATAAAAGATAAAAATAAAAAGAGCGTGAGTATGTATGAGGACAAGGGCGAGAGGGAGGGGGAGATTGGGGGAGATTGGGGGAGAACTGGACAGAGATGGACCGAGAGATGGACTGAGAGAGGGCACGCGGCGTCGCAGGAAGTTTCGTCGAATCGTCTGAGACGCAATGCGTTCGGGATGTGCCACCTCCGGGGGCCTTAGCTCGGGACGAAATCTCTATTTTTGTTTCGAGGCTCTTTGGGCGCTTTGGCCCACCCCCCCTTGGCTCTCTCCATGCTCAGGTGTAGACGGGTTAGCGCCCGAAGAAGCATACCAGGTGAGTTGACCGAGTGGACGTGTCGGGTTGATGGATTACTGCGGGAAGTGGGCGGTGCGAGGGAGAATCTGTGTGCAAGGCAGAGAAAAAGAGATGCTCACGATGCATGATGACTGGACCGTACAGTAAGAAGCACAGTGAATACGTGGTGTCTGCGTTGCTTCCCATGTTAGTGTCCGCCGACTGCTGGTGGTCAGTCGGTACTGCTAAAAAGCCGACGGCCCACGGATAGGACAAGTATCTCGCTATCCACCGAGTACAAACAATCACACTACCTATCAACATGACCAGCCAGGGACAGTGCACCTGACTAACCAAATTGCTTCGAGGATAATTAGCTCATGTCAAGCAAGAATCGAAAGCTTGACTGCAACCAACATGGCGAGTCGCGACTGGGCGCCGATTCGCGGCAGGACATGACACTCTTGCTGCTCGAGGCTATTTTGCTCTGCTCCGGCCTCTTCTTCTAATCCCGCCCACTGAAACGTCGGGCTTTCGAACAGACGGAGCGCCAACGACCAAGGGAGAGAGATCATCGTCCATCATTCTCGCACGGCATCCATCGCCCAACAGGCCATGGCGACGACGGCCGCCGATGATCTGTGCCCTGTTGGGCCTCGGATGTTTGCCTTTCCAGCGCCCTACTGCGCGCTAGCACCCGCCGGGTCCACTGCGCACCCGGGACCCCTGAGGGGAGCCTTCATTTTGTGGACGAATCGTCACCCGCGGCCATTCGTTGTCCCTTTATCGTATCGGGTGCCGGAACACGTGGAGGCTGTAGCCACGTTGGCGGTGTCGACTGCAGATCATGCAGTTTGCTTACCGAACGGAACAGCTCCTCGACGACTTCCCGAGCCCGAACGCCCAACAAACATTTGCCTCTTGTCGTGGCAACTCGATGCCAGTTCAGCTCTCTCCGTCCCGTCCCGCATTTCCCGTGACACCTGAACGGCGGGCCTCAGCCAACTGACCGGCCTGTCCGCTGCCTCACATCATCAAGAGTATACACCAGTCTCTCCCTTGAGCCCGAGGTGTCGGACTGTCGTGATCCCCTCTTCGGACGGCAGCCCGGCTCCCTTGCGCTGGCACCTGTCAGCCGTCTTCCGAGACATCCGCATCCTCTAGCGGCCCCGGATCTGCCAGATCCCGGCGCCGGTAACGATCTGTGAGATGCATGGCGGAAAGGAGGCGTTCAAGCCCCGCCCTGCCCCCCTGCCATGCCGGATGCCAAGGTAGCGGCGGCTTGCGTCCCAACAGGGCTGCTATTGGACACATGTTGGCGGCCTCATGAGCCACATTCCCTGCCAGCATGTTGGTCACCTGCCACTTGGCACGGCCACCATTCATCGACCTAATGCCCTCGGGGTTTTCCTGCTACGGCTGTCTCGAGCTCGGTCGACCGTTGATTCGGTCTAGCCTGTATCTGTACATGACTGTACTGCACGGTAAATCAGCTTTCTGCGAAATACAATCCATATGTCGTGTGGCGGAGAACATTCTCAAACCCAGTGATCGGAATGGTCCGGTATGAGTTGGTATTGGTATGGTAAATACCGCCAAGACCTGGTATGGTTTGACAAAAACTTGATACCATGGTATTACCGGTATACCGAATCATACCAGTAACGCTAAAAATAAGCTCAGGTAAGAGGCTCACTGCGGAGAATGACCAGGCAGAATCCGAGCGGCGATGATTCCAGTGTCATCTGTAGGGCTTATTGACCAGTTTTCTGCCAGTTTATCTACTCCATTCAATCATGAATACCATCATCCTCACAATATCGACCTGGCTACCTTGGTCAGGTCGATCCCGGCACCGAACGGATGCTTTTCGTCTTTGCTGCCGGGTAGCTATCCCAGGAAGGCCCGAAGGTAAGGCGAGTGTTAGTGCGTATTAGAAAGTACTTCTCATTGCACCCAGTTTTATGAGTTCTTCCATGTAGGACGGAGCATGACCTAACGTATCACTGGCCAGACTTGTCAATCGCGTCGTCGGAGGGACAGGAAAAGCTTAAATGATCCTTTCAGGGACAGGAAAGCTTAAATGATCCTTTCAATCGAATTACTTCCGTGATGTTGGAGCCCGAAAATTTTTACGTTAGGCTAGTTGGACGATGGACCAAGATCGAATGATCGAAAGCCACCATACCTTAATTGGTGTATGTCATGATCATGGAATCTCCAGCGCCAACCTCGCCATCTTCGTTTACGACAAGTTCAGCATCAATCCGCTCCAGATCTCCTGCATCGTGTCCCGCGCCACATTTTTCCGCTACGACGCCATCGTCTAATTCTGTCCGTTATCCTGAGCCTCCGGACGAATTCGTACAAGACCATGTCACGTACCTGCGTCGCGCGAAGACGACGAAGAAGGCAGCTCGTCTCGGCTCGTCGCATGTGTGGAAGTACGGTCTTCATTACATCCGAGACAGTGACAAGAAAGAGGTATACTACTGTCACGAATGTGCGATCGGAAAGTATAAGCAAGAGTTATTTGTGATCAATGGCACGTCGGGAGTGAGAAATCATCTCGAACAGAGGCACCAGATTGATCCACAAAGCGGCGTGAGGAAACGCGGTGCGACACGGGCGTCTGTATTGGAGCAACAGAAAAGCGCAGCTGCTAGTAGCAATTTTTCTGGAAAGATACCGTTGAGAGGTTCAAAGAGCTTTTGATTCGTTGGGTTGTGTACTGCCATATTGCTTTCTTCCAGTTGGAGAACCAGTACTTCCGAGAGCTACTCTTCTTTCTGAACCCTGCTCTACTTAATCACCTCCCAAAGGCTGCGAAAACAATTCGAGGTTGGGTTATGGATGCGTTCCTGTCGAAGAAGCAACAGCTGAAAGAGGACCTCCAGCGGTCGCGGAGTAGAATCTCCATCTCCTTCGACCTCTGGACCTCGCCAAACCCGTACGCAATCCTGGGTGTCGTCGCCATGTGGATTGACGCCACCGGCAAGCGACGAAGTACCGTCCTGGGCATGCGACGCGTTCATGGCGAGCACAGTGGCGAGAATCTTGGGTCGACCGTTCTCGAATTATTGACGGAATATGACATTGGCGGAGATCAGATTGGATACTTCATGCTGGACAATGCTTCATCCAATGATACCGCTGTTGAGTTTATACTCAAGGAGCTCTGCCCATGGATGAAGCCGCAACAGCGTCGCCATCGCCGACTGCGCTGCTTGGGTCACATTGTCAACCTCTGCTGCCAGGCGTTTCTCATGGGTCGAAATTGTGAGAAGCATTTGGCGAAGCTTGAAAAGCACCACCAGCGCGGAGATTACGTGAAGGTAGAGGAGCTGTGGAAGAAGTTTGGATGTTTAGGCCGGCTCCATAACCTTGTGCGGTACATCCGGCTTACTCCTCAAAGGCGGGAGGAGTTTGCAGCAATTATTATCGGCGGCCATCTCTCCGAATTCGATGGGCTCGAGCTTATCCAGAACAACTCCACACGCTGGAATTCGTGGTTTCATTCGATCACACGAGCGTTAAATGTTCGAGAACGTTTGGAAATCTTCTCAGCTCGTCATGTACCAGGAGAGGGTCTCAAGGGATTTCGAACTTCAAACTAGATGGACAGCACTGGTTCGAGCTTGAAAAGATCGAGCTCGCACTAAAAGACTTCTTCGCGGCAACTATGCTTGCTGAAGGAAACAAGACATCCCTCGCTGACTGGTTTTCGACTTTGGACTGTCTTCTCCGCGAGATCAACGAGACGAAGGATCACTACCATGACATTCACGAGGAAGACGACGACGACAACTTCACGTGGAGGTATCTCCAGGTTGTGCAGATGCTGCGTGGTCAAAGTGCGAGGAGTATTACAGCAACCGACAACGGAATTGGCAACATCGATTTCCTGAAGATACTGATCTTCCGCCAGCGTATTACGCAGCTCAAGTACTCAATCCGTATCGAAAGTGGGCATGGTTCAGGCAAGAATGGGTTCTTCAGGGCGACGAAGGAAGACAGAAGTGGTATGAAAGCGCACAGCTGGCGGTGAAGCAGCTCTGGGAGACAGAGTATAAGGGAAAGTACCCTGTTGAGGCGCTACCACCTCCAGTCAGGAAGGACAAGGATCCAGACCCAGCATTCGATCGGCAGAGGGAACATAAGCGCATTCGCATAGACGGCCCGGCTGCTGCCACCGATCTGTATGAGCAGTATATTTCGACCGACCGGCTGCATGACGAGGAGGCAGGTTGCGATGAGGCCATCGCCTATTGGCTATCCCGTTATGACTCGCAAAGAGACCTCGCCCGCTTCGCTCTGGATCTATTTGCGGTTTCCCCAATGTCAGATGAGTGCGAACGGCTGTTTAGTAGCGCAAAGCTTGGTATAGTTGATCGTCGAGGTAGGCTTAAGGCAGATATCATAGAGGCTTGTGAGTGTCTACGTGCCTGGTATGGGAAGCCTCGGGCTGAGGATAGCGAAGATAGCGGGGATAGCGAGAATGAAAGCGAATAAGCGATCAAGTTGACAACTAGTAGCCAATACATTTCCTATTTTTGCAACCCGCCTCATTCTGAGCGGTCTTGGCGGTATTACTGGTATTACCGGTAAGCCATACCGGTAAGGATATCAGCAGGTGGTATGGTATGGTATAGAGGTCATACCATACCATACCGGACCATTCCGATCACTGCTCAAACCTCGAGCCTGACCTGTCTGGTGTGCTCAAGAAAAGTGCCGGCTCAAACCACGTCATGCCATGGCTCCATGAGTAGCCTCGCAAACTGTACTTGGAAGAGACGGGGACGAAGAGGCAGACACTGGCTTCTCGAGCCGAGGCTTGAGATGTATAAGATTCGAAATCTTCCAAATATCGACAAGGGGCGGCGCTCGATTGCGGTCCAAACAAATCGCTGCCAATCAACCGTCTCCCGGGGCGGTGGGAGACAGATATATCATATACCTCGAAGGGCAGATGCTGGCTTGCCCCAGGTTTGGCTGACATGGTTCGTCGATCCCTCCATCCACCTTTCTGGGAGTTTGAGCTCCCGACGCTTTTCGCGTGTCAGTTATTCAAACAAGTGCACCGTCGAATCTACAACAAAGTAGCATCTCGTACCAGGAGAGGCGGGCAGGCTGGTTCCAGTTGTGTTTCAGTGTAGATGGTTCAAGCCTGGCAGATCGATCAGCTTGCTGACTGAAAGCAGGAAGAAAAGCCGTTCCAGAGTGAGTCTGAATCTGCAGACAACATCGTCCGAGAAGGCCCGGTAGATTAGTGTGGAGAACCCCGAGTCTCGATATGTGCCCAACGATTGCGTCTCGGCGTCATCGACTGTCGACGTAGAGCTTCTTGGTGGTTCGCCGTCATTTCGGTCCCCAGCTGAATCATCAAGGATAGCCCTTAACTCTGATCGACTCGAGGGTAGGTAAGCAGGCGACTGGGGACATACCGGGCCGAAGCCGGGAAATGAGCAACAGTAAATTAAGCTGGCCGAGAGAATATCTCTCGTTTACTCGTCAACTTGGGCTTTGAAAACTGAAAGGCATGAGCCAAATACTCTCGTTGCCTTGCACTTTGAGCTGTGCCCCCTGTGCTACCTCAAGCTCCCTATCAACGTCAATATGGAGCAATTGATGCATGGCATGTGGAAGACAGTTGTCTTCCCACGTAGCTTTCAAGAGTCCAGGCTATATGCACAGATTGCAGTTGTGAGGGATATGTTGGCTGATGTTACTTGTGTGTTCCTCTCCTTCCCTTCTCCCCACTGACCAAGGCCCCTTATTTGTATCCCTTTCTTTCTTCCTTCTTGATTTCCCTGTTATGCTTTTATGATACAATATACAATTTGTTGGCAAGAAGGGCTCAACGACCTCTTCCTCCATATAGCCTCGTCAGCTTCTTGAGCTTCTATGCATCCACGTAGCTTTATCGTCAGCCTCGATCCTGATATACAGCTCGCGTCATAGCCTTAGCCCTCACATATCCCTAGCTACCAAGATCTCCGCGGACATATTTCGCGACAGGAGGGGACTCACTACGTAGTCTCTCGCCAAGGGCAATCTTCAGGCTTGAAAATCAACAGCAGATGTCGGCGTGGGCTGCCAAACGGTGGGCCCTCAAAGCTGAAATTCACCCCCCTACCTGTACTCAGATTCGACTATTGACCAAGCTTCGATCCCAGAGTCTATCGACCAGTCATGGTCGTTTCTGGGCGGGACGCCACTGGTCATTTGACGGATTCTTAGTATTCGGGGTAAAACCCGCTAGCTTCCCAGTCTACGATGGCCACCGCCGCCCAAGTTCACCTTGAACAAGGCGGTCTATAATGACACGCGTGGATTAAATGTTCCCCGTCCGCAGAGCACATGCGTGACCTTGGCATCAGAGTCGGTGCCTCGCACAGTGTCTTTGCGTCTGTCTCGAGGAAGCTTTTCGGGACGTAGTCTTCGGGGTCCGCGAAGACAGATTCGATTCACGAGGCGTGGGGTCGACTAGATGTAGGCCAGCAACCAGAAAGGCACGGGCTGCGTCTTTGCATTTTGCCCCCAGAAATCGGCAAAGTCTTCGGCTCCGCGTTCTGCGAATGACCAATCCTCCCGCTCGTAGTCTTATTCCGCTCGCAAGGAGCGCCGCTGACGTCCGACATGTCGGCCCCAAAGTCGACAGGCTCTCCCCGCTGGTACTGGTCGATGCGCCGGTACAGGGCTTCTTTCTCGCGGAGCATTCTGGCCCGGGCTGCCCGTCGATTCTTGACCATCTTGAACGGAGCCCACGGCGGAATTCCTATCATCAACAATGGGAACAAGTCGTTCAATGGGTGCGAGAAGATCTCTCCACGAGTTTTGGAGCTTCCTCTTGAGGTCTGGCGAGCCGATTTCGCCAAAGACTTGCACGAAGAGGGAGGGTGTACCGGACGGGCTCGGCAGAGTCATGTCGGCCGAGGATATAACTTGCAACGGCGATCTCGATGGTGGCCCAAACTGGAAAGAGTTTGTATTTTTCGGGCCTGCGCATCATCTCATCATTCATCGGGTTGACAGGACTCCTTTCTCGGCACTCGAGGTCAGCACACTAGCCTTCTCTTCATGTGCCTTTATTATTTACCTCCCGGAGTGGTCGAAGCCCAAAGATGTTGGCGCCCCCTTCTACATCGACACGAATGCCCTCGTCTTGCCGCGACACACTCGCCTACATCGCTGAGGCGGCCCCGGTTAGTTAGAGGTTTTAGAAGGATCGGTCGATTGGCAACATTGCCGGCCGTGCAAGTGCCGGTACGAGCCGAAACAATTTCATGCTGAATACCGGCGATAGAGGGGAAACGAAGTCGGTAAGAAGAGATTGAAGCACCACTCCTTCCCAGGCTTATAGAGCAACCGCGTGATCGAACCATGTTCTCCAGTGCGAGAAGGAAAGCGGCGTCAAAAATATCAAAGATGCCAAAGTTCAGCTGTCCAACATGTGCAATGGCTGTGGCATGACAAGCGGGCCCTTTCATGTTGCATGTGTAAGCCTACGGAAATCTGCTTATGTCTGCTCCGGGGTCGGGGCAGAGGGAGCATAAGCGAAAGGACATTTGGAGCACGTGGGATTCTGGTGGACGCTGCTGGATTCAAAACGAGATGTGACGAGTGTGAGGCTCCAGCTGCAGCGTCAGGATACAACAGCAATAATCCCTGCGGCAAAGCACATCTGAGGCACCGGCGAAGGATTACTCGCCATTACCTCGGTAACGTTGGCCGCTCATCTCGCTTCCCACCTCGGGTCAACGCTGATGGCTTCATGCCAAGTTCCGCCTACCGTTCCAAGCCTGTTGCTAGGACTGCCCAGAACAGGAAACAGGGGGTGACGAGTGTTCCAATATCGAATAAGTGTGAGTGGGGGGGGGGAGTCGAACTTGTTGGGAAAAAGAAAGGATGTAGTAAGATGAGATGGATGAAGACGGAGGGTGATTGATAAGATGATCAGATAAAAAGAACTTTTCCTCCAAGGATGTACCTGGTATTTACTGTACTTTACGGAGTACAGTACCTGTAGGCCTGGGGTACAAAAATAAAGTACCAACTGGGGTTCCGCCCTTCCTTCCAACCCCAAACCTCAGGAGACGGCGAGGGATGCCGGGCCGAAGAATCCCGAGGGGCCGGCGAACACGAAGGGCCAATTTGGGGAAGGAGGCAAGCGCGTGCCATTCCGACCTTCCGACCGCGGGCAGGATGCCACACGCACTGGGCGCCGCACCGTGTACCAGCAAATCTTGACCGTCACGAGTCGCTGGCTCCACCCTCTCACCGTGCGCTTCGCTGCTGTCTGGGGTGCATAGGACAATTAACTTAAGTACTGTAAGAACCTGGGAAACCTTAAAACCCTAATGATAGAGAGCGTGAACTCGAGATGGGAGCAGACTCGACGTCCTTTGCACGGCAGCGGAGCAGGACTCCGAGAGCGGAATTGGTGGCGTGACGGCGAGGAGCTCCGTATTCTCGCACACGGGCCGCAGCGAGAAGGGTGCCATGTCGCGACAAATCGATCCATCGGCGGTGGATACGGGGGGCAAAACCCGGTGGCCGATATTCGGCGCCGCCGCTAATCAATCAATCAATCAGTCACTCAATCAATCAATCAGTGAGCTCATTTCCGAGTACGCGGGATCGTGTTACGCTCTGCACGTGGGCCTGACACGCCATCTTCTTTTTCCCCCTCCTCGCTCTGGACTTGCGACGACGACGATGCATGGCCCCAGAGGAATAAGGCCCAGCCAGTGCTGCCTATCAAATATTACAGGCAGCTACAGGACCTACACGAGCTTGACAAATTTCTCTCCACCGTCAACAAGGAGGGAGCTCCGTCCATCGGCCCAGGCCGTCAGAGCGTGATTGATAAGGCCCCACGATCGATGCTGTCACCACGTCGCAATCGTGAGATCACTCCACATGTACTCGACTTCGGGAGCCTCTCTCGGTATCCGTATCCACGGGACGCATACGCAGCATCTACCAATTACCTAACAATCACTAAGCGCGCTTCTGCAATGGACAGTGCAAAGCTGGGGACTACACTGTCAACTCGCGAGACTCGCCAAGCACTGTCCGCGACCCAACAAGCACAAGGGCCACTCCGCGCCGAGTTCTCGGCCCCCACCTCGCACAGTGCGCACGTACAGTAATCCAGGCCTTCCCAGCGGTCGCTGCACGCAGTCAAGGGCCCCCTACCGGGTACCTACATGTGTACCCACGGCACCTGCGCTCCAGATGTACAGTACATGCGCACCCACCGCACGCCACGCCACCCGCCACTCAAAAGTCATGGACGCCCTCGGCTCCCTTCACCGGACACTCTCGCACTGCAACAACCGCCCATTGCCGACTCACTTCTGCTCCTGTTCACCTCGGCTTCAGACCCGGCTAGGGCCCGTCTTATACCGATTCCACCCCTGGATTTCGCAGTTTGAACGCTGCGGCTTTGACGACATGCTTGGGCGCCCCTGACAAACGTCCCCCGGCACACACTCGCCTTCCACTTTACGCCAAATCTCAGCCTCTCTTCAATTCAGCTCCCTCGCGCGCCAGCCTGCCCAAATCTTCCTTTACCACTTCTCGCCCTGCGCCGTCGGGCGCCATCCGCCTCGCCTCACCCGCCCATCATGACACAGACGACGTCCGACAAGGCCTTGGTCGCCTCGACGTCGGAATGTGTCCCCTCGGAGCCCAAGGCGCCCTCAATTGCGCCCTCGTTGACATACTCGGACGACTCGGACGACCAGGAAGAGCCCGTCCGTCACGAGCAGACCCGCGCACGACGTGCCTCGACGCGGCTCATCGCCCAGAATGCCCGCGATATCCAGCGCATCACCGGCGAGACCACGGCCGAGTTTGTCGGTCGCTGCTGCGGAGGCGGCTGCTGTTTGATGGGCTCTCGTCGCTCCGTCCTCGAATGCGAGCAGGTTTCCCCGCCGGATAACGATGCGTACCGCTCCCTGGGCCTCGAAATTGGCCAAATACCCGTCCAATTGACAAAGGTCACCGACATGCCCGACAAGACAGTCTCTTTCACCTCACTCTCACCACCTCGCAGCCTGCCCTCTCCAACCGACTCGGCCATTTCCTTCGGCTCCGATCGTGGCTCGCCCCGCGCCGCCAGCCCCGGGTCCGAGGCCGTCAACACGGGCGTCCAGCCCCCGCGATTCGTCCAGCCTCACCCCCCTTTCCACGTATACCCGGCTCGCATCCACGCCGCGCGCGAGCTCACCAGGCCGGGCGCCGAGAAGCGTACGTTCCACTTCGATCTCGACATCACTGACTACCCGGACGAGGAATCGACCGACTTCAAGGTGGGCGGCGCCATCGGCGTCATGGCGCCCAACTGCCAGCACACCGTCGACGATGTGTTGGACGCGCTCATGGTGCCGCGGTTCCAGCGTGACAAGCCCGTCTTGATGAGCACCACCAAAGGGCGATGGCCCACCGTCTGGGGCGATGATAAGCCGCGAGAGATTGTCACGACCCGCCGCGACTTGCTGACTTGGTGCACCGATCTCCAATCCTACCCGCCGACCAAGCCGCTCCTCCGCGTTCTCGCCGAGCACGCCAGCGCGGACAACGAAAAGAAGATTCTCATGTTTCTCTGTGCCGCTGAGGGCCAGGGGAGGTTCTGCGACCTCCGGACCGGGCCGCACATGACCGTTGCCCAGCTCCTGCACGCCTTCCCGAGCTCGCAGCCGCCTCTGGACGAACTGCTGTCTTGCCTGCAGCAGCTCATGCCCCGGTTCTATTCCCTGTCCAACGATCCCCACGAGTCGTACCAGGTTCGGGACCGGAAGCAACACCGTCTCATTGAGATTGCTGTTACGGTTCACGAGTCGGACGACTGGCAAAGGGGTTCCCGCACGGGCGTGGGCTCAGGGTTCTTTGAGCGCCAGGCTCGGCGCTTTCTCGACGCACAACAGGCCGGGGAGAAGAGCCCGGAGGTGTACATTCCCATGTTCAAGGGCCTCATGGCGAACCCCCTGGCCAGGGAGTTCAAGGCGGACGGGCCGATGCTTCTCATCGGCGCCGGCGTGGGTATCGCCCCTTTCCGAGGCTTCGTCCAACGCCGGTTGAAGCAGGCCAACTGCGCCAACAAGGTGTGGGTGCTGCAAGGCATTCGCGACTCGCTCGTCGACGAGATCTACAGCGGCGAGTGGGGCGTGCACGAGGACGAGGTCAAGCGCGTGGTGCAGAGCCGTCGCGGCGAGGGCAAGTACGTGCAGGAGGAAGTCCGGAATCAGGCCGACCTTGTCTGGTACATCATCAATGCCGTCGACGGACGCGTGTTTGTGTGCGGCAGCTCCAAAGGCATGGGCGAGGGTGTCGAGGAAGCCCTCGTGGACGTGTCCATGGCCAAGGGCAACCTGGAGCGGGAAGAGGCCAAGAACTTTTGGCAGCTAAAGAAGGAAGCGGGACAGTACATTGCCGAGACGTGGTAGGGACCAATGGTTGGAGGCTGGGGCGGCAGTGCAAAAGGCCACGCCGCTGTATTTTCACCCTGTTTATAACCAAGGAAGGGACAAGGCTTACGGAGGCGTGGCATTTACGAGGAGGATGGACTACGCACATTAGAGGCCAACAGCGCAAGCAAGCGTTGGCCCAAAATCAGATTGGGAGACGGTTTCGTTTTGGCGTACGGAGTGGATCAGGGGCAGCGCGATACGGGACTTCTGAAGGCTGATGGACTTTGCCTAGACTGGTGTAGATGAGTCGAGATGGGCAGGGGACGAGGCTTGAATGACAATAAAGTATGGCGATTGGTTAGAGAACATGTGTTGGCGAGGAGGATCGCGAAAGAGTGCATCTTATCTGGCGGTTTTAGCAACGTGGCCATGGACGGGCCATCTGCCAAGCAGGATGGTGAGGCCCGGGATAGACAGACAGACGCTCGACGGCAACCCAAGTTCAGGTGCGGAGGGTCCCACGTTTGAGGACCAAGGGGGGGCCGTGGTGGTCATCCCGCGCGGTTATGACCAACGAATGCTGATGAATACTTACGGAACACTTACGGATACAGCCTGGGCTAATTCTCTCGGCGCTTCAAAGGCGGTGGAGGTGGAGGAAGAGGAGGAGGAGGAGGTCCAAGGACCAATTATTAACGCCCGCGCGCGGTGCTGACAAACGCCGGCAGGACCAAGTACGCGAGCCCCGCCATCCGACCACCCCACCGGGCCCCCTTCTCCCTGCTGAACACAGACAGCAGCTCTCTCTGCGGGCAAGCTATTTCGCGATACGGGGGTTCCATTTGCTGTAGACAGCACTTGCCCAGACAGGTATCTAGGCATATTAGTAGCGGATTGATAATGAATTTTTTTTTGGCAAAGAAGACGTCGCTTCGGGCATAGTCCGGCCGCCCTGGAAACCCCACCGGCCAACTCAGCCCGGGTTCCGGGAGGGACCGACCGGGCGCCCAAGTCCGGCTTGCCGTGGGAGGCGCCGAGTATATATATCCCGAGGCGCCTCCCCGGCTTCCAACCTGGGACCTGCATCTTGCATCCAAAGCACACACCATCAAGGCCTGTCTAGTTGTCTCTCGAGACTACTGCTACTACTACTGGCAAACCTCTTGCGCTCTCTACCCATCCTCAACGCAACTCGCCCTTGCTCTTCACGCATCCGAGCACTATAGCTATACCGCCATCAACCAACAAGAAAGGGGGGAAATAATGTCCGCCGCCAAGATGTCCGCCGACGCCCTGCTGCAAATGGCCAAGACGCGCCGCACCATCTACGCGCTCAACAAGACGCTCCCCGTGCCCGCCGCGCGCATCCAGGAGCTCGTGCACCAGACGACGCTGCACACGCCCTCGTCCTTCAACTCGCAGTCGAGCCGCGTCGTCGTCCTGCTGGGCGCCGAGCACGACAAGCTGTGGGACATGGCCGCCGAGGCCCTGCGCGCCGTCGTCCCCGACGACCGCTGGCCCGCCACGGCCGACCGCATCGCCGGCTTCAAGGCCGCCGCCGGCTCCGCCCTCTTCTTCACCGACGACGACGCCGTCAAGGAGATGCAGGCCAAGTTCCCCACCTACGCCGACCGCTTCGGGCCCTGGGCCGACCAGAGCAACGGCATGCAGCAGTGGCTCCTCTGGACCGCGCTCGAGCTTGAGGGCCTCGGCGCCAATCTCCAGCACTACAGCCCCCTCATCGACCAAAAGGTCGCCGCGACCTGGAAGCTGCCCGTCTCGTGGAAGCTCAATGCCCAGCTCGTCTTTGGCGGCAAGGCGGGCGAGGCGGGCGAGAAGCAGTTCAAGCCCCTGGACGAGCGCGTCAAGTTCTTCGGCAAGGCTTGATGGAACAAGATGAGAACTTTTCCGGATGCTGTGCAGTCCTTTGGGTAGAAAAGCGGAACATCTAGCTAGACATTGCGCTTGGAACCAGGGCAGTTGGTTAGACATGATAGAAGCAGCGTTTGCAGCCCCGGACAAGCGGGGGTTCCCAGGGGGTTCCCAGTTATGCAATTCATGTTATTCGATGACACTTGCTCTCAGCGGGCAATCTTCGCTGCCCATTGGACTCTTTGCAAGCTCACGCCGGGTCGAGTGGATTTCAAGCCTCTGCCTCTCCCCCCTTACTCTTCGATGATGCGCCCCAGAGCCTGGCCCATCTTGACCTTTTGCCCTTTTTCCACAGACCACTCCCACCTCGACTTGGCCTTGCCCTCCCTGTACTGCTCCGCCGGCGCCTCAAACACCATCACAATCGTGCTGCCCAGCTGGAACCCCCCCATCTCCTCGCCCCTGCGCAGTGCGTGACCTTGCAGGACTGAGCTCGCCCCCTCGTACGTCGCCTCTGCGAACGCGAGATAAGGCTCCCCGCGCTTCGCTGCTGCCTCGGCGGCCTGGTCGGCGGCCGTGTCAGTTGTCAGGCTGTTGGTCCGCAGCTCCCTGTCAAAGTTGATCCTGATGGACCCGACGTTGGTGGCTCCGACGGGAATGTAGCTGAAGAAGCCGTATCGCCAGCGACCCAGCAGCACGACGCGCTCGTTCAGGGTGAAGAGCCCGGGCAGCGTCCGTTGCAAGTACGGCGACACGCTGTACAGCTCACCGGCAAAGTGCCGTCTCCGCTCCACTACCCAGTTTGTCGGCGAGTGGAATCGGTGGTAGTCGCCCGGCGCCAGGTAGACGACTGCGTAGTAGAGGGCTGTCGTCTGGTCTGAAGACAGGAGGTCGTACCACGCCTTCTCCCCGAGCGCTAGGTCTGCGCGCACCTCGGACACGGCTCGCGCCGACACTTCTGTGGACTCGTCGGTCGCCGCTTGCCGGGACTTTGCGCTACTAGGCCCGGAAAGCAGGTCCGGAAGAGTGTAAGGAATGCCGTTCACCTTGGCAAACTCCTCTTCCTGCTTGACGATTTCCTCATCCCCTCGACGCTCTCTTGCACTGCTTTCACCATCATATAAGCCTTTTCCGGAAGAACCATCCAAAAGACTGGGTGTTGGTGTATTCTTCCCAAGCAGCGCATCAATGCTGTACGTCATGCCTTTGACTTGCTCAATGTCGCCGCCCTCAATGCGCCCAAACTGAAGCACCTTGCCGTCTGAGGGCGACAATAAAGCGTTGGGGTCGGCATCTAGCGGCCGCACGCCTGGCTTCAGGGTGCGATAGAAGAAGGCTGCCAGGTTGGGGTACACGTGAAGGTCGGGCTCGGAAACCTCGTCGAGGCTGCGGTAGTCAGCGACGACTGCATTGGCACCAAATGGCAAGCCGGGACTAACTTGACTCCAAAGATGAAGGAATACAGCTTGAATCCGGGGACTCGAAGGTAGTAGGGAATCGTCAGCTCGTTGAAGCGGCCCCATATCCGAGAGATTGCCTTCAGCGGCAGAGTCGACATGACCTGAACCTGCCTATAGGCCCCAGCTTGTCAGCCTACATGGACCCTCTCACCAGTGCTGGTTTCCTTACCATGGCCCTTCTGGCCGGACCCTGCGCCGCGTCTTGTGCTGGCCAGGCTCGCCTTGACCGTCTTGCAGCTCCTTCTGCCTCTCCTGTTCCCTCGTAGAGACCTTGTAGAACTGCACGAGGCCGAGGAAGCCAATGCCGACCCCGACGGGAATCTGGTACCATTGGATCTTGCTGCTGCGCAGTGCCTCGCCGAGACGCTGGGAGAAGCGCGGGCCCTTGCCGGTGTTGGAGGAGAAGCTGCGCGCCGAGACGGGCGTGCGTCGGGGGCCTCGCAAGCTGGCTCCCGGGGGCGTTGGGCGCAGAGCCGCGCAGTTGGAGCACCGGCCATGGAGACTGGCGAGTGGATGGCGCCGGAGGAGCGGCGCGGAGCCGGGTCCGAGAGTTGCGGCCATGGCTTCCCGGGTGCAGTCAGTGTCGGTGAGGCGAATTGACGGACAGAATTAATTCAGAGTCGCGATAGTCGGAGGTCTGACGTAGGTACAAAATACCCCGAGAGTGCAAGTACTTGGGTACCTAGATACCTAGGTACCGACCGGAAACGGGAAAATTTTAAGCCGCAGGGGTCTAGGGGAAGTATGTACTCTATACTTTGTTAAATCGTTGGACGCCAAGGCTCACCTTTCGTCCTACAGTATATCACGCCGTTCTCGGCTTTGCGGTGGGATGGCAGGATAAGCACTTGATCTGCTGGTCTTGGCACCCAAGTAGGTGGTTCTTACTGCAAGCTCGTAGAGACGAAAGTCTTGATAGATCCGCCTACCCTTTGCCTCGCTTTCCAAACGCCCGGCTGCTTCTTCCGTCTTGGAGTCGCAGATGTGAGCCGTAAAGTACGTAGTACAAGTACCTTTCTCGGCTAAGGTGCCTGGAGGATCGCGCTAAAAGGCCACCCCGGTCGTGTTCCAGGAACCTCCCCGGTAGGAGCGGTAAGCCGCAGCAGCTGAAGGTACGTACCCGGGAAAAGAACCCTGAAAGACAACGTGGAAGCAGATGGACAACATCCGTCATATATCTCTTTCTTCCCGCTGCCATCTCCAGTCCCGCCAGACTTCGGCGCTGCTGCTCCTTGCTCTCAATCGCGTCGAGCCCCGTGCTTGCTTGCGTCTGCTTTTCGTTCTTTTCCTGCCCTTTGTCTCTCTGACCGCTGGCCCGCCGGCGTGACCGGTGCTGCTGCATGTTGGACATGACTTGCATCGTCTTATCCTGCCTGCTGTTCCGCCTTTGAACCAAGACGCGAATCCTGCAGGTCCTTGTCATCGTCTCCCGTCAACACTCACTGGTGGCATGCCAGTCGCGCACTCAACATGTCGACACCCGCCCCGTCTGCTTCGCAACCCATCGAGGCCACACCCACGCCTTTGGAGCCGCTCCTCGTCAATCTTCAAGTCGTCTCACCGTCTCTCAGCGTCAACCGACCCCTGCTGTTCCCCGACTTGCCGGCCACGACAACCATCAAAGGCCTCAAGGAAAAGATCCGTCAGACGCTCCCCCTGCGACCAGCAGATGACAACCAGCGCCTGATTCATCGAGGACGGGCTTTGCTGCGCGAGTCGGATACGCTGTTGGACGTTTTTGGCCCTGATGCGGTGAGCCACGTCCAGAAACCCTGCGAAACTCTCGCAGTTCGTCTTCGCTGACTTTCATTTCCCTTCTCTCGACAGCTGCGTACTCTGGATCGACAAACCATCCACCTCGTCATCCGAGACATGCCAGATGGCCAGACTTCGACACCGCCGCCGACCACAGCTCGAGGCCCAAGCCCAGCAGAGGCCACCGGCCCTGCACGACCGTCAAACCCTCCACATCTTCAATTTGGACCGGAGCCTCCGCCAGGCTTCCCACGGAGAGGCCACTTTCAAGCAAGCGCTCATCACATAGCCCAGCCGCGTGTGCCCTCCCCTGCGCCCGCCCACTACAACTCCGAGCAAGCAGCGACATTCCAGCAACATCACCAGAACATGTCCAACTGGCTAGGCCAAGTTCAACGAGACGCTCAGCTTCAACGGGAAGCCATGGTCAGGGCCCTTGTCAACCAGAACCAGCGGGGCAGAGCACAGGTGGGCATGCGTGGCATCGGGGACACGGCGGGCAACAACGGCCCCGAGGCACACAGTGGCAGAGTGAGCCCCGGCACCTCCCATGCCATTCATTACGAGACCATGGGACCAAACGGACAAACCTACCAAGTGGATACCGTCGTAAGATCGAGCACACAGGGCGCTCCGGGTGGCTTGTCCCCGGCCGAAGTGCAAAACATCATCCGCAGCGCGGATTCCAACCAGGCAGCCATGGTCATGGCAAACGCACTCCAGCGGAATGTCCCAGGGGCTTCTCTCTACAATCGACCGCTGACCCAGCCCGGAGTCACGACTCCCATCCTTGGCGCCGGTAGCTCGCTGGCTGGCAGCGGCCGAGCTACCCCAGAGCTTGACCCGAGATCGGCTGGTGCTGGCAACCCGGCGCCGCGAGCCAACTCACCCAGGCAGCCACAGCAAGGCCCTCAAATCTACCTCTTGCTGTCGCCTGACGGACCGCGCGCTCTCCTGTTTAACTCGACTACCGCCGAGACGTACTATTCGCCCAGACTCAGGGGTCAGGCGAGCTGGCCGCGGCTGCGAAGCCCAGCCAGCCAATCAAACCTGAGTTACCCTGCTCAGCCGTCTGAGGCGCACGCTGCGTTTCAGCAAGACGAAAGACCACAGCAAGATCAAAGACCGCAGCCTCGAGACGATGCGGCAGCCGCAGTACCGGCGCACGTGCAACCGCCTCTGCAACCAGCGCATCCCAACAACCCCGCGGCTGCGGCGGGGCTTCCTCCTATTCTGGTGCAGTTTTGGCCACATCTCTGGCTGATATTTCGCCTGGGCCTCTTTGTGTGGTTCTTTACTTCACCAAACTCTAGCTGGTCGAGGTGGCTCACCATCATCTGCCTCGCCGTCTTCATGTTTGTCCTCAGTACGGGCCTTCTCAACGGACTAGCCGAAAACGCCTGGAGGCCCATTGGCAGGCATTTGGAGAACATCCTTCCGGCTCTGGAACCGCCACGCATCACCAGAGCAGCTGGTACCGGACGGGTCGCAGGAGCCGGACAAGGCGGTCATGATAGCGAAGCGGACCCGGAGCAGTTGGCTGCAAGACTGGTCGCCGAACGCCGCGCACGCCAGGGCTGGCTGGTCGGGCAGTTCAGGAGGCTCGAGCGAGCTGGGCTCTTGTTCCTCGCCAGCCTCGCACCAGGGGTCGCGGAGAGACACATTGCCAATCTTGAGGCCGAAGCACGAGCTGAGGAAAGTCGTCGGAGAGAGGAGGAGGCTGCTGCTGCTGCTGCTGCTGCTGCTGCGGCAGCGGCAGCGGCGGACAGCGCGGGCGGGGAAGCCGAGTCCAACAGAGTCGGGGCAAACGGGACGGAGCATGGGCCTGAGGAGGAGCAGCGTAGCGAGCACGCAGGGCACGAAGCCCCCCAGGCCAACGCGGGCAATGAGCCGAACCGGGAAGAAGTCGTGGCGCTGTAAGGAAGACTATTGGCGGGAATTTGTATGCATGAAGGCATGTTGGCAGATTGACGTCCAAGAGCGAGATATGACTAGGTTTTATGACTTGGGCGTCGTATTCTTACTGAGCGACTGGATGATGACTAGGAGTTGGAGCGCTTAGACGGAAGGCTGCCAAGCAAAAGACTCGGGCCTTGTATATTGGCAGTCGACAATGGGAAAAGCAGGGACCAAGTCTCTGAAGAAAAAATGGGGTCAAAGATGCAATGGAAAGCGTTATAGACGTGGCAATGTCTGGTTGTGAATTCCATGCAATGCTTTGCTGCGTCACTTATCTTATCACCTTGCTGGCGGTGAGAGGGGCCGCAACACCATGCAAAGTGACATTCCCACAAACCTCAACCGCAAAGCGTCTCTTGCCACAAGACTCAAGCTTGTGCCCGCCCTCGTCGAGGCACTGTCTATTTTCTGCCGTCGGAGCCCTTTGAGGGCGCTGTGCTGGAGGGGGATTGCCACCATTGCCAGCAGCAAGCAGACGTTCTCCGACAGCAGCAGAAGCAGCAGCAGCAGCAGCAGCAGCAGCCATGAGCGGCGGCTGGAACACAAGTGCGCCACCCTGTTCTCACTCATGACGGGGCCTTTGCTGACCCAGGACACACACGTCCCGCAGTCGAGTCTGACGCAGTACGCCCGCCATCCTCCTCTCTGCCCACCCCTCGGACGGGCCCAGCTAACCGCGGCGGCGCACTTCCTCCCAGGGCGTCTTCACCTCGCTCGTCGAGAACCTGGGCGTGCGCGACGTCCAGTTCGAGGAGCTGCTCACGCTCGACCCCGCGGACCTGGCCGCCCTGCAGCCCCTCTACGGCGTCATCTTCCTCTTCAAGTACCCGACCGACGGGCCCTACGCGACGCCCGACGGCCCGCTCGACGGCACTTTTGACCACGCAGCCGCTGCCGACATCTTCTTCGCCGCCCAGACGATCCAGAATGCGTGCGCCACGCAGGCCCTGTTGAGCGTGCTCCTCAACAAGACGACAGGCGCTGCCGATGTCGATGTCGGCCCGCACCTGAGGGACTTTCGCGACTTCACCATGGCCCTGCCCCCGGAGTTTCGCGGCGAGGCCCTCAGCAACTCGGACCTCATCCGCGAAGTCCACAACAGCTTCGCCCGCAGCAGCCCCTTTGTCGACGAGACGCACCGCGGCAGCCCCGACGACGCCGACGACGCCTTCCACTTCATCGCCTACACCCCGGTCGCCGGCACACTCTACGAGCTTGACGGCCTGCAGCCCGCGCCCATCTCCCACGGCCCCTGCGCCGGGCCCGACGACTTCCCCGCCCGCGTCGCCGACGTCCTGCGCCGCCGCGTCGCCCGCTACGAGGCCTCGGAGATCCGCTTCAACCTCCTCGCCGTCTGCCGCGACCTCCGCCTCCGCGCCCGCGACTTTGCCGACGACGACCTGCTGCGCCGCGAGGAGCGCAAGCGCCGCGACTGGCTCTTTGAAAACGCGCTCCGCAGGCACAATTTTGTTGGCTTCGCCGGCGAGGTCCTCAAGGGCGTCGTCCGTGCCAGGCTGCGCGACGGCGGCGACCAGGCCGTCGATAGCTGGGTTGACGAGAGCCTGGAGCGCAAAAAGGCGGCCGAGGCGGCGGCGTCGAGGAGAGGAGGTGGTGGTGGCGGTCACGGCGGGGGCGATGTGGAAATGGGTTGATTTCTAGGGCGCTCATGAGCCGCCTAGCGGTGCCTACGGAAATGCTGCACGACCTGGCTTATCTGGCAGCAGCCCGCCAACAGCCCATGGCGGTTGAGGCCAGGAGTGGCTCAGAACGAGAGGAAGCGGATGGAGCACCAAAGAGGGACTTGATGGCACTTTATGTTTCACGTGTCCCGGACATCCCATTCTCTTCGCGCCTACGTTGCCCTGTGCTTCTCCCAGACTCCTCTGATTACCAACAATCCCGCATTTGACCCTATCCTCGTGTCGGGTCGCTTCTGTTTAACACCATCCAAACACCCGGGCCTATCATACAATACGCCCCACGCAATTGCAGGGACTTAATCATCAGCGACCAGCGCGACCCGGTGAGCCCCCCTCGGCCGGAACCTGGGGCTCTTTCACGGCCGGAGCGTACTCATTGGCCTCGGACTCGGCTCGCGAATCACGCGCGGAAGACCCGCGGCCTTCTCGGGGCTCGAGACAAAGCTCCTCGGACTGCGCCACCTCTCCTCGTCGACGGCGGGCCCTCATCGCCCTGACGAACCAGGGCGGGCGACCAGCGCCCTTCCAGGTCCAGTATTCCTTGAGCTCGTACTCCTGAGGCTCAATGCGGCCGCCGCTCACGCAGACGACGAGGCCGACCAGGCCGTTGAGGACGGCGTAAACAAGGAGGCCGCTGCCGCCGTGCGTTAGCCGTTGCTGGTCCGGTCTCTCTTGCGAGTCGACCCCTTGAGGACTTACGCGATGAGGCCATAGGCGACGCTATAGCTAAAAGGGATGAATGCTATGACGACAAAGGACGGGAGCACATCGCCAATGTAGTGCCAGTTGATTTGGGTGATTTGCCGAATCATCATGCAGCCCACCTACGCGTCCCGGTGTAAGTGACTGAAAGCAGCACAGCCCCAGAAAGACTGGCCTCTCTTGCCAAGGGGAGGGGGTAGGGGGTCCATACCAGGATGAGGGTACAGCCCGTTGCCCACGGCGGGATGGACGCAAAGATGGGAGCAAAGAAGACGGAGGCGATGAAGCAGAGGCCCGCAAAGATGGCCGTGAGCCCCGTGCGCCCTCCCTCCGCTATGCCGGCGCCGCTCTCGATGAAGACGGTCACGGGCGACGACCCCAGCAGGGCGCCGATGGAGATGAAGACGGCGTCGGTGCAGTAGGCGAGGGTCGAGCGGGGGAAATCGCCGTCCTCGCGGTTGACGACGCCGCAGAAGCGGACCATGGCGTAGAGCGTGGCCGTGGCGTCGATGATGTCGACGTACAGAAAGGTGAAGAGGGCCAGCGCGAAGTGGGAGCCGCCCGCGCTAAAGGCCCAGTCCAGCTGGTTGATTACCTTGCTCATCGGGTGCCAGGCAATGACCTGCTGGAAGAATTCGAAGCGGACGTTACCCTCGTCGGTGTCCGGGAAGTAAGTGATGGCCGTGTGGCGGCTGTTTGGAGCAGTCAGGAAAGCGGGCGTCAACGAGGAGCAAAGGGAAAGGAGAGGGTGACTTGCGGCCAGGAGAGAACCGAGACGAGCGCGATGCCTATCACGAAGGCGTACTTGATGCGGAATGTCATCAGAAAGGACGTGACGAGGCCGCCACAGAAGATGGCAACCCAAGTCTTATCGACGTCAGCCAGCGCACTGCAGGAAAGGGGCGCCGGAGGGGCCAGCGGCCGGGCCTCGGCCTTTCGAATACATACCTTGGGGTTCGTCATCTGGCCAGACGTGCACATGCCCGTCCGCTCATCGATCATCTCGCGCGGACAGCCTCCCAGCGCCAGCGGCGTCGAGGATCCCCCTCCCGTGATGGCACCGATGCCGACAGAGTACGACAGCCCAATCTCGGTGAGAAAAAGGCCGATGCCGACACCCGTGGCCGTCTTGATGGTGGCAGGAATCAGTCTCACAAGCCACTGCCGCAGGCCCGTGAGCGCCAGGACGATGAAGATGATGCCCTCGAAGAAGACGGCTGTGAGGGCGGTCCGGTACGAGACGTTTCCGCTGCCGTTGACGCCGACGACCTGCCATAAATCGACGTGAGCAGCGCCTTTGAGACGGCAAAAAGGGGAAGAAGACTCGGTGAAGCTTTAATCATACCTGAAATGCAAAGTAGGCATTGAGCCCCATTCCCGGCCTGCACAGGAGTCAGTCAGCGCGCATTTCTTTCTGCGTGATACGCACGAGAGGAAACGACGGCAAGGAAGCGGCGATCAGGGCAAATGATGGCGGAGCTTACGCAAGAGCCACAGGGAGATTCGTCAACGCCCCGAAGACGATCGAGGCCATCCCGGCCAAGGCAGCGGTGGCTGTAATCAAGTCTCTTCGCACATCTTGAAAAATGTCAGCCTTCGAGCCTGAAGTCTCCTCGACCCCTTTCCTGAAGCGTGTAAGCCGGGAGCACTCTACATACCTTCCTTGCAGGCGGCAAACTCGGCGATGGAGTCGCATAGCTCCTTTGGCTTTATGTCGCATACACATGTCCCTCCCGTTTGTGACAGCAACGAGGCCTTTACGGCTTCAGTTATCATTTGAAAAGCTCGAACCCGGGGATGAGGGGACTGACGTTGACGGCGATGATGTACGCCATCGTTGTAAAGGTAGTCAGGCCCGCTCGAAACTCCTTGAGAAAGGTGGCCCCCGGAATCTCGTATGGCTATTCGAAAACATTAGACTCTCGGCCATCGAGACTTGCTATCCCGAGAAAAGTCTCCTCCACGTCTTGCTTACATGGCCCGACCCGGCGAGGCGAAAGAGCCTGCCGAACCGCGAGATGGTGATGCGCCTGTCGAAGTAGTCGAAGAAATCACGGAAGCCAAAGAACCGGGACCGACTGACTGCTCCGCGCGAAAGCGAAGCCGCCCTCGACTGTTGGTCGCTCGGTCGCTCCATGGCACAGAGAAAATGCCTGATGCTCAGCGGTGAGGTGCGGCCGAGGATTCGGCTCCGAAAGCCTGGGCGGGCTGTGCTGGCGCAAGTGATACGAAAAAGAAAGAGGCCGCGGGTCTCGCTCGATCTTGTTGTCTCGGTATTAAGATGCAAGATGAAAGCAGGGACAAGAAGGCCTTATGCTCGGAGGTTTTCAGGGGAGGGGGCAAACCAGGGGGCTGCTAGTCAATCCACGCAAAGGGCCCTTCCATCAACAAGATGCCCAAGGGTGAAAGACTGGCTCCCGGTCTGAGCAGCGACTATCCGCGCATCCCAAACGACTCGTTAAGCTTCGGAAAGGAGGACCGCCACCAAGGGGGAGGTCCCCAATCTTGAATGCCCTCGTCCGGGGGGGCGTCGCAGGGGACAGGATGCTGAGACGAGCGCGAGCACGAGTTCAAGGGGCGTGAACAAACCCACTGAGCGCTCAGAGTGAGACCAAAGGTAGGACAACGGCTTGAGAAGGGACACACAAGGCCGTTGCCGTCGACCCTGTCCTCCTAACCTGGATGTGGTGTCTGCATGGAGAGCCATTCAGCTGCCTCGTGGCCAGCGTCCTGCGCAGGTTTCGTGTACCATCCCTCAGCAAACGGCGAGGGCCATGGCCAATGCTCGCTCGCGACCGACAAGGGATATGAAAGGGTGGGAAACGAAGTCGAGTCGTTTCTGCCATGAAATCCGATGTTGCCTGGAACGTTCATCCACGTCAGCGCGACTCCGCTGCTGTCATCGGTGCAGGCGGGGAGAGAATCGTCGACTGGATGGAGGACGCCTGCCACTTTGAAGCCGAGCTCGATGAAATAGGGGGGTGGCCGTGGCCTAGATCCTGAACGTGTGTCGAGAAATCACAAGCAAGCTCCCGCCAGGCTTCGGCAACCTACCTCATGCAACCGACTTTCTCTTCGTCTCCTCTAGCCTCGAGGTGCCACGAGTCCAGGTATCCGAACATAGCAACGCTGAGACACACGTCTTTGAGTACAGAGTATAGCGGCAGGCGGCAGAGAGAAATTAGCATAAACTGGCGTCCGACTCTTTTCGCACGCCATCATCTGCATCACTTGGGAGAGCCGGACATTGTTCTCGAGCTGGAGGAAGAAGAAAGCCTTCTCCACTGCTTCCCCCTCCTCTCGTCTTTCCCCACACGCGCTCTTGCATTCTCGTCATGGGACGACGAGGTTTTCGGCTACATCCCGCGTCGGCACCGGCTACCCCGGAAGGACGACAGCTGTCCCGTTCTCTATTTTGCACCTCCTTGATGCCGTAGACGGCTAACTCGAGATCATACAAAGGCCATGCGGCTCTACCCGGGATGGAAAGAGGAGGGGAGGGAGAGGGAGATGAGGCTTGAACACTCTGGGCAGCAGGCCTCCGGTTGGGGATGCCTACTTGGATGCCAGAGGCTCCCATCTTGGCTGATAGGGGGAGGCGCGCAACATTGGGCAATCTCTGGAGGGCCCATGGCCAGATCTGTGCAACGGGGTGGCTAGCATGGTTTCACGGGCACAGCCGAGACACCAAACACACGAGATGGGCTTGCGAGCAGGCGGCAAGATTGTGCAGCCGGGTCTAGAGAGCGATGCCTGGCATCTGAGACAGCTGAGCAGACGTCGAAGCGCCTTGTTTGGGACATTTTGTGCGTGACTTGCGGCCATGTCCGTTGCCCACCTCGGAAAAGGGGGTTTGGGCTGGACAGTCATGACTGACTGGTCTGGCCTTCCCGTCGAAGCCGATGCGAGAGAAGTAGACAGGCGGATCTTGGACATATGGCCGGTCTGCAAGCAGCCCATGGATAGTGGGTGAGGATGTGGGAGTCTGAAGTGGCGCAAAGCAGGAGAAGCATGCATGCACGTACTCTATGTATGAAGCCTGTCCACCGAGGGCGCTCTCGAGCCATCCACGCCACATGCAAGGCAGGATGCATCTCGGCCCGCTGTCGAGCATCTGGGCGGGAGTGATGAGACGATCCCGGCAAGCCTGTACCACGCGGCTGCTCCTCACATGGTCAGCTGCCGTGCCACGAGAAGCAGGGATCTTGGATCAGACGAGGGAGCCATGTATGTATGTCGGTACTGTGCTGTGCTGTGCTGCGCTGTGCTGTGCTGCGCTGTACGAGGCGGTCGGCGGTTGATGGAGGGTGAGGATGGCTTTCGTCTTTGCTTTTGTGTGCGTACGTATGTGTGAGTCTTTGCTTCTGGTCTGGTGAATTGTCTGGAGTAGATGGATGAGTGAGGAGAGGAGGAGGAGGAGGAGGAGGAGGATGCAAGAGAGTGAAGAATTGGACGGAGACGGAAAGAAAGAGGAAAAGAAGACGGAGGAGGGGAGTAGGAAGGGAAGGAGAGAAGGGGGAGGGGGAGGAAAGTAGAAGGGAAAGACGGAAGGGAAAGAGAGAAGGGAGGCAGGAGGGGAGGCAGGAGGGGGAGGGGGAGGAAGCAGCGGTCACTGGATGGATGATGGAAAGTGGCTTATTGCAGAGTTTCCCCAAGCATGCGCCTTGGCCTGGGCATGCCATGTGTGTCGCGGTCAAGCGAAGCCAAGGGCCAGGGCTTTTCAAATCTCGGCCATAATCATCCTCAACAACGACTGCATACAGCGGCGGCGACATGGGGCCAAGCAAGTTGCGCCGCCGTCTTGGCCGGCACCACCGCATGTACGGGCAGAGTACCGTATATTGGGCCGATATACATACTCTCTTGTGCTTCCGTGCCGCTGCTCGACTGCCCGCCCATCTGCGCAACCTGGCTATCGACCGAGGGCTACGGGAGTAGGATCCAAAGTCGCCTCGCTTCTCGCCGCTGCCTGGCTGAGCAGGTGCGTCGTCAAAGAGGCCAAGAGAATCGAAGAAATCTCTCGACCTGCATCCAGCGGCTGTTGCGAGTTTGATGCTCAGAGCCTCATGTCGGCAACGCTCTTGTCCTCTGCACCAGGGAACTCGGCTCGAGAGAAGCCGCACACCTCTGACCCATCAACCACCCTGTCCTTGCTTCCGCTCCTCCTTTTCTCGCCCGTCATCCGGCCGGACTCAGCAAGCAACTGACAGCCCGTCTCCCATCCGCCAACCGACGCCAATATGTGGGATATTGTCTGGACAGACCCGAAACGGGAGCTGGTGGGCGAACATAGAGCCAAGAAGGAGAGTCGCAGGAACAGAGGCCCGGATTGCGCAACGCCCTTGGCGCGGAGCTCGCTATCGTCGACGACAAGCTCCCACTCTTCCAAAACCGAGTCGGCCTTTGCGCGTTTCAGAGCGCGGGGCTTGAAGAAGCCAAACTCTAAATCAACGTCATCTCCGCCAGAGCATTCTCCTCCCACGGCCTTGCCGTCTCCAGCCTCCGCATCCGTATCCGGCTCAGCCACCAGCGCGCGAAGCTCCGTCTCCGCCACGGGCGATTTACTTAGCTCCCTCCTCAGCACGCCCGCTTCCTGCTCTCGTTCGCGCACCAGCAAGCCGGCCACATCATCCGAGAGCACGCGTGATGGTGAGACAGCCACTCGTTTCCCCCTTCATTGTCCACGCTAGCAGGCCCTTTCTGTCGCAGTGAGACGCTCGTCCAGTTCGGCTTTGTTGACCGTCTTGCTCTAGAGCCTGTTGCACGCCCTACAGCCGACACTACCATCGACAGTTTATCGTCTCGCGTGGCCGCCGGATCAAGGAGCAGATTTGCGCGCATCATCGGGTCGACCGCCTCGAGCACAGCGCGGCCAGCCGGCGCGCCCCTGTCCGACCTCCAGAGTCCGGTGAGGAGCGCCTTCATCGCCCCTGATTTGCTGTTTCCGGGCGGCCCATTGACACCACCTCGGTCCCCGACCGACGACTTTGCATCCATCATCCCGCACCGGCCATCCAGGTTCGCCGACCTCTCAAACTCCCTCCCGCCCAGCCTTGCCTCTCGAGATCCCCGTCTCGCCCATCTCGACACGCCGGCCAAGTCGCCGCTGCGCTTCCGAGCCCATCCGCGGCCATTGCCCAGCTCACTGACCTCTGATCGATGGGGCGCTGCGTCGGCGCAGGTCCGGGTCAAGATGGCGGAGCCAGGCAAGTCGCCCCGGGCCGTGATGACTCCGGGTGACCTCCGGCAGTTTTGGAAACCACCCGACTTCGAGGCCTATGTACGAGACGTCAAGGCAATGGCTGCCGCCACCCCTGCCGCTGTGCTCGCCAAGCTCCAAGAGCTGGCCGCCACGAACCCTACGGCGGAACAGCCGAGCCAACCCGAGGTTGAGAGAATGCGATGGATGCTCTCGGCACTGCATCACCTGGACGTGGCGCCCGCGCCTGAGGGCAAGTCCAAGGCGCCGACGCAAAAAATTGCGCCAGAAAAGATGAACAATATCCTGGCCCTGTACGAGTCCAAAGGTATGTTGTCGTCACGGCGGAATCCCGCGTCATGGGCTAACGGCATCCAGCCTCGGCGTCATACCTCGCTGGCCTCCATCCCACCAAACGCATCTGCCATCTATCCGATAAGCCGCTCCCGATGGATACGCTTCCCAACGTGCAGCCTCTTTTCGTCTCGACGACGTCTCCCTCGACGTTCCCGATCCCACCGGGGCTCTTTGAGGCGGTCCACGCGCTGTCGCTGCCGTCGCTGTGCTCGTCGCAGGACTTGCGCGGCATCATGCAAAACGTGAGCAGCTCTTTGAAGCCTGGCGGCACCTTTTACCTGGTGGTCATCAATCCGCTGCCCTGCGTCGACACGCTGGGTAGGAGGTTGCGGATGTGGCTGGAGGAACATCTGGTGGCCAACCTTGAGAAGAAGTCGAGGTGTACGAATCCTACGGCGCAGCTCCCGCGATGGCTCGGCGAGGTGTCTCTCCGCGGGGCGGGGAGCATCCTCACGGCGGTCAAGTTCTACGCCACGGCCGAGAACGTGAGGCGCATGCCCCGGGACCCTGACCCTGCCGTTGAAAAGCTTTACGCCGAGCGCAAGACCAAGGCGGAGCTCAGGAGCCTCGTCGGGCGCATGCTGTGGCGGACGGTTTGGGGCGAGCACGTGACGGCAAACTCGTGGTGGTGGGACGACCGTGCGTGCGTGGACGAGTGTGTCGAGCTGGGGACATTTTGGGAATACCAGTTGATTGAGGCCGTCAAGGCGAGCTAGGCAGGTCTCGGTGGCTGGCAATCGGCAGCGCCCACGCAGGTGCACATGGGACCGGATTCAATGCATACAGCACAACTCGGCACAACACTCAGCAGCACAGCCCCTGTCCAGGCCAGGAGAAGGCGCGGGCGGTCAAGCAGACGGATACCTGGAGCCGGCCGTGTCGGTGGCGGAGGCGGCGCCGATGAAGCAGGGCTTTACTTGCATGGGTGAAGGTACAGGGAGGACCTATGTCTGCGCGACAGGCCGGCGTGGCTGGCCGGTGGGTGATTATCACGGCAGTGTCGGTGGCGGCCGACCATGTCCCCGCCGCCACGAGCAAGCCAAGCGACAGACGGCCCGGACTGGGCGGTGGAGGAGCGGCCGGGGGGGGGCGGGGGGCGGGCACTCGGGCCGCGTTCTGCAAGTCAAATGGCGCAAGGCTGGGGTTGGGTGAATGAAGCGGGCAGCACTGTAAGGGTCGAGCCGCTCCGGCGCATGGAGTCTCGGGAAGGGTGAATTGACAGGGAATTTCTGCAACACGTGGAGATGAAGTCGTGCTGGAAACGACCTGGCAAGGCACGTGGGCATGTCGGTGCCGTCACACGCATGGCACACGCGCAGAGGAGAATGTCGTGGTTGAGGCAAAAAAAGAGGTCTCAGTCGCGCATCGTCGAGGGAGATGCGGATGCGCCGATAACGCCGACATGCCGCGCTATTCTTTGCCCGCTGCATGCAACGGCGGCAGCACCGTCGATCCATGGCTCGCCCCCCTCTTGGCCCGGGCCCCGGAGACCTCTTTTTTCCTTCTTCAACGGCAGGCTTGCAGGTCCTGTCCGTGTCCTGTCCGAGCGGGACTTGCTGTACACCTACATATGCGTGGCGCTGGCGGAGCCGGGCCCCGAGATTGACGGCGATGGGGAGGGGGGAAGGGGGAAGCCGAGTTTATTACAGAGGCGTTGTAAGTTAGTTATTATGCCGTAGTCTATGCCTACAGTAGGGAGTATGGCCGCATGTCGATGCAGTGCGCGGTGCAGCATGAGGGGGGCGTTTGGGCAGATGGGTCATGGGATCGGTAGCGGTTTCAAGAGCCGCCGCGCCTTTTCCTTCTTTTGCCTTCTCCCTTCGCCCTCTCTTGCCGAATCCAGTTTGGATTTCTGCCGTGCGTCGGTGTAGGACTGGAGAGAGGCGAGGTGTGGGTGTGACACGCAGGGCTGACCGGGGACCGGGGACCTTGACTGTACTGTACGCTAGACGGTACGTGCCCCGCGGGTGGCTCGGAGTGCCAGCCACCACGCCCTCTCGCGGTCCCTCTCCCCCTCTCATTAACAAGGATACCCGGAATACTCCCCCGCACCAGCTTGCCAGGACACACAATGGCCCCGGCCCAGAAGGGGCGAGCCGAGGCCGTGTCCGACTGCCCGACAGAGAGGACATGTTGTATTTACGGCCAAGACGCTGCAGTGTATATTGTACCCGGTATATATATATATATACGGCGCGTACAGTAGAGAGCCTGCATCTGCTCCTCCCCCCCTCCAAAGAACCTACGTGCCGTTGCCACCTACCGCCATAAACATACTGTAGGTACCAGTAAAATGACGAATGGCATCGTCTTCACCACGTACTGTAAGCAATCGCCGCCATCGTCAGGCTCCTCAGCCCCTCTTCTTCAGCACCCCTGTCGTGCACCGTCAAAGTCCCCCCTACCCTTGCCCTACCCATGCCTTACCCATGGAACAACTCGGGTGCGTTTCCGCAGGCCAGCCAGCCAACCTACCAACCAACCAACCAACCAGGATGGTGGAACCTTGGTTGGCAAAGCGGCTGCTGTCTTCTCCCCCGCGTTCCCACCCCCGTGTATCCATCCGCATTGTCATCCTAGCTTCACCGACTGCCCCTGTCTGCTGTGATATCAGCATCTCAACGAAGACAATTCAGGTCCTTCAAAGTCTCCACTAAAGAGCTCATTGTTATATAGTTATGTACACTGAATCATAGCCCATGTCCTTCTTCCCCTGCAAGCACCATACGCCTCTCCGAGCCGTGCAAGCCCGCCCGTGTCATACAAAGACAAAATCCCACAGGGACTCGTACGTGGCAATATGTAATAGTACCTGCCCACACATATTGGGCCGGAAACACGACAAGGGACACCCAAACTCCGCTGATATCCCTCATCCAGGCCACGTTGCCAGCCCAACATGACACGCCTCCGCAGCCCATATATACCCATGCTTGCCCAAAAACAGCTCCGCGAGTAAGATTGACACGAGACAAGACAAGAGTCGTATCGCTCTAAAGGGTTTCTCCTTGATATGGAAAAGGGGCGCCAGCGAAATTGTAGGATGGATGAGAGTCAATCAAAGCAAAGGGGAGAAAAGATTAAGAACAAAAAATGGCTCGCGTGTGAGGAAAACAACGCAGCAAATGGTATCATATCGACTGGAGGGGCCTGCTTGATTTCTTCATTTCGCTTCTCGTCCTTTTTGTAGTGTCGCTGCGTCATCAACAAAGTCGTCCTCCGTCGGCCGACCCCGTTCGAGACTTGGCCAGCTCCGTCGTGCTCTCCGAGTCAAAGGTCCGCGAGCTTTGCGGCGGGTGGCGGAACAGGCCCCCGCGGCGGCCGCCCAGGCTCTGTTCGGTGCCCCTGAAGGAGGAGCCGCCGGTGATTTCGGTGACGGGTGACGGGCGGACGATGCGCCAGTCGTGGAGCAGGTTCTTGCAGGCGCCCCACGACGTGACGGCATAGATGACGGCGTTCCAGAAGCCCTGGAGAGGCAGGACAAAGGCGCTCATAAACTCGAGCGGCGAGAACGACTCGTTTTGATGGACGACCGAGTAGACGCGGTTGGCACTCGACGGGATCCAGGTGATGAGGATGGCGGTGAAGAAGAGGATGGCGCACTTGGTGTAGGACCAGGCCGCGTTGTTGAGTTCGTGGTTACGCCGCCGCGTCGGGTTGGGCGGCTTGTGCGGCGCCACCTGCACCGTGCTCGTCTGCTGGATCGTCCGGCCCTGAATCGGCAGCTCCACCTCGTCCCCGGGCGACCCGTCGTTCTCGGCCGAGATGTGCACCGAATACGCGCCGCTGGCACCCGCCGAGCTGTGCTCCGACGGCGACTTCTTCCCCCGGCCCAAGGGGCCCAGGTGGATGCCCCCGGGGCTAGTCGCCGCTTCTGTCGTCACCGTCACCTCGGTTCGCTTAATGGTCGCGACGGCCTCGCCGTTGACCGACAGGGGATCCGGGTCCGACGACTTGAAGTCGTGCAGCTGCTTGCGCTTCTCGTAGATGGTCCGGCCTGCGCGGATGTAGATGAAGAAAGTGATGAGAATCGTGACCCTATTTCACCTTCGTTAGTCGTCACCAACCCTGACCTAGACAAGGAAACAGAAGGGAAAGGGGCATACCAAACCGGACCGTAAAAGGTGGCGATGCGCAGAATGTCGAACTGCGGAGAGATCCAGCACCACAGGGTGGCATTGCCGTAGACACGCTGCCCCTGGCTGTTCCTGATGAAGATATAGGCAAAGGCTGGGATAAAGGGGATACCGTAGCAGCCAACCAAATAGGCCAACTCCATTCTGCGCAACCTCTGGGCATCAAACTTGTGGTAAAAGGTAAGGTAGACATTGATGGCCATGGCCAGCGTCCAAAAGGCATCCGCGGGCATAAACCTGCATCACGTCGTTTGTTAGCATCCAGCCGGCCGCCCCTGATGAGTGCCAAGACATACATTTGGATCAAGAAAGATTGAAACTGGCAGCCAAAGGAGTCGAGGTCGTTCAGGTAGGCATGGGACATGAGGGTGCCGACGTTTGTCATCATGTTGCCAAAGGAAGCGTAGAAGACGAGCCGGTTGATGGGCTTGTGAAAGACCCTCGAGGAGCAAAAGGTGGCGATGATGAAGATGCATCCCAGTAGAGAGAGGACCGAGCAAGCCCTCTCAATGACGCTGATGGAGTTGCGTTGGTCCATTGTCAACTCTCGCATGATGGGCGAGTAAGAGGACGAGGGTCCTGGCGGTGCAGAGCGTCTTGTATTATCGTCGTCGAGGTTGAGGGGCCTGAGCGGATGATGACCAAGAGGGGGGTGTCGTCTGTGATCCAGGCGCAGTAGTAGACGCCAAAGTGTAGCTAACGATTGACAAATGATTGGGGTGTCCGAATGGGAGGGGTGATGTATCCGCGGGAAGAAAGGGGTTGATTACAGCCAAGGCCCGAACGTCTGGCCAATGGACCGAGACTAGTCGATGTTATTGGGCTCTTGACCACATGGGGAGGGGGCTGGATCGAGGCAGAGAGGACGGAGGCGACGAGAACAGATTAGAGAGAATTGAGAGAAGAGGGCTGGCTGGAAGAGGCGGAGGGGGGGGGGAGGCCGGAATACGAGTCGAGAAGGGTCGATTAGTTGGGAAGCACCGAGGATGAAAGGAGCCTAGGAGGTCCAAGGCTATGATGGCTCTGCGAGGCAGGAGGGGGGATGCAAGATGGCGATGGACCGTGGCGGGCAAGAAAAGGGTCGTGGCTTGCCGACGAGAGTTGCGGTGCAGCATGTAGGCAAGCAGGTATTGTACTGTAAGTGCATACACGCGGTATTACAGTCAAACTACTGTACGTACGACATACAGAAAAACATGGATGCGGATGAGTGGCATGGGTCTGGGATGATGCAGCTGGCAGCGGCAGTCGCAAAATGACGGGCCAGCAGGGATGGGCGGTTTGGGGGGAGGCAGAAGACAGATTTGGCCCCCTCCCCGGTGCCGGCAGCTCGCGGACCAGGGACATGGGTGGAGAGAGAGGAAGCGACAAACGACGGCGCAGGCCCCTTCGTTCGTCGTCGTCGTGCTGCTGCTTCTCGTCGGACCAGCCGTCGTTGTCGTTTATTGCAGGGACTGGGGTGCGCACCATCAACGGCCAAGAGCGTAGGGCCAGGGGGTGTCAGATTCGACAGGGGGGTCAAGCCCGGGCGGCGGAGACAGAGGAGAGAGAGAAAAGTGGCCTCGCTTGCGCCGGGGATCCAGGTTGAGGCCGCCATCTCCACCGGCTGCACGTCTGTGGTGGTGGTGGCGGTGGGGGGATGTGAGTTACGGACAAGGTCAGATGTCGTCGCTGAAAGTCGGCAGTCGACAAGGTTTTTTTTCCTGTGCGGCACAGGCGTCGTCCGGTGATTGCATCGACAACAAGAAAGCACGGATCGCCCATTCTGGGGGGCGTGTGTGAAACGAGGAGGTCGACGAGGTCGAGGAGCACTAGCTCCATGTAGCGGCGGCGGCCGTTGGATCGATTGATGAAGAAACCCGGCCCATGGCAGTGGCCGAGGCGCATCTGCAGGACGAATTGCGCGGAGCCTTTTTCTGCCTTTGGCACCCCCCACTTGAATCGGGGTGGGGCTGGCTCCCTCTGGTGCGGCGGGCCCTGTTTTTGGCTCTCGGGGCTTGGGAACGAGCGGACTGTTTGTGTGGACGGTTGTGTGGACGGTTGTGTGGACAGTTGTGTGGACAGCCAGCCAGGGCTGAAGACGACGAGGTAATGACGAGGGCGACGACGACGACGACGACAAGTGAAAAGTTCAGCCAAGGAGGTTTACCGTATGCACTTATGCGTAACGTATGCACATACCAGGCAGGCAGGCATGCTTGCTTTGTCCGTGCCTGCAGCAGGTGTCGGAGATGCGGCACCACTCACTGATCTTGCGCGTACTGTACGTACCCACGTACTCTATACTATCGGGCTGTGCGCAAGGAAGTGGAGCATTCAGGTAGCCTCTACAGCTGCGAGTCCGTCTCTCCCGCATGCTGTTTTGTCAGAGATTCGGGAGGCCCGGCAAGCACCGACGACTGCCAGAAGTGCCCCGGCTTAGTACCTATCGATAAGCGCATGCACGGTACCTCGGGACGTAGACGGCCCGAGGAACTGGCCGTTAGAGGCGCCTCTATTCCACAGCGAAAAGACAAAAAGACGTTGGTCGTCACGAGGCAAGAGGCGAATACATACATCATGGGAGCGGTGCACAGACGCCGCTCCGCTATCCTGAGACTGACACCAACCACGGGCATCCCAGAGCCTGGCTCCCAGCTGCTTACGACAAGGTGGAGACGTGGATGCTAGATACACCTGGTTTTGCCCCGAGTGGGACGAACTATAACGTTTTTTTTTCGCGCTGTGGGCTCGCTCGATTGCGGGGGAGAGGAGGCAGACGCCTTTTCAGCTTGGGGATTTAAAAAGCTGCAAAGCATCCTGCTGAAAGGCCATGTGCGTGCATGCCATAGCCACCGTTGGCTCCTTGGTCCGTGGAAGAGCGGGTAGAGAGTCAACGCCGGCAGCGAGGAGCGCACAAACAGGCACGGATAGCAGCGTCTCATGGGGGCAACGGGCGCGGCTCTCGCTACCAGTCAGCCAGTCAGTCAGTACAACGCAGCAGCGTCATCATCAACGTTGGTGCACCCCCCGCCCGGCCTGTCACCGAGAGAGAAGCCGGCCGGAGGCGCCCAACAGCCGTTTCCATCCATCATCACCTTGCGTTGCATCGCCTCGCTCGAGGGAGGTAACCGTGTCCAGCCTCGCCATCCCCAAACCGAGTTTGGGCCACGGGCCATTCATTGTCTACAATGTACGTATGTATGCATGTACAGTATAGTCGTATGTACTGCATCTTAGGCCCCTATCCATAGCATCACAAACGTCTTCTCGCGGACTGCACATGACAATATGACAACCGGGTTGAGGCCGAATAAAGGCAGGGCAAGCAAGGGGGGGGAAGCCGAGCAGGTAAGTGGCGGCCAACCGGGAAACCTCGCATGAATAAGGGCGACGAGGATGCCGCGGCATCCGCCTCCTCTCTCTCCCGCCTCGTGTAATTATGTATCTATACAGGCTGTACTGTACAGTATAGTTTGTTATAGTCCCTTCTTTCTCTTTGTCACCAATCAAATATCCCGCCGGGGTTCGGGCTTCACCACCGAACCTGCAGAGGCCGCCCGGATAGCGTTCCTGCATCCGTTGGCATTTATTAACTGAGCAAGCCCGTTGATCTGAGACATCATCTTCACCGTACACATGTGTGTACGGATGCAACCCAAGTTTACGCCGTATAACCGGTTTGTTTCTTGGGCATTTTGGCCTCGTGCTTCTGCCGTGTTTGTATCCGGACAGTCTGGGCGAAAGCCGCACAGTGGGTCTAGCAGAAAATACAGTGTATCCTGTGCTGAAAATACAGAAAATACTGTGCCGTTCCAGTTATGCATACTGTACGCTCGCTCCGTTGCTGGAGCCCCTCGATCCAAACCCCGCCCACGCACACACACACACACACACACACACACACAAATCCCCTCGACTCGAGCCTGTTTCATCTCCACTCCGGCCAAAAGAGTCCCAGAACTTGGCTGAATCAAGGAACGAGCAGAGTTACTGCGTACGGCATGTGCCTGGCCGCAACGCCACTAGGCCGTTGCTGCGCCCTCGGGCCGAGCTTGCAAGGGCCTTGGTGACCGATGGCCAGCCCCTTCTCCAAGAATAACAATAACAAATTCGAGCAACGACAGTGGCCGGCGGACCTTTTCGGGAAGACCGCTTTCTTACAGACTGGCCTTGCCGACCGTCGGAATACCAGCTTCTTCTGGCCGGGCACCCCGTTCTTTGCCGGCCCCGGTATCGTTTGCTGTCCCTCTCGTCGCCATGCCGCAGTCCACGGAAAGCGTCCTCCCCCTCGTTCGTCCACGGCAGGGGAACGTCGACCTCGCCAATCGCTCTGCCAAGGCAGACGGACCCGTCGGCGTTGCCACTTGTAGCCGTGCCTGGTCGGGCCCAAATCCACCCTTCAAGACGCGGGCCGTCGTGATCATCGCCAAGTACTGTACATGCCCTCCACTTTCGCTCAACCCTGTTCAAACAGCCTACCGGGAACAAGCTTAGAATCTGAGGCCGCTGCGCTCGCCGACTCTCTCCGAACCCTGCTGCAGCACGACTCATGCTTCGTGAAGATCCCCCCACCGGCCAGGCAGCCAAACCAGACTTAGCCCTCGTCCCATGCCCGGTTCAGCTCGCAGGCCAAGCTTTATCGCCTCCCCTCGTCATTTCAGTCAGCTTCCTAGAAATGGGGAGCTGTCTCGCATGGCTTCCGGCGTACCTTGCAGCTGTTTCCTGCGAGAAACTTGTTCCCTAGGCCTGTATTAGCCACCGTGGTTGGGAACTTGGGAGCCACAGGATCGATTCTGTTTCGAGAACTGGCCGTTTGCTTGTCAAGACCCATGCTATGTCGCCTCGAGTTGCCGATTTCAGGGCACAAACGTGTTTATGAGGAGCAAGCTGATGTAGCCAAGTAGCAGAGACGGTGCCATCAGTCTGCGGTAAGGTTGTAAAGGCTTTTTGCCACACGGCTGGCTCTGGACATTATAATGGCCAACAGTTCGCTTGACCCCTACTGAGGAGACGTGGCGGGCTGAGAAGCCGTGGCTAAAGTCAAGATAGAGAGAGAAAGGAGATCAAAGCCCCCTAGACCAACCAAGCCTCTCGGCGTGGTGCTCGTGGAGGGAGTTGAGTGTGCCTTGGGCCACCTCCCCCTTCGTCCGGTCAAGTTCTGTGAGCGTTTCTCGCAATATCGCTTGGTTTGCACGCTTCGCAGGCCCTCCACAGGACAGACATTCCGCCCGGCATCGTAGCGCCACTGCCAAGATGCTCCCTTCATCGCAAAGCACAAGACGTCGGAAAGCTTGTCGGGGCCACGCTGATGATGGCATGTAGTTTCGCGCTCGAGTCGGACTGCTATGCTAATACACGCCGTTCTCTGCAAGCCTTCTCCTCCCCTTTGACTTACATGCCATGAGCAGAGCAGTTGAATCATGCGATACGTCAAGACGAAGCAGCAACAACGCAACACTCGAAAGCTGCCAAGGCTCAGAGATCAGGAGGACTTCCCTCCGCCCCGACCATGTTGACCAAGACTCAGCGAAGGTGGGCCTCTCACTACCACAGAAATGGACACGCCGTCAAGTGCCGCGAGTCGGGTCCCTTGGGGTTCCGGGCGAGAAGACTCAGCGTCTTGGACACGTATGAATCAAGTGCGCCCGCCAGCACTACCAATGCACCAGAGCCGATAGTCTTCTTCACTTGACCACCGCCCTCTCCCGGACGGGCTTCTTCGACAACCTTTTGCATATCCATGACACCGATGACACCGCTAATGCCCCGGTTCTGTGGCCTGCACACGCGCAGAGCACCCATCATGACGCCGCACCTGAGTTGCAAGAGGGCACCATGGGTAGCTGGTATAGAACTCGGCATGCAAGGAAGGCTCGGGATGCCCCTGAGAGCAGCTCACGAGATTACCCCCCCTTTCTACCTCGTGAATCATACACACAGACAAACAGTGCGACGGACCAGCGCAAGCCAGATGGATGCTGCGTGTTCTCTCCCAACGTGGCTCACGCAAATACCAACCCGGGGAAAGCATCCAGCCGGCAACCAGGCTACAAGGGCCCCTGAGAAAGACACCTCTCCTGCTCCTCCCGTTACTTCCCCATTCCACTCCGTTCTCTGTGATTGTCGACACCAAACACCGTACGTGCATCCCAAGCACGCAGGGAGCCAAGTCCTCGCCCTAGGGTGCAAAAGACATTCGCCCACGCAAAATCGAGTCGGCCGCCCCCTCTGCTCGGAGTTGCTTCGTCGGTCGCCTGGGCCGGTCGAGCCGTTGGTAAAGCCTCGCTGCCAATAGGCAGTGCCATTCGCAGTGCACTAATGGTATGTCGTTCAGTTAGCCAGTGAATCTCACGTTTTCATACTGCTGACACATGCCGGCAGGATGCAGGCAGCCGCCGAGCCTGTATGGGATCATCTTGGACCAAGGCATTAGCGGCTCACTCTCCATTTCAGCTTATCGAATCTAATGTCGCTTCCTGGCAAGTGCCCGTAGCTTCGAGTCGCTAAGCGTCCAGACAAGGCCGTGGCAAAATGCACACGCCTCAGCAATCACGTCAACAGATCCAGTAGCAGTGCCCCGAGTTTGTACTTTCCGACGATCAGTGTCTGAATTCTGCTGCAGCGAGAAGCATCGTGACCGTTCCGAATTCCTAGCCTGGAGACGACGGCGGCCTCTGGAGGATGCGGCCTTTCGTGCCCCTAGTCATCGCGTCAGCAGACCATACTTCTCTTGTTGATGCGCGGACGGCTGGGACTGGACTTGAAAGGCTACATTGCCGCCCATGTCGCACCGTCAGCCCCCTGTTACATGAATCCGTGTTCGTACGAGGGCGTTTGAGGTACTCCTGGAATGATGCGAGGTTTTCCGTCAGCAAGACCTCACGCGGCCCAGAGTGCTGGCAGCCGCTTCATCCTTCACCGCTCAGCCATTGTTGGTTCATGACAGCACCCAACACTCCTTGAGTCGCGTCACAATGCTCGCGTCAGGCTTGCCTCTGGCAGTGCTAAGCACGCTCGTGTTCGCTCCGACGCTGCACGCCGCAGCGAAATGCTATGGGGTCGACGGGACCCCATCCGACGACAGCCAACGGCCGTGCAATCCCGATGCCGAGTTCAGTCCCTGCTGCGCCACCAACAAAGACAAAGCCGACATCTGCATGTCCTCGGGACTGTGCTATGCCCAGGACGCGGGTTACGAAGGCTTCATATACTCCAACGGATGCACAGACCCCACGGGAAGGGCAGAGGCATGCCCTCACTTTTGCCCCGATCGTAAGCATCACGCCGAAGCCTGTTCGAGGACACGGCACGCTAACGCGAGCAATTTTCTTGCAGAAACCAACGACTGGAAGGGCGGCCCTGCCGTCAGCTCGTACAATGTCCTTCAATGCAACGAGGGCGGCAGGTACTGCTGCCGCAAGGCTTTGGAACCGGAAAACTGCTGCGGTAACAAGAGCGCGGTTATGACCATCAACGTTGGCCAGCTGCGGCTTGCGACGAGGACGAGGACGAGGACGAGGACGGGGGATGCGGGCGCAACCACGACGGTCACGTCGACGAGCTGCGACTTGGCGCAATCCAGCGGATCTTTGAATAGGCAGTGCCCCAAAGACAACTCGGCTATTGTCGGCGGTGCTGTTGGGGGCGTACTCGGTGCTGCGCTCCTGGCCTCCCTGGCTGCCCTTGCCGTCATGTGCTTGCGAAGACCAAAAGAACACTGTACGTTGAGGCGGGCGCATTGCAGTGTCGCAGGAAACTGATCCATTGTCCAGATACTCACAACGGCCCCATGGAATACTCCAACATTGCCGTCTCTGGCGGCCATCCGCACGAACTTTCTGCGAGACCAGTCCACGAAATGCAGGGGAGCCAGGTGAGGAGTGACGTGGACTCCTCGCTTGGTAGCCAGAAGCCGTACTGATACGGTTCCAGACGCAAAGCCTTCGGGGATAGACCTTGATGTTTCCGAGATTGTCTCATTGGTTTGGAGGCGGCTTGACTTGACGGGGCATGGTGGTCGAGGGACACGAGTTCCGGAGGGCTGCTATTCACATCAGACAAGTATCAGCGTCCTTTGTATATGTATATTCAATTCGCCCATGGGACAGAGTGTTCATGACCGCCGAGACCGCATCGTTTCGAGATAGACGTCGCGTGCATGACAACCATGGGCAACGTGGCCTGCCAGTAGTGAGGTCGAGTCTTGATCACGGAGGTCAACACGCACTTGGAAACGAGTCGACGCCAGGTCACTCCTCGTGTGGACTGCTGTCTTGATCGTCGGTGCTCGGTATGTCTGGACAGAACATCAGTTCCATGTATGATCGATTCAAGGGTGTCCAGTGAGAGGCATAGAGAGGCTCTCGGTAGATCTGCTGGTTTGAGCCTCGTCAAACGACACTCAGGCCCGCGATGAAGCAGGCTGTGGATCCAGGATTGCGATCGAAGGTTGGCGACGAGCGGATCGACACATCAGCTGCTAGTGTTGAATGGGACCCGTTGAAGCCCGGCAAAAGAAGTGCAAAACTGTGATCTCCGGGCAGGCTGTCTGCCATTGTGAGAGAAAATGCGATTGTCCTGGGTTGATTTGACTCGGATGCGGTTGGTTACTTGGTGTTGGCTTATCCACACTCAGTCCAGGGCAAGAAGCAGGTGGGGCATCGCTCCTTCTTCAACTCGTCTGGAGTCTCTGGACAAGGACGGCAAACCAAGCGCATCTCGACCTCGCACCTCAAGAAAGCACGCCGGATTCGCCAAAGAATGTCCTCGTAAAGCGGGCCATATCCATCACTACGTGGCCCTCTCGCCCGTTGCACAATGGCGTCGTCGCCCGCCTGCGTTTCGTCCCCGGCTCACGCCGGCACATGGCGACGCTCGCGTATCACCTATCGCCAGCTCGCACAGCTCGCCTCGTATAGCCCAACGAATCCTCTGCGCGTCGTGGCTCACATTGACCTCGATGCTTTCTACGCGCAATGCGAGATGGTTCGACTCGGCACCCCCGAAGATAAGCCTCTTGCGGTCCAACAGTGGTAAGCCACGTGTGCCTACGCTTCATTGGGCCATGTGCCTAGACATGATTTGAGCTCGGGGCTGACGAGCTTCCTCCAGGCAAGGCCTGATTGCTGTCAACTATCCAGCTCGCGAGTCTGGAATCGGCCGCCACTGCAACGTGGATGAGGCCAAGAAGCTGTGTCCGGATCTGATTGCCCAGCATGTGGCCACATGGCGCGAAGGTGATCACAGGTGGGCCTATCGTGATGATGCTGCCGCCAACATTGCATCCGACAAGGTCTCTCTCGACCCCTACCGCCTGGAGTCGAGGAGGATCATGGCTCTGGTCAAGGAGACACTGCCTCGACACCTACAGAAGGTGGAAAAGGCCGGCATCGACGAGGTCTTTCTCGACCTATCCGCTCACATCCACTCCGTGCTGCTCGACCGCTTTCCCGAATTAAGCAGCCCGCCGCCGTACAATGACCCCACGGAGATGTTGCCCCTGCCTTCCATTTCGGCGCTAGATTGGAAAGCCGATGCCCTCGTCGACCTGGAAGAGGAAGAGGAATCCCAGGATCCCGACTGGGACGACGTGGCCATCCTTGTAGGGTCCGAGATTGTGCGTGATGTGCGCGCCAGGATTCGTGACAAGCTGGGCTATACCTGCTCTGCCGGGCTAGCGAATAACAAGCTGCTCAGCAAGTTGGGCTCCGGTTTCAGGAAGCCCAACCGTCAGACTGTTGTGCGGGCTCGAGCCGCTCAGCAGTTCCTCGCCGACTTCAAGCTTACCAAGCTTCGCAACCTGGGCGGCAAGCTTGGGGATCAGGTGGTGTCTACGTTCCATACCGACCGTATCAAGGAGCTGCGGGAAGTGTCGCTGGACCAGTTCAAGGCGAAGCTTGGCGATGAGACGGGAGTCTGGCTGTATAACACTCTCCGAGGTGTCGACACGAGCGAGGTCAACTCGCGGACGCAAATCAAGTCGATGCTGTCAGCAAAGTCGTTCCGGCCCAGCATCAACGGTGTGGATCAGGCAGTCAAGTGGCTGAGAATCTTTGTCGCCGACATCTACGCTCGCTTGGTGGAGGAAGGCGTCTTGGACAATAAGCGACGGCCGCGGACCATCAACCTGCAGCATCGCACCGCCGGACAGACCCGCAGCCGTCAGGGCCCCATTCCGCAGGGCAAGGCGTTGGACGACGAAGTTCTATTCCAGCTCGCCAATGAGCTTCTGAGTCAAATCGTAGGTGATGGCAAAATCTGGCCATGTGCCAACCTGAGCCTCAGCGTGGGTGGCTTCCAAGACGGGGTCAAGGGCAATCTGGGCATTGGAGCCTTCCTCGTCAAAGGGGGCACACAAGCAGCCTCTGGCCAATCTACTTCTTCCGACGACACGGCGGCACCTGAAGAACGGCTAAGCAAGAGACCTCGTATCGAGGGCGGCGGGCTACATCGATTCTTTGCCAAGGCATCTTACTCTGACGGCAGAGCACCCAATGAGCAAATCTCAGCCGTCGCAAGCGGTGAGGGACGCGTGGATCTCGCAGAGGGCACCTGTTCGGACACAGTGATGGATACAGAACACCACCAGGGGTCGGGATGGCCGTCGCGGCATCCATCGCCTGCAGAACAGGAGCTGGCCGTCGCCTGCTTTCAGTGCTCACGGTGTGAAACCAGTTTCGAGGAGGCAGTGTCGTTGCAGAGCCATGAGGACTGGCATGTGGCAAAAGATCTCCAGAAGGAAGAACGTGCTAGGCCGGTGCCCGCTCAGAGACCTCACCCGCCAAGCAGCGCCCTGCCCAAGGGGACCAGTGTGTCTACGAAACGTGGCCGAGGCGGCAAGCGCGAGCCAGGGCAGAAGAAGCTCGACTTTGGATGAAAGCTCTGCCTGTCGTGCTGCGTGGAACGAATGCAGCACCACCTGACCGAACATGACTACTGCTTAAGGTATTGCCGGCAGATGGAGCCACAGTGTCTGGCCAACTTTGTCGAACACAGCCAAGAGGCGGCCTCGCCGAATCACGACACTGGCGGAGAGAAGGGGCGAGAAGAGAGAGGAAGAAACAAGGCCAATGGCCCGCGTCCACCACGGCGCGCCTTCAGAGGCTTCTACAGTAAGGCCCGTGCAATGATCGACGGCCACGAGCGTGGTCGCGTGTGGGCGTCGAAGGCAAAAGCAAAGGGCTGCGTCCTCACTGGCGACCAAGCTTCGCCCCGCGACAATCATGCATCGCGGAACAAGAGATGGCCGAGGACGGGAACAATAGCACGCGATGCAGTCATTATCGCCTCTAGCTGCGACGTGGAGCAAAGCTAGGCAACTTGTCAGCACGCAGGCAGGTCAGCTATCCTCAAGCGCCTGACCATGGAGGGGAACGGCAGCGATGCTGGAAGGCGTCACGCAAGGCGTTGCCTGGCCCGAGTGTGCAGCGTTTCGGTCTAGCAGGCTAGGCTGTGATGGGGCGGTTTCGATTGGCTTGGAGGATTTGCCACGGCATCGTGTTGGGCTCCAATTGGTGAGAGGCATCGGTACCCAACGGCGGCCCGAGACGAGAGCGTGGACCGAACATGTGGACCCAGTGGCGGGAGAGGCGCTCTGATGGCTCTGCCTGTCTCGGGGAAATGATACGTAGGCACTGCACGGTGGACAAGATGGAGGGAGACACGTCGGACGAGCTGGATGGCCTGCAGCTTCTCTTGCAAAGCAAATTCCGAGGGTCAGTTGTGCAAGCCGAGCGACTTTGTTGGGGAGAGCATTATGGAGCGGCGGAGCAGGTCGACGAGAGCCACGTACAGGAGGCGCATCATCTGTGGCCGAGGGCGAGAGGAGCAACTGGGCAACGTCATGGAGAGCGATATAAGCCTGAGCAGCCATGCCCTTTCAGGCTCAAGTGCCCCCCAGTCGGACAGGAGGGAGGACACTTCTGCTCTGCCCCGTGACTTGGGACTTGGGGTGTGCACCTCGAGGTAGCCAAGGTTTGCCGGTCGTTAGCCGACACCATCACCATGCCATGCTCTCGCTCGCTCTCGCTCTCCACACAACCACACAAGCTGGGAGGAAGCTCCTCGGCTCCTTTCCTCCTTGGTGGGGGCGCGAGAGAAAGAAAAAAAATAAAGGGCGCTAAGGCAGTGCCCGACCCTTTTTTCGTCGTTACCGCCAGGCACCACCGCTGTTTGCTTTCGTGGGCATGTGGGACGTGGGCTCCCGCCGGAGCAGCGTCGTGGGATACACAGCAGCCGCGGCGGGAGGTGAGACAAAGGGCGAGACGGTCGGTGGTCGGTTAGTTAAAGGACGACGCAAAGGACGAGGCACACGTTGCCTGCCGTGGCGTGCGTGGCAGGGCACCCTCGGGAGAGACGGACCAGATGACATCTGGATGCACAGTCGGCTCAGCTGCATCCACGATTGCGAATCGGTGAAAAGCCATGATCTGGTCTCTTGTCACTTCACTGTCAGGGGCGACAAACTGGGAAGCCGTGGCAAGCCGTGGGCCAAGGACAGGATTGATTTGTCCATCTGGCGGTTTGAGGCTCGCACTGCAAAGCTCGACGCCGGCGCCGCGCATGGCAAGGCTGCATCGGCGACGCTCTGCAACGAGGCGAGATCATTCGGCTCGGGCTTGCCTGATGGCGCAGACAAGGATGTGGTGTGGTGGTATTAGTGGTGTGGTGGTAGTGGTGTGGTGGTAATGGTGTCCCAGGAAGTGCTGACCCAGTCACTGGATGGATCCGGCGATGCAGATTGGGCGGCAGAAGAACGAACAACGAGGACTCGTTCCCATGCGCGCACACCTACAGGAAGGAACAGTAAGGAGCAGTAAGGAACAGTAAGGCACCGAACCGTATCCGTTGTAACTTACTGCACTTGATGGCGTGGCGCGGCATCGCACAGTGCATCCAGGAAACGGCCTTGGTCGGCTCACGGGGCATCGAACGCGCAATGGGCCGCTCCGGGCACTCGCCGCCTCAAGCTTTTTTGGGCTGCCGAGCCTTGTTAGATCGGGCTGGCAGCTCTCTCTCTCTCTCTCTCTCGCTCTCCCCCCCCCTCTCTCTCTACACCCAAGGCGCTCTGCTCTGGAGGAGGAGATCTACGGGGCCCGGGCACCGACTGACAACGGCATATCGGGCGGGTACCGCGGTGTAACTCGGGCTCTCTGTCCCAGAGCCCAACCCAGTGCCGGCCCAAGCCGCCCGCCAGTCACAAAACAGCTGGGCGGGCGGATCCCGGACTGTGCCAGTCAGTCAGCCACCTTGGCTCCAGGATCCAGGCCCCATGGCGTTGCCAAGTGAGCCAGGGCTATATAAGCGCCCTGGGAAAAGCCGTCCTTGAAGGCGGGCCTCAGGTTTGCACGACGCAGGCTGATCCAGGAACCAAGCCGGATTTTGCCCTTGGACGGAAGCTGGCGCGAGAGAGGACAGCCGAGAGAGAACAGCCGAGAGAGGACAGCCGAGAGAGTACAGCCAAGGGCCGGCCGTTGTGCACGTGAGAGCCAGGGGACAGCTCGTATTGTACGGATACCTCGCGTGGTACCCGATATCGCGCACCTCGAGCTGTATTACTCGGCACCTGCGAAGAGAGTCCGAGGAGGTACCTACCTACCCTTAGTACAGAGTACCTCCCTGGGTGGCTGGGGTTCCCACCGCCGCCCACTCCTTGTCCTCGCCGGCCGCCTATAACCTTCTCAGCAGCTGGCCCTCTTGGCCCTGTGCCTGCTGGGTTCCCTCTCTGATTCGACAGCTCCGTCTCGTCTTTTTTTTTTCTCGCGGCTCCACTCCTCCCCCACCCCCCACCAGGAAGGACAACGGCCTGCCTGCTGATGCTACTGCTGATGCTGCTGTTGCTCCTGCTGATGCTGCTATAGCCCGCCTCCACTGCCCGCCTTTTCTCGGCCTCTCTCTGCCGTTTGCCATCCTGCATCCAACCATCTTCTTCCTCCTCTTTTCTCCCTTCCTCACTCGCTCTGTCGGCTGCCGCCTGCCGCCTGCCTGCTGACACACCTCTCTCGATCCCTCCCCTGTCGCCTACCCTTCGCCTCCCTGCCCTCTGCTCATCCTTCCCCCCCATTACTCCTCTTCTTTCCCCTCCTTCCAGCCTCCGAGCTGGTCCTGCGTCTCTTCTCCTCTCCGACTGCATCGCCATATTCGCCCTCTCCCGCCATGTCGAGACAGACCCGCACCCCAGGCCAGGCGCCGCCTCCGCCCGCCACCCGGCAAAACGAATACTTCGTGCCTCGCGATGGCATCGACCGCGAGGTCATATCCGCCGACATCTGCCGCTATCTGGGCAACGATGCCCTCGTGCGCCCAGGCCAATACGAGGTACCATGTCCCCGTGGCAGTCGTCAACCTTTGCCCGTCTGCACACTGCAATCGCTGCCGGACATTTGACGCTCACCACAGATCCGGTTCACAGAACCCGCAGTCTCACCTAACCGTTCAAGGATATTACATCACGGCCTACAGAAATCTGACTACGGTGAGCCCACCCAACCCCCTGGGCCTTCCATGAGGTGGTCATCCACGTGGGAAAGCGTGGTCGCATCCGTTGGGAGACTTACATTTCACCTTGCCCTAGGCCATGATTGAGGACCTCAAGGCCGACTCCGCCCGATGGGAGAGTGAGCGGCGCGCGCAGACGACGCGCAACACCTCTGGAGGTATCCATGCCTCGAGAGATGCCTATGGCTATCCCGCGAAACTGCCATCTAACTCACCTGTAGTTCAATACCGCTACTCTGAGACGCATCAGTCTCGGCAGCACCACGGTCCTACAGAGGGCCACTTCCAGTCGGATCCTTATGCCCGTGACCCAGGATATGAGGTCACGTACCCTGGAACCGGGAACCTAGGGTTTACTGGTGCTTCTGGCTCCTACTCCTCCCAACAACAGCAGCCGCCGCAGCAACAGCAACAGCAACAGCAGCAGCAACATCAACATCAACAGCCGCAGCAGCAGCAGCAGCAGCCGCCGCCGCCGCCGCCGTATGCTGCCGCAACTGGTGGCGCGTATGGTGGCGGCTTTCAGCAACCCCAACAATCCCCTCCCCCGGAGAGGTTTACTCCTGCCCAGGCAGGTGGTTCCATGATGCGGCCTGGCTACCCGACCACTCAGGACGCTCCCTACATCGGCACAGGCGCGAACCTGCCGCATTCTGGATTTCCCTCGCAAAATGACCCCTATGGTGCCCGGTTGTCGACGTCGTCGGCTGCTCCGCAGCAACCTATTTACGCCTCTGCGTCGCCGCAACAGCCTGGGTATCCAGCAACGACGTCGTCTTTCCAGCAGTATCCAACCCAGGCCCCCACTGCTCCCGGGCAATCGTATTCGACAATGCAGCCCCATGACTCTTACTATGGCCGAGGTTCGTCCGATGGAGCGCCGCAGGCTACATCTCTCCTTTGCCCCCTCGTCCCCCCCTGCCTCGCGACGCTCAGAATCTGACATGGGTCCGTTGCAGTTTCGCCGGCCCAGACTCCTCCACAAGGCTACGCAGCCCAGGGACAACAGTATGATGAAACCCCCCTCTCTCGCCCTTCCACAACCCCCGCAGCCGTCCAGACACCTCCCGCTGGCATGAGTAACCGCCGTAGTGACCGCGACAGCGACAGGAACCATCGAGCCCCCCGGCGTTGATCGTCACCCCTTTGATGATGCCAGGCGCGGATCTGGGGGTCTCGCGCGTTAAAGTCCCCCCGTGAGTGTTTGCTGTTTTCTCTATGAATGACTGGACCTTTATACGCCCGACTTGGCCTCTCAGGACCTGGCCCTTGCGCTTTGATTTCCTTGCTTCTACTCTTCCGCGGATTATTACCCTTGGACCTGGCCTTAGGCGTTACCGCTTTCCAATGGCAAGTTCGCATCCCCGGACGTTGGCCTGGATAATGTTTGGTGGTTTGCCGGCTGTCGTATGCGGCAATTCGAAAATTACCTGGATACTACACCAGTTCACGTTTCGTTCTCAAGACCTTTGGACGTGCCGCTCGAGCACACAATATCCGTTCGACTCAACGGTTCTCCCTTTTCTTCACCCCCTCTTTTATTCTTCCGTGGACGAGTCGCCAAGTTTCATTGTCGCCGACTACACTGCACGCGGCCCAGGATGAATCACGTTGCATATGTCCCTTTCTACCACGCATTTGGCGCTGGCGGGGGAAAGCAGGGCTTCGCGCCCTGAACCCTCCTTCTTGGATACATTCGTCTCTCGGCCCTGCTGCCTGGACCGGCCTTCCAGTGGAGTTGTCTTTCCAAGGTCTGGATTGCATTGTGTCTTTTCTTGTTTCTCGACTAGCCTTGATCGTCTCTGGATTTTTGCCATCACTTTTGGATAGAACAGCAAGGTCAGCGCCCAGGCAGCAGGGTAAGTCTCATGAGTTTGTATATATTAGCCAGATTTTCATCAAGGATTCCTCTTCCGCCCCGCCTACATGTCCATTTTTGAAGTCCCAGGATCTCCACCCGGACGTTTAACTCTGGGACCTTGTTTGACTAACCTTGCTAATTAAACAGCAGCTAGGCGGCTTTGTGTGTGACCTGCTGATGGGTCTGCTTGGTGGGTTTTGATCGAAAATTGCAAAGCCTTGTTTCACGGTTTGTATTGCGCCATTTGTATCGAAAGCTACCGCTGGCCTATTCTGGATTGTGCCGTTTCCCTTTGACCAGGTTGGACCAGTCTCTTCCGGCGACGAGGACCAGAACTCGGCTGCGTTGATTGTTGTGCCTCCGAATGGTTATCCATCAACGGGATCGCCACTCAGCGATGCTATGAGCGACGTCCTGAGCCTCTAGTTGGCCCTTCGTCTTGAGTCGCGATGAAGAAGGACCCGGCCTCTGACAGAGTGCCGGCCTATCCACAATCATTGTCTTTTTGGATTGTGTCTAAAGGTAAATTTGCGATGTTACACCGGCAAAAGGACGTACAGAGTACACATCAAATTACTGGATCCTGGACTTGTCCAATTGTCGTGGCCGGAGTAAGACCTGACGCTCTTTTGCAATTCTCTTACCTTGTCGTGGCCCGCTTAGGATGCTGGACCTCTGGGGGCTCCGGCCCCCTTTTCAATCACGAGACGGATGCATGAGAATCTTCCTAGGCCCTGACGTCTCAACTACTGGACGCTCCATAAGTTTCACGCTGAGCAATCACTGTGAGTCTACGAATGGCCTCGGTTGCATGTCTGGATCAGATGCCACAGATAATGTTCGACTCCGGCGCTGAACTTGTGGGCACTCCAGGTCTAGACGGGATGGCAACCATGTGTTTGGCACTACGCACCGGGAAAGCGTGCTCTGCTACGAGGCGTGCAGGATATGCCGGCATACTCTGGAACGTGACTGCGTGGAACTCGTTGGCCGATGGGTGGATGGGTGTGATGTCGACTTGGTGTGTCAAGACTGGGTAGTCTTTTGGGAGCAGGGGTGGATTGTATATGGGCATGTTGAGGATGAGGGAACACAAGTTGAGGTGCATGGATGTTGGGGGCAGACTGTCGCTTTGAGAAATTCAACTGGGCTCGCTTTTTAAACTGGTCACCACTTCTTCCATTCCCCTGCGTTGTGGTTCAGTAGTCCATGATTTAAGCGCCGAAGAAGCATTTGATTGCTAAGCGAGCCCTCCTTGAGGGGACACAAGCTGAGAGCTAGAGACAAACATTTTCAAGACGACTGAAATGAAAAGACAAAACTGTGTCCATCTCCCTTGAAAACTCGATTGCTAAATGCTGCAGTTGTTGATTGACCATCTTGTAAGCCCAGATACCAAAACGCAACATAGCGAGACGACATACTGCCACACAAGTCAAGAGGGACCAAGGTCAAGACAGCAAGGAGCATGTTGAGAACTATGACCAAAATCAAAAAAGGAGAAAATGAAGGAGCACACGAACAATACGAGGAAACCCCCCCTCCCCCCCCCCCTCAGGCAGACTGCTGGCGCAAGCCGACGTCGAGGATGCCCTCTGCGACGCTGCGGGCAATGGACTCGTGGACCCAGTCCTGCGAGCGGCGGACAGGCACCCAGGGGACGAGGCGGCGGGCGCCGTCGAACTGGCGCGGCGGCGGCGGGTTGCGGCGGCAGATGTCGCGGAAGCGGTCAAAGTCCTCGGCGGCGATGGTGCCGACGAGCGTCTTGGTCTGCAGGGCGAGGACGGGGGCCGAGGACGAGGGGGGGGAGGCGGAGGAGGCGGAGAAGAGGGAGGGCAGGGGGGAAGAAGAGGTGGATACGGCGGCGGCGGCGAGGCGCTCCGGGTCGTCGCCCGGCATCTCGGTGTAGCGCATGCCGGTCTCGGGGGAGCCGGTGACGTCGAGGTAGAGCCCGCGGACGGGCCCGGCCAGGCCCGTCTCGACGAAGAGCCTGTGCAGCGGCGGCTGGTGCTGGTGCTGGTGCTGGTGATGATGGCCACCGCCGGCGCGGCCACTCTCGTAGATGAGGCGGTACACGGCGTAGCGGCCCATGCGCGGCTCCCGCGACGGCGGCTGCGCGCGGCAGCAGCCCGGCGGCAGGGGCAGGGGCCGGGCGGGCGGCGGGGTGGGCGGCGGCGAGGCGAGCACGGTGGCGGGCGAGGTGCGCAGGGGCTGGCCGGTGCGGTTGCAGCGGCGGTAGAAGAGGGCCATGTGCAGGCAAAAGTCCGGGGCGGCGGGCGGCGAGATGGCGCAGCAGTACTCGTTGCCGATGATGCGTTCCATGGCTGGATGATGGGGTGCGGGACAAAGGGGGCGGTGATGCTTGGTGAGCCGTCCCGATATTTCTTCTTTCCTTCTTGTTGCCGTTTTCTGGTTTTGGTTTACGCTTTTCCTTCCTTGTTCCGCAACGAGCCCGGCGTGTGTGTGTATTTGACTAGAGTCGACAAGATGCGAAAGCGCCACGGGCCTGACGGGGGTTGAGGCTCGAGGAGTGGAAATCTCTCTCTGATTCTGTCTGTGGACTGAGCGATGCACGACTGTTCTCCCTTCCACCCTCTCCTGCTCGGACCAAGACCCTTTATATACATTTGATCCTTCTCCCCACGCGCCTTCTTGGCTTCCAGAAGACTCACATGTTGGATCGAGGCGGCGGCGGCTGCTGTTGCTGTTGCTGCTGTTGCAACCTTCGGGAGGGGGGGCTCCAAGCATTGCCCATCCGCACCATCGGTATCATCGGCCGGTTCTTGGAACAAGAGGCACACACTCTCACGAACCGAGGAGATGTCCAAAACTCCGCGTCGAGACCCAAAGGACGCCCGGAGGAAGGGGAGGGGGTGACAGCTGTGCAAACCGCGCCATGACCGAGGCGACAGCGCATGAGAGGGAGAAGGGCCGAGGATCCAGTCGGGGGATGTTGGTTCCAGCGCAACATGGCGTCAAGCTCTCGAGGGGCCGAGTCCAGGGGTGTATGCTCCATGCCCCATGGCCTACATCTTCGCCTACGCCTGCGTGTGTGGGTGGGTGGGTGCATGAACGGGCGAGTGCGTGCGGAGAGGGAAAAGGGAGGCAGCCATATCGAATGCCTGGTCCGCGTGCGAGCCCTATTTGGAGCAGAAAAGGGGGGAGGGCCCCTTTGCTTGTGTCGAAGCAACGTCGTGAAGGCGGCTGTCGGGCTGAATCCTTCCGCCTGAGTCGAAGCCACCCGTCCCCTGGCTGCCCAGCACGGGTGGTTGAGTGACTGGTGCACGAGGGTCTGGGTATGCCTCGAAGCCTGCCCCCCTTCCCCTGCCCCCCTTCCTCATGCAAAGCCCCTCTCCCGCCCTGGCCCCAAGCCTGGTAACGCCGACCGCCCGCATGCTGATGCGGAGGTGTGCGTTGGGTTCCTGCGTGCCAACAGCTAGCCAGACTGTGACAGGTTGCTCCCTACCTCCGGTCGGCACTTGTCTGAATATTTTGCAAGCCAAGTATTTCCTGGACAGTGATGCCACGTACAGTGAGGCAAGCTCACCGGTGCCTGGCCAGGGGCGGAGAAGTCCGAGGATGCGTTGGTCGCTTTGTCTTTGGCAGGCTTCAGCCGTCATCAACGATCGGCTGTCTCGCCCCTGGGGCTGACTTTACGCCGAGAGCCGTCTCCTGCCACGACGCCTATGCAGCTTCAGCATCGCCATCACAAAAGCCGAATGTGCGAGTGGCAGACGGAGCTCACCGCACACTCTGCATCTCCTGTATGCATGTACAGCCTCCTCATCTGTGGGAAAGCTTGTCGACTTGGCAACCCAGCCATGGCTGCTGGAAAGCCCAAGCACGGCCGACTGGCGCTCAACGCCGATGGACAAGAGGTCGTGATGGATGAGCCGACATCCGAAGTGGAGCTGGCGCAGACGGACGGCACTCTGGGGGCGGCGCTCGCGTGGCCGACATGCCTCCGGCTCTGTCCCTGACACCATGCCATCATGCCTCCTCCCATGAGGGGCGAGCGAGAGCCGGGGGCTGTCTGTCTGAGCGGACCATGGCCAACCAACCATCCAATCGCAGCGGCGTATAGGCGAGGCGTGAGATGCCCGGGGGCGGCAGCGACTCGGAGCCTCCGGCGGCCCGGGCGGGGGGGAACAGGGACGGACGACATCGTGCACAGGCGAATGCGAGCCGCCCAATGCAGATATTCTAGGACCGTCTGCGGCAAGCCAAGGTGGCGGAGGAGCCATGTATGCATGGCGTTCATGCATGACTTGAGCCAAACACCACGACGCCCAGAGCAGGAAAGGTGTCCGTCAGTCAGCCATCTGTGCTTCCTCTTGCTGTCACTTGCGGTGCTTATGTTGGAGATTATGGCATGATTTGCGGACGATGCGCAAATTCGAGGCTCCCGGGGGGTTCCGTGCCTCGACCGAGGAGATCATCCTGCCGACATGGGCACCAACGTCTGCTGTCATCGATCGAGCCGTCGCCGACAGCCGATCTGCACATGGCTGAAGGCGGAGAGCACTTGACTGTCCAAGAAAAGGAGAGAGAAATACTTGGTGGACGCCAGCAACGATAGAGCCTGGTGCGAAATGGCTCGTCCCTCGGCTCAGTCGCACGCCGCCGTCTGGCCAAACCATACTCCCAGAACGGCTGGATCAACGGCGCGTCCCAGGACCAACATATGGACGTTGGTAAGAATCCAGCACGGGCCAGAATCCCACGAGAAGCAGCTCAACGACATGGTACGTTTGAGAAAAACCACCTCGAGCTCACGCGCTCGGGACGATCGTGATCGGCGCAGGACGTTTTCCCACGAGGTACCGGGCGGGCACTTATGCTCAGGCCATGCCTGACCCCCAATACTTCCAGCCAAAGACCAGCAGCGAGCGGAATTAGCCGATCTCGAGATGGACCGAGTGTCAGGGGCAGCAGCCAGGGATACTGCCCTTGGGTCGAGCAGAGCCGAGGCTCAAACTATAGGCCATGCGGCAGCCATGTTGGCCGATGAGCAGGGTGAATGAAGTGTCCTTTCTGGGTAGCTCGTGTACTGCCCCTCGAGCCATTTTGCAAGGCGGGCAAGACTTCGAAAGGTCAGGAGGCCGAGGGTCAAGCAACCAGCTGATTGATTGATTGATTGACTGATTGACTGATTGACATGGGCGGACAAACTTCCCTGCTTGTCGTCAAGAAGACAGCAATCTCCAGGCAATGTACCATCGGCGCCTTGAGTGCAAAGCAACCTCGATGTCCCTGCGTTGACACATGAAAGCGATGACCTAGGACCCGGAAAGGCAATGGTGGGTTGGAGGATCCTGGCGGCACGAATTTGCCGATTGCATCCAGCCTTGCTACTTCCACATATCGAGACGTCTCGGGGGTTCCGCAAGCCGGGGGGTGACGGGGGCGTCTCTAGCAGACGATTCCATCACGACATGAGACGCCAAAAGATGCCGTCCTCGCCTGAGGCACTCCGAACTCGTCCCAACATGAAGGGGACGTTGGGTCAGAAACCCGAAACCAAAAGGCTGGATACCTCGTGTGCTGCGTTCGTATGTTGGTAGAAACCGCAGAACAAACACGGCTGGCTGAAGAGCAGACGACGTCGTCGGTCCCCAGTCCTGCTTCATGGATTCAACGATGGTAAGCGAGAGCACAGACAGATAGTAGCTGCTCGAGTTCATCATCAACTTTTCACCCGACGTAGCTGCCACGCCCAGGATGCCGGTCCAGTACGTGGCAGGCTGAGGTGTGCTCTTATGCAGCCACCAAACGCTGTTCAGCCTTTTGGTGCATCGTCGGCGCTTGTCCACTGGCCACTAGCAAAGAACAGCACCGACGAGATGCTAACATACGAGACTCTTGCTGGACGAGGGGAAGAGAGCCCACACACGATGGCCTCCCAAGCCTGACCAGACTCCGGCTTGACCCTTGTTCGCCGACTGCAGTCCTTGAGCATCTAAGCGAGCATGAGACTGTGCACGCCCAAATAAACGAGAGGAATCCCGTGTCCGCGAGTCGAATGCTGACCCATGTCAAGTCTCATGGTGTCCAGAGCGAACTGTCGAGGAAGGCCTTGCCCGTGCAGTATCTGGGGTCCCAGGGTCATTTGGCCAGGAATCGACCGAGTGGACAGGAAAGAGCACGCCTCGTCATCAGGGCGTGTTAATTCGAGCTGGGTTGTGAAAACCGGAGGCAATGCTGTTCGAGATTGGTCTGCACCCGCAGGACGGTTCTTGCCAGGAGTCAGCTGCTCTCCCGCCTGAAGCTCCTGATTACGAGCCAAGCAAGAATGTCCGAATCCAGCGTCGGTTCAAGCCAGCTGCTTCCTCGAGCCGCTCGGAGCTGTGGTACCAACCATGGGCGTGCTTGCCAAAGTGTCACCGATGCCCGATTGCCTGCCGTATCTCGCGAGTCGAGAGAGCCCGCTGTCGTGAAATTCCCATCTCCGCCCAGGGCTCTCCCGCCAAAGACACTGTTGAGGCACCAAGGACTTGTCCCCTCGAGCCACGAATAGCCTTCTCCTTAGCCTATTCGAGAGCCTCTTTATTGCAAATCATACCACAACGACGGGCGGCGATACGCGCCACACGGTCGACCGCTGGACGGTACGAGAGTCAACCAAGTGGGCCGTGACGCGGGATAGGAACTGACCAAAACCCAGTGAGCAGAAATCTAGACCCATGGAGCAATCAGGCTATCCTCCACTTAACCTTGAATCCATCTTATTGTCCCGTCATGGGACACCAAACGGCGTACCAAACGGCGTACCAAACGGCGTACCAAACGGCGTACCAAACGGTGTACCAAACGGCGTACCAAACGGTGTATCAAACGGCGTACCAAACGGCGTACCAAACGGCATAGCCTCCAACACGTTGTCGAGCCTCACTATCGATATTTATCACGAGATTTGCCGCCGTCTCTGTCTCCACTGCGGCGGTGATGAGGTGCTGGGCGACTGGCGCAGAGAACCGGTAGAGAGGAGAGCCCTTGAGTCGCTGTGCTTGACAAACCGGCTTCTGCGTTCTGTCGCGCAAATCTATCTCTTTCACCGGATCGAGAGCGTCGGTGGCTGGGCTAGCCTTGCTCGAACGTTCGCACAGCAGCCGGAACTGGCCCATTGCGTCAGGCAGCTCTACATACCGCGTGCCGGGTGGAGCGAGAGACTGCAAGCGGTTTCGCCCGAGGAGAGGGCATACAGACCGAGGGTCAATGGTGTGAAATCGCCACACGACTTGGACCGAATCCCGGACCAAGCGTCCCTCGAGACGCTTCTCGCACTGATGCCGAACCTCGAGTTTTGCAGCGTTCCCCTTTGCGAGACGGACGAAGGACAGCGGGGCCGCGGCTTTGTGAGCAAGGTATTTCCCAGACTTCGCACCCTCAGGCTCGCCGGGGGCTAGCATTTCCCCTCGACGCTGCAACGGCGCAGACTCCTCGAAATGATGGAAGTCTGTCCGGCGCTGGAGTGGCTGGCGTTGGAGGGCAACCTGTTCTATGGCGGCTTCCGTGAGCTCGAGGTCGAGCAGCTTGGCCCTGCGCTCCAGACGCTCCAGACGCTCCAGCTGGAGCAATACGTGCTGGTGGAAGACGATGAAGATGTGCTTGAGAGGTGCATCAGGCTCTGCCCCCAGCTGCAACGGTTCCAGTACGTGGCTACGCCCATGACATGGCAGCGGGCGGATAGGCCGATGACCGTTGCCGACCTGTTGGATGCTCTGGCTCCTGCCCAGCTGACTTTGCGGTTCCTCGAACTTGACCTCAGCTACATCATTCGTCCGTACCGCGAAGACGAGTTCGAGCACATCAGCCTGCTGCAGTATCTTTCCCGCTTCGAGGAGCTGGAGACGCTGTATCTCGACCAGGACAGCATATGTTTTCCGTCGGCACACGAGTCGAGTGAAGAGGACGGGAATGAGGACGTCGCGTACGAAGCGATATGCATTGTGGACATGCTGCCTCGGACGGTCAAGTCGCTGGGAATCCGGGTGCCGGATGGCAACATGCGGATGCACGACGACATCGAAACCCTGGGGTTGAAACGGCAGGACGGAATGTTTCCGGAATTGACGAGGTTTGAGTTGGTGATCAAGTCGGGGGATCGCGGGAATGGGCGAGCGGGCTTGCAGAACGAAGTCGATTATGTAAGTCGTGTGGTGCTGAAGGCATTTGAGGGGACGTCGGTGGAGGCGACGGTGCGGGTGCAAGAGGTCTACGGCCCCATGAGCTTCAGCCACTCGGGACGGCGCCTGGAGGCGCGCGAGCGCAGCGAGGATATTCCCGACGGCTGGATTGGCGGGGATGAATGGAGGGCGTTTTGATGGATGGTTGACCCTGTATGCCGATTGACGAGTGGCGGTTTTTGGCGGCGGGTTGCTTGTATACCTACCCTGTACTGCGAACTCGACAGACGGCGATTACTGGGGATGATGGTTTGAGGCGGGACAACCACGAATACACTTGCATTGTACTGTACCTCTAACTATATGCTCTATTATCGCCTACTACCTTGGTACCTATGGTACCTATGGAGCATCAGTCGTCGGCTGCCGGTCACGACCAAATGCCAGCCAGCCCGGCTGACCATGGCAGCCCAATCTACCAGGCCTGGACCCTTCCTCCTACTGTGCAAGACTGACTAGACATGACTGGAGCAGCAGCGGCGTCGGGCAGCAACAGCTCCGCTTTGAACAGCGCTTGGGTTCTGCGAGACGAGTGCTAGTTGTCGTGCGTGAGGCGCTGCCCACAATCGCGGTGGGCTCGCACGAGATGGTTGTGTGTGTGCAAGACAAGGAAACAAACAAAACAAATCTGAGCGACACGAAGCAAGTGATTTGTTATCGTCGGTGACGGACGGCATTGGGGTGAATGGTGAATGAATGCATGCTGCGCAGACACGTCCCCGATTCGACCTGTACCGGTAATTAACTCTGTACCTGTACTCTGTACAGTACCTACATGGGGGTATACCATCCATGCCTTGGAAGACATGTGGCCGTCGTCCCGGGATTCTGGTGATTGATTGATTGCCCGAGTGTGTTTAATATCAAGTACGTGGCTTGTGTGGATTCCCCGGAAAACGAAAGCAATGCAAAATGCCATGTGTCGTGCGCGATACCAGCACCCAGCGAGACAGGTCGTCGGCCAAGGAACGTGATGGCAGACGCATGCACGTCCCGCACATACTGTACAGTACAATCGCGTTACAAGGGAAGAACCGAGGGCAGCTTTTATAAGCGTCGAATGACGCTGTGGGCCTTTTCCACGTTTGTTGTGAGCACGTGCCGTATTTCGTATTTGCTGTTGTTGGGGCCGGCCCCGTCCGCCCTGCTGGGTTACCTTATTAAGTGCAGATTCCTCTCTTAGGTAAGCCGGTGCCTGGGACGGGAAAAACAAGCTCCCAATCCGGGCGCAACAGCGACACACGAAATCTGGGAAAAAAAGTCCCGTCCCACCGCCAACCTCACCCATCGTGTCTCGCGCTGCCGACTCTCTGGCTTGCCTCGCACGCCGCCTCGCACGCCGCCTCCCGCGTCCCGGCCCAAACCCCCGGCCCCATCATCCTTTTCTTCCTCTTCGTCTCCTTCATTTATTCTCTTCATTCTGCCTATCCTCTTGCTCGCTGCCATCCTCGGCCTGGCTCCTCGGGTCCACGCGCCGCCCACTGCATCCTCCCGTCGGCACCCCTCGAGCCCTCGGCCGCTAGATGCCCCGCCATCCGCTCTCCCTTTTCTCAACTGGGCCTCTTCGCTACCTCGACGACGACGTCCCCATCATCTCTGCCCGTCATGGACTCCGCCGCCGTCAGGGGCTTGCTCGCCGCGAGCTTGGAACCGGATGCGGATAATCGGCGGAGGGCTGAGCTTCAGCTGAAGCAGGTACGCACGCTTCCTCGCCTCTCTCCAACCCCTTCCCTCTACGCCGGCCTCCTGTCCACACCGGCCCCGCGTATACGGCATCTCTCGCCCTTGGGGCCTACATCAGAGAGCCTCACAACAGCCGTGGCTCTGACACGGATCGGCGGGTCGCACTGGCCGTCTCCCCATGTCTCCCCCAAACGGCCCACGACTGACGCCTGTCTCGTCATCTATAGGTCGAAGAGCATGCCGGTTTCATGGATTGCCTTTTCCAGATACTCCAGGCCGAGCGCGAAGCCAGCGTCCGGCTCTCCAGTACGTTCACCCGGCCGCTCATCGAACCCTCCGCCGAGTCGACGGCCTGCACTTTGTCGTCTGCTGACCGTCCTACCCAGCCGTCATCTACATCAAAAATCGGGTCAACCGCGCCTGGTACCCGTCCGATTCATTTTCCAACGAAACCTTGATACCCGAAGATGAAAAGGCTCGCATCCGAGACATGCTGGTGCCGATTCTGGCCTCATCGGAAGGCCCCGTCCAACAACAGCTCGTCCCCGTCCTCCAGCGCATCCTGCAATGCGACTTTCCCGCTCGCTGGCCGCGCTTCATCGACTTCACCATGGAGCTGCTCAACACTAACAGCCCCACCTCCGCCCACGCCGGCCTCCAGTGTCTGCTCGCCCTCTGCCGCGCTTTTCGTTACAAGTCGACAGAGAACCAGGACAGGCATCGTTTCGACTCCATCGTCGAGACGAGTTTTCCTCGCCTCATGGCCATCTGCAACGAGCTGGTCAACCAGGAGAGCGACGAGGCGGGCGAGATGCTGCACCTGGCTCTCAAGGCCTACAAGCACGCCACATGGGTATGTCCGCCCCCGGCCTTGCGGCTCCATACCCGTCGACTGACGTTTTGCTTTGCAGCTTGAGCTTTCCCCCTATTTGCAACAGCGCGAGGTCAACATTGCCTGGTGCACCGTCTTCCTCCAGACCGTCGCCAAGACGGCTCCCGCGAGCTCCATGCAGGGCGATCAGTTCGACCGCGAAAAACACCACTGGTGGAAGGCCAAGAAATGGGCCTACTTCAACCTCAACCGCCTCTTCATCAGGTGAGTAGGCTGTTGTCCTTGTCTGTTCAGGTGGCTGACACTGCGCAGGCACGGTAACCCCTCGAGCCCGGGCAAGGGTGACGAGGCCGCGCAGTTTGCCAAGGACTTTACCACCAACATCGCACCCGAAATCATGAAACACTACCTCCAGGAGATCGAGAAGTGGGTTGCCAAGACGTCGTGGCTCAGTCGGCCCTGCCTGTCGTACACACTCGTCTTCCTCGACGAGTCTGTCCGGCCCAAGGAGATGTGGGCGCACCTCAAGGCGCACCTGACCAATCTCGTCACCCACTTCGTCTTCCCGGTGCTTTGCCTGACCCCCGACGACGTCGAGCAGTTCGAGGACGAGCCCGAGGAGTATCTCCACCGCAAGCTCAACTACTTCGAGGAGGCGTCGGCCCCGGATGTCGCCGCCACAAACTTCCTCGTCAATCTCACAAAGAACCGCCGGAAAGAGACGTTTGAGATTCTCAAGTTCGTCAATGCCGTGGTGAATGAATACGAGCAGTCGCCAGACGACAAGAAGAACCACATGGCCAAGGAGGGTGCGCTGAGGATGATTGGTACCCTCGCACCCGTCATCCTCAGCAAGAAGAGCCCCATTGCCGACCAGGTCGAGTACTTCCTGGTCCGATACGTGTTTCCGGATTTCACCAGCGTCCAGGGCTATCTCCGTGCGCGAGCCTGCGACACCATTGAAAAGTTCGAGCAGCTCAACTTCCAGGACCAGAACAATCTCCTGACCATCTACCGCCACATCCTGGACTGCATGGCCGACCCGGCGCTACCCGTGCGGGTCACGGCTGCTCTTGCGCTGCAGCCCCTCATCCGGCACGACGTGATCCGGACCAGCATGCAGCAGAGCATCCCGACCATCATGCAGCAGCTGCTCAAGCTTGCAAACGAGGCCGACATCGATGCTCTGGCCAACGTCATGGAGGACTTTGTCGAGGTCTTTGCCGCTGAGCTCACCCCCTTCGCCGTTGCCCTCTGCGAACAACTGCGCGACACCTATCTTCGCATTGTGCGTGAGCTTCTCGAGAAGGAGAGCAAGGCCGGCGATGACGGCGACGCCTATCCCGAGTACGACGACAAGAGCATCACCGCCCTGGGCGTCTTGCAGACCATTGGAACCCTCATCCTCACCCTCGAGAGCACCCCCGATGTCCTACTCCACATCGAGGCGGTGCTAATGCCGGTGATCAAAATCACTCTGGAGAATAAGCTCTACGGTAAGCAGATGCCCCCATCGTAGCCGTGGACCGACGGTTGGCACAGGCAACGGGGTGACTAATTCGAAACAGACCTGTACAACGAAGTCTTTGAGATCATCGACAGCTGCACTTTTGCCGCCAAGGGCATCTCGCCAAACATGTGGCAGGCGTTTGAGCTGATCCACACCACCTTCAAGGCCGGCGCCGAGTACTACCTGGAAGATATGCTGCCTGCTCTCGACAACTTCGTCCAGTACGGCGTCCCGCAGCTTTGCCAGAAGCCGGAATACGTTCAGGCCCTGTACTCAATGGTGGCCGACATGTTCACCGAAAACGTCCAGCAGGGCGGCGTGGAGCGCATCTGCGCGTGCAAGCTAGCCGAGGCGATGATGCTGAGCCTCCGAGGCCACATTGACAGCTGCGTGGAGGGCTTCATCGTTATGGCCATGGGCATCCTGGCTGCGCAAGATGTCAAGATCAAGAGCTACAAGATCCATCTCATGGAAATGGCCATCAATGCCATCTACTACAACCCCATGCTGGCGCTGCAGGTGCTGGAGAACAAGGGATGGACGAACCGCTTCTTCAGCCTCTGGTTCGGAAGCATGGCGTCCTTCAGCCGGGTCCACGACAAGAAGCTGTGCATTGTGGCCATTTCGGCGCTTCTAAGTGTGAATCACGAGCAGGTCCCGGCCAGCGTGTCTGTCGGGTGGCCACGGCTGCTCCAGGGCATCACTGAACTGTTCAGAACGCTGCCCAACGCAATGAGAAGTGAGTGCCTGTGGTTGCCTGTTTCGCCGGGTTCGGCATGCTGACGGGAGACACAGATCGCGAAGACGCTCTGCGGGACGACTTCCAGCTCGACTCCACCTACGACTATGGCGAGGATGACGAGTGGGACGAGGACGACGCTAACTGGAACGGAGAGGAAGAAGCCACCCAAGAGGAGACGGCTGAAGTCAAGGACGAGAGCAAGGCCTACCTGGAGTTTTTGAATGACGAGGTACGTGGACGTTGATCCGCGTGGTTTTCCAAGGTCACTAACGGCGACATCAGGCTCAAAAGTTCAGCCGTCCCATTAGTGACGGCGATGAGGACGAATTGGGAGAGGATAGCGTCCTCCTCGAATCGCCCTTGGATAAGATTGAGCCCTATCAGCTTTTCAAGGCCGTTTTGATGAGTAAGCCGACGAATGGATGCCTTTGACCTTGATGCTAACGATGCCCGGCAGGGATGCAACAAGAGCAGCCTCAGTTTTACGCCAATCTGGCTGGCCATCTGTCGGCAGAAGATCAACACATGGTCCAGGCCATCATGACCAAGGCGGACGAAATCGCCGCACAGCAAGCCCAGCTCCTGGCACAGCAGCAACAGGGCCAGATGCCGCCCAACGCCGCCGCGCCTGCCAGCTAGACGCCATGGCGCTTTGGCTCACGGGCTTGAATTCCGAGGCGTCGGGACGAGAGCGGGATGTTTCTTATTGAACGAGAAACTGGGGACGGGCGTTTGATTCAATTGACATGTCGGGGGATGCTTCCATGAAGGCAGCGCGGGGACGGAGTGGCGCGGCTTAACCGAGGAGCTCGGTGTCGCTGGATAGAAGAGGACGGGATGTCGTGATGAGCTGCCACGGCGACGGACCGGCCGGATGATTGCAAATCGAATACACTGTCAGCGTTGGGCAGAGGACAGCCAAGGCAAAGACCTAGGAAGGGGCCGAGGGCCGCGGATGATGACAAGCGAGAATATAGTTAACTGTGTTCTCGGGACTTGTCCTTGGCCGCAGCGACTCAACGGTTGGAGTGACCATGCAGCCAGGTAGGTAAGTAGATGTGAGGAGACAAGGACAGTAGAAGCATTGGTCACTGGTGGAGAGGACATGAAGGAAAAAAAGAGGCCAAAAAAAGACAAAGAAAGAATCGAAAATACATCAAAGACAAGATCAGCCAGCGAAGCATCGATGTCTCGTATGGTTATCAGCATTCAAACAGCTCTGCGTCTGGTCTGATTCTCCCGTGGGACCAGTTTGGAGGAAAGCAAACCACGGACTCGCCTCGATGGTATACCAGGAGCCAGTTGCAGTGCAGCGGCGGCTCTTGGAGTGTTGGGTATCCAAGGACGGGTGTTGATGATGGGATTGGATTTTGAGTATAGATTTCAGCTTCGTTTGGGTATGCATGCAAAGGCCGTGAGGCTGGCTAGGAGACTAGAAAGCCAACGACTCTGTATACGCTAGCCCGAGTAGTTGAACATGGGGAATTATTCGCCTTATCGATTCTACGTCGACTGGCTGGATTCTTGTCCATATACTCACTCCATATTAGCCCCTCTCTGCTGACATGGAAGAGCAGAGAGGACAAACAGCTGATTGGCTCCTTGGCAGACCAGGTACGTACTGTACTTGAGTGACCTCGGAAGGCCCCGCCCCCACATTTCTAGAAGCAAGATCCCCCGCCCGGGTCAATGTCCGACCTCGGTTCGCCTCGCCCTCCTTCCTCTGTTTGAAGTTCTGTCACTCGACAAATCGCGCCAGCAACGACGACCTCACCCGGACCTGCCGCCGCCGTCATCTTGCCAGCCTCTGCCGTAGCCGACCAGCGAGCGTCCCCTCTGTCCAGGCGAGCCCCGTGTCGGTCGGAGCCGGGGCACCAGAGCGCCGCAGAAGACGGGCGGCTGCGACCCCTCGTTTGGTTGATTCTCTCTCAAGGCCCGCCGAAGCTCGAAACGCGTGCTTTTTCCTGTGCGAAGCAGCGTCTTGCCCAGCATGACGACTCGGTTCCGTGTTGAATGTGAGGCTCAGGCTGTGGTGCCCCCCCCCCCAAACACGCCGCTGTCCCGGCTGACGATGGCTTCAAGATGCGCTCAAGACGCACAGGCGAGACCAGTTCATCGGTACGTAGAGAGCCACCAGCCGAGAAGTCTGCGACAAGGCCGGGAAAATGAATTACGGGGGCAAGACGCCAAGGGGCGCAATGGCCATCGAGTGAGGCTCTAGGGATCCTGCTCCCTGGGCGTTTCCAGCGCCGGCCCCCGTCCACACAGGCACGCCCCTCTGTCATTGCTTTGCTTCATGTGCTTATTCTCCCACGCTGCAGAATGGGTCAAAGCCTTGTTGGCCGTGCCCTTTGTGCTCTACTCGCAGCCGACGGGCGTGCTGGGCGACGACACCAACGTTACCAAGATGGCCGAGGAGGCACACCGCCGCTACGCCGAAATCATGCGCGACGTCGAGATGATGATAGACGACCACAGTACGTCTTTTCCTTCTTCCTCGGCTCCTTGGCCTGCCTGACAACGGTCGCCAGTATCGCGTCAAAAGCACAGCCATGCCCGGGGCCAGAGCCAGGACGGCGTCGGCACCAGGCCTCTGCCGCCGCCGCAGCACCATCTCCCCTCCAAGCTGGGCATGCTGGTGCCGACGGCGGGCCCCTTCTTCACCCGCCTGCCGCTCGAGGCCGCCTTTAAGTACCAGGACCGCAAGCGGTACATCTCGTCGCGGCGCTACGTGGCGCCGTCCTTCAACGACGTGCGCCTCATCCTCAACTCGGCCCAGATCATGGCCGTCACGGGCGGCGCGCTGCGGCTGGCCACGTTTGACGGTGACGTGACGCTGTACGACGACGGGGAGAGCCTGAAGCCGTCGAGCCCGCTCATCCCTCGCCTTCTGGGTATGCCCCCGTTTCTTTGTCGCCGGCGGCCCCCTCTTGAGGGTTGTTCCATCCATCAGTCCAAGGAGGCGGCTGACTCGGAAACAGATCTTTTGCGCAAAAACATCAAGGTCGGCATCGTGACGGCGGCCGGGTACACGACGGCAGACCGCTACTATGCCCGGCTGCACGGGCTCCTCGACGCCATCGCGGCGGCGACGGACCTCGACGACGCGCAGAAGCAGAGCCTCGTCATCATGGGCGGCGAGGCAAACTACCTGTTCGCCATGGACCTGTCGTCCGAGTACCGGCTGGCGCCGGTGGCGCGGAGCGAGTGGCTGACGCCCGAGATGGCGGCGTGGTCGGCGGCGGACATTGCGGCGCTGCTCGACGTGGCCGAGTCGGCGCTGCGCGACTGCGTGCGGACGATGCGGCTGCCGGCCGAGGTGGTGCGCAAGGAGCGGGCGGTGGGCATCGTGCCGTCGCCGGCGTCGGTGCGCATCGCGCGCGAGTCGCTCGAGGAGACGGTGCTGGTGGTGCAGCGGATCCTGGAGCTGTCGAGCCTGGGCACGCCGGCCGGGTCCGGGCGCAAGGGCGGGGTGCCCTTCTGCGCCTTCAACGGCGGGCGCGACGTCTTTGTCGACATCGGCGACAAGAGCTGGGGCGTGACGGTGTGCCAGCAGTGGTTCGGGCGCGGCGGCGGCGCCATCCGCGGCGAGAACACGCTGCACGTCGGCGACCAGTTCCTCAGCGCCGGGTCCAACGACTTCAAGGCCCGCAGCGTCGGCACCACGGCGTGGATTGCCAGCCCGGCCGAGACGGTCGAGCTGCTGGACGAGCTGGCCGACTTGATGCAGAAGAAGCTGTCGTGAGGCTGCGGGGGGGCCGCGGGAGAATCAACCGCGACATGGACGAACTGTTTCTTGGACCTGCTGCTTGGGACTTTCCGAGCAGGCGGTGCGAGAAGGGGGGCTGGGGAGGGGGGCCCGAGTCGGGAGACTTGGGGTCTTGGCTTGCATCCTGTCTGATTTTGGTCTATAATGTCTTCATCTATGGTCTTTTCTTTGCATGTCGATGGTGACCAAATAGACTACGTCTCCTCTCCCGGCCGCCGAGAGAGGGTGATTGTTGCAGAAGCAAGTCGGCCCGTCTGCTCGACACCCCGTCCGTGATCTGCTGCCCCTTTTTACCTTCCATCACCTTGGCTTCGACGCCGCCTCGTCAACGGCTCCCCGTCCTCGCTCTCCCCCCGGTCTCTGCTCCACCAACAACAAGGCCGCCCACACGACTGCGTGCCCTCCCCCTCGTCCCGCCCGGGCCTCGCTCTCCGCGTCTCCCCGTCCGCAGAGGCTAAGCTCGCGCCGTCGTCCCCTTCTTCAACTCACGCCTCCCACGACACTCCATCGCGCCGCCGGCCAGGGACTCGCGCGCGCCACACAGTATCAGCCCGTCACGGTGCCAGGTATCTTCTACCACGGGGCAGGCAAGCAGCGCACGCCCCCCCTCCTCCGTCTGTTCTCCCCGGTGTGGACGTTGCGCTCCACGGACAGCATCGTCATCACATCTGCACCGCACGCTATAACTCCACGCCCCAAACCCCCCCACCTTCCTCCCCCTTTTTTTTCTTTTGCCTACATGCCGTCGGCCTCTTTTACTTACTTCACCTTTTTGCTGAGCGACTTAATGGGCGGCATGGGGGATCCAGGCACGCAGGGGGGGAAGGGGCACAACCACCACCACCACCATGGCCATCACCAACCAACCCCCTTGCTCGGCACCGCTTAGCCGAGCGGGTGTCGGCAGCAGCGGCGTTCGGCGCCGGGGCGGTCTGCCGTCGTCGGCTCGCGTTTTCCAGCTCGGCCGTTGCAGAGTCGAGGTCGAGGTCGAAGCCAGAGACCGCCGAGATGCCAAAAGCGGCGGTCAAAGAAATGTCCATCTGCCCTACGGCACGCCCCCACGCGTCATCATCCCCTCGCAAGCGCCCGTCGTATGTGTGCGGCTATCCGGCATCCAGGCCCCCCCCCTCCCCCTTTCCTCCCCCCTCCCCCAGCGTGCCGCGCCCCCCGTCGAACCTTGACCATCATCACACCGGCCCTGTCCCAAGAAGCGCATTTTCGACGACGGGGGCAAAACCGAATGTGCATCAGGGAAAGGCGTGTGTGCGTAGGCGATGAGGGGGGCGCCGACGCCCTCGGTGCGGTGCCAAACACGATGCGTCGCGAATAGTGGGCAAGAATGAGAGTGCAGGACGCTTGATCCGACGCACACACACGCACACGCACACGATCGATCCGCGGCTGTGGCGCTTGGTCTGCATGGCGCGCGCTCTCGACATATTTTTCCTTTTTTTCCCTTCTCTCTTCCCAACGCCTCCTCGCACGCCTTGAACGCGAGCGGCACATGGCCGATTTTTGCCTGTCCAGCACGCGTCGGTCGTGCCTCGCGAGAGGGTCTCGAGACATGGCGTGTAGATAACCAGGCATTGCACGTGCGCGAGCGCGGAGTGAGTGTCCGTGGTTGGGGGCCGGAAAGGGTCGAGTCTCACGGATGAAGCGGCTCCCCCCCATTGCCCATTCGTCGTCCCCTGGTCGAGGGCTGGGCGAGGATCGGCGCTGCACGTGCTGGAGATCGGTAGTTGGCAGGGTTATGCGACGACGGATATCGGCCCCGGGGGGCGTCGTTTACATACTGTACATATGCAGTGCAGGAGAAAGAGAGAGACAGAAAGAGAGAGACAGAAGAAGAGAGAGACAGAAAGAGAGAGAGGCAGAAAGAGAGAGAGACAGAAAGAGAGAGAAAGAGACAGAGATTGGCCATCAGTCTTGGTTTTTGTCAAGAGCCTCTCCTCCTCCTTCCTTCCTCCCTTGCCGTCAAGGTCGTCCAACGCCGAGACACTGCAGAAGCAAGAAGAACAAGTCCAGACGGCTTCCATCCCCCCAACCCCGGCGGCACGCACGCGACATCACCGACCCTCACTCAAGCCGGCCCCGGTCCAACCAAAGGGGGCCCATCTTTGCCCAAGAAAGCTCGCCCGCCACCCTCGCTCGGCAGCCGCACCAGCGATCCACGCGCGTGGGAAAGAAGGCCTTGCAGCGCTTTTTCAGCCGTGCCCGCGCGCCGTCTACCCGACCACAGCCCCCCCGGGGTGACGACGACGGCGGCCATTTCCCATCGCCTTTTCTCTGCCGGCCTTGTCCGTACGGGTCAAGCAAGAGTGTGTGCTGCCCATTGCCTTGTTCTCCCTGGCTGGACCTTTGACGGGGAATCCACCGCCGGAACCATGCGGGCGAATGGCACGCAAGTAGCAACAGCGTCGACGAATAGCGGCTCCCTACACCCAAGAGAGAGAGAGAGAGACAGAGACAGAGAGCCTCTAGAGAGAGAGAAAAGGGGGACAGCAGGCACATCTGCATGCCTTCTTGAACTCAATTCCTCCCCTGCCGGTACTTGCCCCCCCCACCCCCATACGCATGTACCGCATCCTGTATAGCATCATGTATAGCATCATGTACAGATGGTATCCGTACGCACGAACCCATCGCCGGAACCCTGACGCCATCACCACTCAACGCATCCATCAATCCAACAAGGCCATCCCGCACCTCTCAACCACCGGCAAGAAACGGTGAAAAACCCCGGGGGGTCCCGGCTGATGGACCCACGCCCCGTGCCAGCCAAAACAACTGCCCCCCTGGTATCCCGGCAAATCGTGCAGCCTCAAGAGGGCCTTGCTGCAGCGTCCCCCGTCACATGGCAAGCCTGTGAAGAGACGGGCCTGTCTCGCATCTCCTCGCATCTCCTCGCATCTCGGCGGCGATTCGCAAGAGGGGGGGGGGGGCCGCAGGTGCATGCCATCAGCGGCGCTGGAGGGGGAACAGAGCGACAAGTCAGGAACACATACAAGGAAAGAGGCAGAAGAGGGCAGAAGAGGGCAGACCCGGGAAGCTCACCACCGTCCAGAAGCCTAGTCGCCATGACCCGGCAACGGCGGAACAAAATGGATCATCGGCGTCATTCGTAATAATGTATTACGTGCTTTGCTAGAGGCTAATCCTCGCCTCCCAGTCCGTCGCTGTAGCTTCCTGGCTGTCTCTCTCTCCGTCTTTTGACCCTTCCTCCCGCTAAACGACTCCCTTGCCTCCCTTGCCCTCTCATCGTTGCGCCAGTGTAACAAACCAATCCGCCGCCTGAATATTCCGCCATGCAAGCCCGCCCCAAGCTTCCCAGTAGCATCCATCCCCCAGACCAGGCCTGGTCTCTATCCAAGTACACTACTCCCTTGACAAAAATGGGCCGAGAGAAATGAAAAGGGGGCGGCCGCCGTCGCCCTGTATGTGCATGTCCTGGGATATGTAAAAGAAGTGCATCAACCGTCGTGAGCCCCGTTGCTGATATAAAGGAAGATGAAACAAGACAAGAAAAGACAGTCAAGCCGACAACGCCAGACTAAACGACAATGCCACCGGGACTTCGCGAGCCCTGTCATGTGCCGTGTACCAAAAAAAGACCACGAGTCCGGTGGTCGGGCGCCACGTCCGAGACAGAGGAAAGTGAACATGAAAAGTGACCAGTAGAGGCGCCGAGGCTTGTATATGGTGCATCCTCGTGAGCCATGGGAATCCGTAACCGACTTCAGTAGCCGGCTTGTCCCGGCATCTTGCCGAGAGAGTGGGAGCCGGAGCTCTTGGGAGGGAGATGGTTGTGACAGAAAATCTTTCGGGCCCCGGGCTTGCTGCAAAAGTCCTTTTTTGAGGCGTCAATCATCTGCGCCTGGTCGTCGTAAGACTCCACCTGGCAGCACTCGACGTTCTTCATCCACCGGTTGTTGAGCACGTCCTCGATGACGATGCGCCGGCGCGGGTTCGGGTTGAGCATCTGCAGCAGGAGCCGGCGCAGGGCGGGCGGGTTGACGCCCACGTCCAGGGCCAGGCACTTGGGGTAGTCGGTGTCGGTGATGCAGGCGTCGCATTCGGGGTGCTGCTTGTCCCACTTTGCCCAGCCCGCCACCAGCTTGTCGTAGTGCAGGTTGCCGGGCTCGGCCCGCGACCAGATGGCACCGCCAAACGTCAGGTAGATCATGACAATGGCCGAGCTCCACACGTCGAGGGCGCGGGCGTCGTACTGGTCCCTCTTCTCCAGCACCTCGGGGGCAATGTAGGGCTCGCTGCCGCAGATGCCAGGCGAGCAGAGGCGGATGGCGCCCATGTTGCGGCCGCACTGGCCGCCCGCCTCGCGCAGGCCGGGGTGAGTGCCGGAAAAGACCTCGGAGACGCCAAAGTCGGTAATCTTGAGCTTGCTGTCCTTGGTCAGGAGCAGGTTCTCGAGCTTGATGTCACGGTGGGCGATGCCGTTGGCGTGCAGGTAGCCGACGCCCTGGATGAGCTGCTTGAAGAGGCAGAGGCGGTCCTTTTTCTTGTCGTCACCCTTGAGGTGGCCCTTTTGCACGAGGCCGAACAAGTCGCCCTCGGAGCAGTATTCCATGACGTGATTCCAGCGGCTGTGGTCGGTGCAGAGCCGGATCGTCTCGACAATGTTGGGGTGGTGGAGGCTCTTGCCGATGCTGAACTCGGACTTGATCTTCTTTTCGTACTCGGCCTGGCTCTCGCGGTGCGACTTGCCTCGAAACTCCTTGACGGCGTAGAGCTCGCTGGGGCAGCCCTTGCGCACCATGAGCGTGACCCGCGAGGCGGCTCCCTTGCCGAGGTGCTTGCCGTGGCGGCCAAGAATCTTGTGCTGGTACTCGAACTCGGAAAGCAGCTCAGCCACGTCGATGGTGAAGTCGTCGGGAAGGCTGAGACTCATGCGGCGGGCCTTGACACCCGTGCCAGCATCCGGCGGTAGAGGCCACGGCAGCCGCTCGAGGGGATACGTCTTGCCCTCGTCCTCGCTCCGGGCCTCCTGGGCGGGCGTGTGGGCTCGATCATCGGCATCGAAGCTGCTGGCGCGTCGTGGGCCTCTGGCCTGTCGGCCCCTGCCCACGACGAAGTTGACGGCCCGGCCGCGGAGAGTCAAGCCAGTGGCGGCGCGGCCCTTCTTCTTGAAGTCGTCTGAGCCGGCAAGCGACTCGCCCGCCATGGCGGAGCGCTGCGTGGGTATCATGTCGAGAGAGGAGCCTGGCGAGGGGGGCGAGCTGGAGCGGGTTGAGGAGCGGATGGAGAAGCCGCGGTCGCTGCTGGGGGCCGGACCGCTGCGGCTGGTAGACCCGCCACTCGACTGTCTCGTGTTTGCGGCAGCCAGGGCTGGTGTGTCGACAATGGCGAATTCCCTCTCCTTGTCGGCCGAGTTGGAGCGGCGGAAAAGGTTGGACACGGTGCGCTTGAAGCTGCTGGCCGAGCCCCGGGCAGATCGACGCGACAGGGGCGTCTGAGGCGTGGGATCGGTCGAGGGAGGAGCAAGGTCCCTCGTGGCAGTCGGGGCCGGGGGGGCGGAAGCAGGCGGGATCAAGGCGGGCAGCCGCTTGGGGGTGAGGGGGAGAGGTTTCGAAATTGGCTGGTCACGCTGGAGGGCAGCGCTGTAGTCGTGGTGGTTGTGCAGGGTGGTAAAGTCCTGCGAGTAGCGGTAGCCACTGACGGGAGTGACGGGCTCGACGAGGGAGTCGCAGCCGGAGTCCTCGGCGCTCTCTTCGGGGATGATGTCGGAGGGGAATTGGCGGGGTGAGGAGGAAGAGTAGCTGGTCGAGAAGGAGGCGGCTTGCTGAGGCGGCGGCGGCGGCGGTACTCTGCAGGGCGCCGGGATGGAAGTCGCAGTGGATGTAGCGGCTGTGGGACCCGAGAGGGATATGTCAGCGTATGAGCCGCATGAGAGAGCGGTCACGTCATGCGAATCAGAGGCATGCGGAAAGACGGGCAGCGGAGGAGCGATTGTGAGTGGGTGGGGGGGAGGTGATACAGGCGAATGAGTGGCGGCGGCGGCGGCGGTGCGTGCGCGGCGGCAGCAATGGCAGCAGCAGCAGCGAGTAAATGAAGAGGACGAGGGGATAGGGGGACGAGGGCCTCTTCCATGGAAGAATGGATGGAAACTGTGGATGCAACCATGCATCACGGATGTGGCGGGCCACTTACCAGTCTTGCCCATGGCCAGCGATGCTGGGGCTGCAGGAGATGCAAGCGCCATTTTCGAGAATAGGAGCGTTGGTGCAGTTAAGTGGCAGACCGCAGACGCCCACCACTCACTAGCAGCTGGCGGATTCCGGGTGCCCGTGCGCTGGTTGCCTTGCCTGCCGGAGGGTGCCGGGTTTCGGGCCTGCTAACAGGGCGTTCCAGTGGGCAAGCAGGGGTCCCTGGAGTCGAGGTACAGGGGAGGTACCGGTGAAAGTACCTGTGGCCACGACGTAATGGCTCACGAGGCAAAAATAGGCTGGATCCGACAATCAGCCAACCACGATACGGAATCGCCTGGTTGGTTCGGCCCTTTGACTAGTGGCGGCTACAGCTTGACGGTCGACAACTGCGAGAGAGAGAGAAAGGGATAGAGAGAGGATCGAATCTTTTTGAGTGTTGCGAGAAATGTGCTTGCTCGTGGTGTCGAGTACGTCGTCTCGTGTGTTTGGGCAGGCGAGTTCTAGCTGGTCGTGCCGTCGTTGCTCGGGCCAACGGATTTGTCGAGGCAGCGAGCAAACACGATGTGCCTGAGGCGAGGTTGGATAGAGGTCGGTGCTGTGTCGCGTCGCGAGCGGCGAGGCGGATATGCGAGTGACGAGTGTGTGCGAGAGTCCAAGTCGATGACGGGTCAAGTCAATGTTGCAGGTGAGAGCTGGTCGACGACTGTTGTGGGCAGGACTGTTGTGGGCAGGAGAGAGGGCGGTCTCGAGAGGTGGGCGGGAGGAGGCATTAATATATCAGATGACGGTGGTGAAGGGGTGATTTGGGACGCCAGGCGCAGAGAGAGAGATATAGAGAGAGATAGAGAGAGAGAGAGAGAGGCAAAGTAAAACAAAACAAAGAGCAGGTAGAGCAAGTAGGTGAGTTTCGACCTGCGTCTGGCAAGCGAGCTTCTCTGCCTGGATGAATTTTGAAGCAGCTTGAATCTTGCGCGCTTTAGGCTTCCGGGCGGGAGGGAGAGTCGAGGGGACAGGAGCGGGAAAAAAGAGGGTATCGGAAGCTCTACTTATCAATTGCTACCAAAACAAGGCTTGTTTCTCGCGACTCCCTGCGGTGTACGGTACCGGCCAGGCGAGGTCCATTGACGGGCGGTAATCAAAGAACAGAACCCTCGTCTGCTTCTTCTTCTCCGCTTCTTCTCTTGGCGATGCTCAAAAGAGGGTTTGTGGAGGGGGGGCGTGTGGGGAGCAGATGGCCATTTGTGGCCGCTACTTTGGGTGGGTGGCTGCAGCGCACTGTGCGGCCGATTCGGGACGTATCCTTTTTTCCCTTTAATTGCCCTCATACCAGGCCCTTTCAGGCACGGGAGGCACGGGGGGTGCTGGAAGCACAACTGCGCTAGGCGGTGCTGTCCGCTGAACTTGCACCAGGCGCCTCCCAGCACGTTGGCCATGTCTCTGCATGCGTGTGCACTTGTACATAGGGCATGCCGCAAAAGCAAAGGGCCGGCCGGCTGGGCCTCTCCTTTCCCTTCTTGTCGCAATCTTGGGCGTCTTGGCAAAGCAGGGGAGACGCCTCCGCAAGGCCTTGCTTGTACTGTACAAGTGTTTCGTACTTTGTACTTTGTACAGCAGGAGCGGAAACATGGCCTGCCTCGGGATCATCACCGAAGGCTCTCTGGGCCCTCGTAGGACACAAACTAATTTTTTTTTTGGAAAAATAAGAGAAAATTCATGACAGCAGCTTGAAGTTAGTAATCACCTGTGTGTGAGTGTGTGTGTGCGCGTGCGCGCGCGTGTGTGTGTGGCCCTCGGGTCGAAAAAGCCTCCCCCCAAGATCAGCGTGTCCCCATTTTTTGTCGTCGGCCAGGCTGCCATTTGAGGTTTGACTTGGAGTGAAAGTTAGATCAAGACTTGGCGTGAGAGATGGATCAAGACTTGCAGTCAAAGATAAATCAAGGCTTGGAGTGGGAAAAAATCAATCAATCAAGGCTTGGAGTAAAAAATACATCAAGAGGTGCACGAGGATGCACGAGGCGTCAAAGTAACTGCAGCATGCCAGGCACCTACCTACCTACTGTACCTGTAAACCTGCCTCTCGGCTCGCTCTTTTTTCGGCGTCACGGCCCACGTCCAACAAAGTGCCCATTGCGAGCCATCCGTATTCGTCCAGTCTCGAGAGATGGCCGTGAGTGCTCCGCATCGCCGGGTCTTCCCAGCTTGCTCCCAGTCGCCTGTGGCTAGCGGGTGCGGAGAATCAATGCTGACCCCATGTTTGATAAGGCAAATTACACTGTACATATTCGGACACAGGTTAGGTTATAGCTCATGCGTCATTGAATAGTGCTTTTATCGATGTCGGGGTAAGATGAGCATGGGGAATCCCGTCCGTTGCCTGGACCACTCTCACGATGCTGGAGAGACCCGTCGTCATGTTCAGTCCCGGGCGCTGCATATTTACACCATAAGCCCAGGGCCGTACACCACAAGCACAGGCCGTGCCCAGGGCAAAGGCGGAAAAGTACAGGGCGGTACCACCTGTAGTCGGCCCTCCCGTGCCCTGTAACTGCAACGACACCTGGGCCGGTGGGAGAGAGGGGGAAAGTACGGAGGGGTGCCGAGGCTAGACGATGCCCTGCTTTTCGACGACGGTTTTCCCTTGCTTGCCTGAGACTCGTCGTCTGTGCTTCGTCTCGCAGCACACCTCATGAAGCAAAGGGCCAAGTCTTGGCATGCATCACGACCACCGCCGCAAGAGCACACACAGAGGCCGACGGCGATGCACGGACAAGGCCATGGCCCGCGCGCCACGACCCCGGGCCGTGATGGGCGCTGAGCGATGACGACGACGACGACGACGACGACGACAATGACCGTCCGTCCATCTTCTCCACCACAGCCCGGCGAGCAGCCGCCGAGAGCCGTCACGTCGCCCTCGCCGCTCCGAGACTTGCCACGTTAGCGTGCCGGGACGAGACGCTCGCCTCTCCTCTCGCCCGCGGGCACCTCGCCGTTGGCGATGCGCGCACTGACACACCCAGCTACGGCACCAAGACTCTTTGGATCGGCGGCGACCTTGTCATCTTATCCACCTACCTAATCCAGTAACTTTCCGATCATGCTCGAGATGCAGACTTGAGCTAACCCTGGGCAAGGTCTTGCAAGGCCGGCATTTTTCTTTCTTTTTTTCCCCGGTTGACTTTGGGTTCCACTCTTGCTCTGGGGCAGGTAAGGAAGCCTGGGAAGAGTCGAGACCGCTGTCTTTGGCGTGGAAGACGAGGGTCTTGTCGAATCGACTTCACGAACACGCATGCAAGGCCCAACACGATGACGTTTCCTCTGCTCTCCCGCAATATTGCAAAACACATGCACTGCACCACGCTGGCCCTAATGGGTGAAATGTGCCGCATCTAACACTAACCGACCCCACAGAGACGGCGCTCAGCAGCTGCTGCCTCTGGCTAGTTGTTGGGCGGGCTTACTGCTGGAGCTGGAGCTGGAGCTGGAGGAGGCAAGCCAACAACAACAAGGTTTGGACCGTCAAATGGGGGGACAAGCGAATTGGCGGTCATCACGTCGGCCGCTTTTGCTGCTAGGGGGTGGATTCGGTGGATTCGTCTCAAGCGACGATGCGAGAGGACCCTTGTTCTGGGCCAGGCCGGCAGAGTCGGCACCGCTGCTTCATGCGCCGTTTCGAGCGACGATTGTTCATGACCCATGCACATGCAATGGTGCTCATGTGCTTCGTGTTCAGTCCCAGTTCAGCCCAAGCCGGACGGACGTCTGGACGGACGGACCGGCGGCACAAAAGCATCAGTCAGATGCGAAGGAGAGGACTCCAACGGGCGCGTTTCCACCCACACGGTTACCGACACCACACCACGACGTCGCCTCGGCCTCTCTCGCGGCGCACGTGCACGCGTGGCATCGGTGCTTGATTGCTACGGGATGCCTAGTGCGGTCTGTCGCCAGATGATGGGAGATGAAATCGGGTGGGGACTGGAAGATGGGACACATGGGACCAAGAGGGACCACGAGGGGGCGCCTAGATAAGCTCACAGCGCGTCGTATCGCCAGGGTTGGGGGTTGGGGGTTGGGGGGGGGACAGAGGAGGAGGCGTCTGTCTGCGTGCAGTTCGCGTGCAGGCCGGGAGGCTCCATCATGACAAGAGAGACCCTGGACGGAGCAAGCCACGGCCGCTCTTCTCCGCCGCTCTTCTCCGCCGCATGACGCCCACCCACGATGTCCCTCGACGCACGATGCCCCTCGACGCGCTGGTGAAGAAGAGTGGTCTCGGCCCTGGCCCGTGGCAGCTCTTGAAGTCATGGACTTGCTTGGGCTTGCCGCGTGCCAAAAAAAGAAAAAAATGGACAGGAAAAAAGAGGGCTGCCAAGAAAAGTCTTAGACAGCGTCCCGTCAAGGATCAAATGTACATATTTGCGCTGCAATACGACGTCAATCTGCACCTCAGATGCCGCGTGCAGGCAGAGTCACCGGGCTTACCAAGGACCATATCCCATCACCACTCGCCAAGCATCCCATCGGGTCGTCATCCCCTCCCTGTTGGCTCCTCGACCGGAGCGCCGCCCGCCGCTCCGTCTCCCCCGACCCCTCGACGACGGTGACAGGCCCGGACCCGACCGGAGGTGCGTCGTCCCGTCCGTCTCGCGGTGGGCAGCGCTGGTGGTCGGGCGGTCCATGACACCGCGGCAAAAGACCAAGACGGCGGCGATGCGCCCCTCGCGTCAGACACGCGAGGCACGGCGAGCGGTGACGCGCAGGGGTTTCTTGGTTTTAAGCTTCTATTTATCCTCTGAGATTGACTTTGGCCCTTTTTTGGCGCAGGCTCAGGCTTCGTCCGGCTCCGGACACGGTGTCTTGCTTGGGCTTGGAGACTAGCAAACATCGGCATTTCCACTTCGCCGTGTCTCGCTCGCCAGGCAGCCAGGCGGCCAGGGGAGGGGGGTGGGTGGAAGTGGAAGTGGAAGTGTTTTGGACGACCAAGACTCTCTCTCTCTCTCTTTTGGGCATCTCG